GTGTGTGTGTTGCAGTGTGTGTGTGTGTGTGTGTGTGTTGCAGTGTGTGTGTGTTGTAATGTGTGTGTTGCAGTGTGTGTGTGTGTGTTGCAGTGTGTGTGTGTGTGTTGCAGTGTGTGTGTGTGTTGCAGTGTGTGTTAAACTTATTTTGTTGGTTGTCTTTATCATTTTTAGAGTCGATTCCAATTTGCTTTAAAATCTCGATATAAACAATAAAACACTTTTCAGTGAAAAGTGCCACGTTGTATTTAATATTATATTTAGCTGCTGCTTTTATTAAAAATAACTGATTAAACTGTTATTCGTGGGATTAGTTGCATTGTTATATTTTTCTAAATCCTTCTGATCAGGAAACCCATGTGAGGGCTTTCAAAATAAAAGCATGTGCTCCATTTCGCAGGTTTTCTGCTCCGACGCGTTGAAGACGTTCATCATGCGCTCATAAAGCTGTGGATGACTGTTTGCAGGTCGCAGCCTGCATGCAGCAGCTGCATCAACACCACTATCAGCAGTTGCCCTGCGGGCGTTTCACATGCAAATAAGGGGCTAGACGGAGCGCGCTGCAGTAGAGAAGCTCTTACCGAGCTCTGCTCTGAGCTTTTCCAGCTCTGACGACAGATCTTTCTTCTTCTTCAAGGTTTCCTCTCGCTGCAGAGAAAACAGAGGAGAAGCGGTAAGAAACTGAATGTTTGCAGCTCATCACCAGCCCACAAAATGATTTGATTTTATTCTAGTTACATGAAAAATGTGTTGAAACTTTACCATTTTGGTGGCCTAAAGGCAGGCTGCTGTACATATAAATCCTAAAAACAATTGTATTTATTACAAGTCTTATGGTTGCAAAATAAAAAATATATATTAAAAAACAGGCAGAAAATCTAATTTTAACTCCATGATTCACTAGGAAATATAATTTGGGAAATGTGAACACATTAAGACATCAGACGGTGGATCATCTCTTCTTCATTTTAACCCTCAGTGTAGTGGCTGTTTTTGGTTTTCCACCCAATTAATTATATTAAAACACAAACCAGATTCCTTAGATTGTTCTCAAATATCTATAGAAAATAGTTTAAAAACATTTAGCTTAGCTTAACTTCTGTGTAGCCTGGTTGAGTTTAGCTAAGGCTTAGTACAGTCTAGTTTTCTCAAGTCCTAATATTAATTTGTATTAATAGGCTAATTTGATGCTAATCTGGTCTAGTGAAAGTTCCTGAGTTTAATCTGTTTTATTTTAACCTCGCTTAACATACATTAGCTTAGCTTTGATTAGCTTAGCCTCTTATTTTAGCTTATTTGACCCAGGTTAGCTTAGCCTATATTAACTTAGGTTATATCAAAAAGGATTACTTAAGCTTAGCTTAGCAAAGCTGTGACTTATCTTGACTGACATTTTTTATCTTTTCTCAGTTTATTTTTCCGAACTTTAGTTTTTGTTAACTACCTTTGTTAATTAGCTTGGCTGAACTTAGTTAAGCCTAGATCTCCTTATTAAAAAAAAAAAAAAAACTATCAGCCCATTTTAATCCTGCCTCACTCTTAAATTAGCTTTAGCTAGCTTAGCTATAACTAGCTTAGCCTACATCAGTTTGGGTGAAATTAAATAGAATTATGACTTATCTTGACTAACATTTTTTATCTTATATTTTTTCTGTACTTTAGCTTAAGTTACATGACATTAGCCTTCCTTACGTTAGCCTAGCTCGTCTAATCTTCCTTAACTCATGTTTTTTTTAGCTTAAGCTAGCTTATCTTTTGTTAGTCAACCGTAACATTACAGTTTATCTTAGCCCACATTCACTTTTATCAGTTTTATCTAATCTTAGATTAACTTTGACCAACTAATCATTTAATCTTGAGGATGAAATAATCCTTCCGCCCGTTATTAACCTCAGTTTCAATAATCTTAAATAATCCAACATAAATCTGCTCAGGTTCTGGACTGGATTCAGTTTCAGTGAAAAAGCAGCAGAATCCAACAGTCGTGATGAGACGTTGTTGAGTTTTCCAGGTTAAAGCCATGAGGAACCGGTCCGAGTCAGAACAGCAGATCGGCGCCGAGTCCGGATCTCTGTTGACACAACAGCTCCACGCTGCCGACCCGACAGAACTCCTCTCAGCTGCAGGAGATTACTTCCCGACCCGAAACATCCCTGACAAAGAAATGTTTGTTTCTTCCTTTGTTTCTGTTTTCGTTTAATCATTTCTGACCGGGTTCTAGCAGAACCTTTGCTCTTGAAATGGATCAGCCATTAAAACCGGTTCCTCTGTTTACACTCGTAAACATGAAACGGCTCAGGAAACATCAGAACCACGTTTCCTCTGAAGAGTCCATGCGTGAAGAGATCTGGTTCTGGTCGGACAGGAGTCCAAACAAAACGTCTCAGATAAAATCAGAGATAAGAGATCAGCAGGTCCGTCCCACATCCTGATCCCGACCAGAACCCAGAGACTTTATGACAACAGCTGGAAAACTGCCTCCGAGTTTCCCTGCAGAACAACGACCAGAACCGGACCCACCTTCCGCTTCCTGCTGCGCCGGTTCTGGGGGCTCCGGCTGGACCCGGCTGGGCTTTGCTCTCCGTGGTTCCCATGTTTCAGCAGCTCTGAAGCCTCGGCGCCGCGGCCGCTCCTCCCCTCCTACCTGGTCCTCCTCCTGCAGCCGGGATGCGCAGGAATGCCGGTTATTCGCGCTCCGCCTCGTCCCAAACCGGTCCGTCTGCATTGGAGGAATTCCTCTCTCACCGCCTCAAAGTTTATTCCACAGTCATTTCTGTCAGGTGATTCGTGGAAGGAGGGAAACTGGAAGCCATGATGGATCCAAGCTGATGAGTCAATGAGTCATCTGTCTCTGAGAGAAGATCTTTGTTTTGGTTGGTCCAATGATCCAGAATCGCCGCAGATTTTGTTTTCATTGATTGAGAAGGAAAACCCAGTGATGCTCTCTGGCTCCCCCTGGAGGCTGCCTGTGGTATTCCCAGTTCAGGACGGACTGGGAAACCTGCAGGAATCCCTGATCCGTTTCCTCTTGTCCTGAGACGGAACCAACTTCCAAACTTTATCACCACATCCAGCAACTTTCAAACCCTCTGGTGACTCAAAACAGAAAACTTGGGACAAATGAAGCAAATTAAATTCACACAGAAACAAAGATGGAAACCTGAAGGTCCAATTCAAACAGAGACCAAAATCATTTGCTTGATGGACAAGTTGGGTCACGTTTCTTCATCCAGCCAACAGAACAGAACCAGACAGAACTCTATGTTCTGATCCATTTATGTTCTGATTATGTATTAAATATAGGAGATGGCAATTTACCTTACAGAAAGAAAGACAGAAAGGTTTACAAGTTAATTAGACTGGAACGACTAAATGCAGCCGCGACCCGCCCTGTTGCTCCACCAGCCGCTCATTTAGACGCTCAAACAGGACAAATTATCCTCAAACGGTTAAGCAACAAAATGATTCTGAGTCAGGTTTAATTCAGCCTCAGGCCTCTAACGATAACCAGTCGGGTCGGGTCGGGTCGGACCTGGTCGGGCCCAACCCATGTTCACTGTACCGTCTGTGGGCTCGGTCCGGTCCGGGTGGACTTTTAGGATCGATCTAATATCTGATGAGATCAGGAGGAAGATGTTCATAAAGTGGATTCATTTCTGGTGCCACAGTCTGGTTTTTATTTCTGCTTCCTGTTGATTTGGATTCTCTGTTCAGCTTGTTGAATATTAAACTGAATGAAAATTAAATGCAAGTGAACAGATTACGTCAGAATCATCATCCAAAAATTAACGAGCAAAACTAAAAATGTGAAAATGACAAGAAGAAAGTTCACACATACTGTATAAAATCTCAGGAAGAAGTCATAAAACAGAACTAAGTGCTGTGCTCTGATCCTCATGCAGCGTTTGGTTCTAACGGGCCTGGACCCGGCAGCTTTCAGCACATCTGTCAGCTCAGTCACGGTTCTGCTGCTGACAGGTTTCACTGAACCGAAGAGACGAGCTAAAGTGCATCAGACTGCTTTGATGCAGCTGAGAATCGTTTTCCTGCAGGAGTCACAGTGCCGGCCCAGTGAGGTTCTGCTGCGGTTCTGCAGGAAACCTGCAGCCGCAGATCAGGTAGAAGTCCAGGCTTCAGCTGCTGCTGAATCAGGAAGGTTATCTGGACGCAGGAAGGAATGTTTATTAGCCTTCAGTTGCATAACAACGTCGGGTCGTAAACCTGAGATAATGATCGACTTTCACTGCAATGCGCAGCGCTAAGGGCTGTCTTGACATCCAGAGACAGAAACAATCAGAATGAATCCCCTGGAGGATCAGAGCTGACGGTGTGATTATTCACAGCCCAGCAGCTCGAATCAACAGAACCGGAGCAGGAACAGGTTCCAGCAGGAAAGTGCTCCGAGGAACACTTTTAACCTTCGTCTGGAAGTTTTTATTATTAGTCAGAGCAAGGCAAATATTTACTGAACAGCTTCTGCATCCAGGATGTGGAGATCCTGCTGCTCCCGGCCAATCAGCAGCCAGAATCAGCAGCCAATCAGCAGCCAGAAGAAGCCTGCAGCAGCCAATCAGCAGCCTGCAGCAGCCAATCAGCAGCCAGAAGAAGCCTGCAGCAGCCAATCAGCAGCCTGCAGCAGCCAATCAGCAGCCAGAAGAAGCCTGCAGCAGCCAATCAGCAGCCTGCAGCAGCCAATCAGCAGCCAGAAGAAGCCTGCAGCAGCCAATCAGCAGCCAGAAGAAGCCTGCAGCAGCCAATCAGCAGCCTGCAGCAGCAACAACTGATAAGAGGTCTGTCAGACTCAAACCAGCCTGAAAGTCAGAGCTGATTGGAAGTTGATGCCCTGCAGAGGATGGTGAGGGGAGCTGAGATCAGGATCCGATCGATTAGATAGATTATAACTATAAACCTGCTGCCAGGAGGTGAACATGACTTGCATAACTATTACTAGGGTACACATTCTGAGTTCTCTACTTCGCTCCTGTTGGTCTGGAAGCCATGGCTCATCAACGCTTTGCGCTGCACTTGCCTACCAACATGGCGGCGCGGATCACTTCCGCTCCAGATTAAGAATTTATCTGGAAAACTTAATTCAGGGGAAGCTAAGTGCGCTAATCGTTTTCAAAGTTAGCTAAAGCGCTAAGCACAAAATTAGCCTCTGAAAAAATTAGTGAAAGTGTGCCACTACTGCTATACCTTCAGTTATTCCGAAAATGTTTTAATAATCAACCGTTTCAGAGGCTCTCAGAATAATTGAGTCTTTTTGAACATTTTAAAGCAGCAATCAGTGAACAGGTGAGTTTGGATCGAATGATGATCCAGCAGGTAAATGTCACCAACATCTTGGTCTTAAAAACTTGATGAAATCAGGAAGAGTTGATGTTTTGGGGTGAGGTTTAATTTTCCTTCCTTGTATTATTTGTGGGATTTTCATCATCGCAACCAAAGAAATGAGAGCAAACTGGGTTTTTACACAAGAGCCAGACTGAAAAGGAAAAACGTGCCTGTTGAGCTCTGGGTGGAAGCCAGTTCAAGGGAAGCATTTCACTCAGAGAGCATCTCAGGTTAATCACGGCCCGGTTGTTGCCGCTGCGTCCATCATCGCTGCGTTTCAGCAGCTTGTTTCTGGGCGAGGACAGAAAGCCATTCCTACCGACGCTGTAAAGACAGGCTGCTGCGCTGCAGACCGCCGGAGGGCAGGGAGCTGTGAAACAGATCTCTGATGGTCTCCACTCGTTTAGCTCAGGTTGGACTGACCTGTAATTTACGAGCCCAAACACATTCGACTGGAACAGGAAGGAGGCGGAAGAAGCTCCTCTGCTTGGGAACATCTGAATCCAGTCAAATGTGACAAGTTAGGAATCTGCAGCGGCTCAGAAACCATCAAGCTGCAAAAACTCCTGTCAGTTCCCAGCTGGAAAACCAGCTAAAGACCCTGTCAGGTCAGAGGTCACGCTCTGCCTCCAGAGGAAGTGCAGTGCCTGTTCCTGAGTGACGGATGGATGAGCGGTTCGTCTTGCAGCCTGGTTTTATGTTGACCTGAAGGTCCTGAGTTACGAACCGCGACTGAAGGATTCAATCTGCAGGGATGGTTGTTGAGCTTCTTTACCTCACAGGGAGTCGGCTGAGCTGGATCAGCATCTGAAAACTGATACTTACCTTCAGAGGTCATCCAGGCAGGAAACCAGGTGAGCTCTGAGGATTCAGCGCTGAACTCAGGTCAACATGATGCTGAACTCAACAAATGAGTTCCCAGATTTCCATGTGTATCATCGCTCTATAGCTCTATAACCCAGACTGCATGGGCCGCTTTTACAATGTTACCAGACTAGAACCACTAAACCAAACTGGTAACCAAACTCGCACCGCTCAGAAGAAACAAGGCCAAATAGATCAGATGAATCTTCCCATGGTGATAACTTGGCATTCCTGAATGGGTAGGTTCCTTACCAACGGTAAAAAGAAGTAGTTTCGTCCCTGAAGGTGGAGAAGCTAACATGCTAGTAAACTGCTGATCGTGAATCATTCTGGATCAAACCACCTGCGGGGATTCTGACCTTCGGTCCGTTCTTAGAGGAGTGGATTCATGACGGGTCGCCTGGTACCCCCGGAGAATGCATCAAACTTCTCATCAAACAGTCCAAACACCTCTAACCCAGTTAAATCTCCTCAGTCAGAACCTTTGCGGATTGTCTTTGGCAGCTTTTCTTCCCAGTTTCAGCCCAGAACTTTGTTCCGGGTCGTTTTCAGTTAGTGAAAGGAACGGTGCAAACGGAAGTACCTCAGAGAACAGGTGCTGGATGACCGCGGCCAGCGCCTCCACCTTGCGGTTCCCCTGGACCAGAAGCCTCCTCAGCTGGACGATGGCCTGGTTCTTCCTCTCCACCTGCTCTTTGTTCTGGTTCTGCTTCGTCGGCGCCGCTCCGGGTCGGGATGCGTGCTGCGGCCGGGGCCCGTGTTTAGGGCTGGACCGTGACCCGGTTCTGGCTTTGAGCCCCGGACCGGTGGGTGCAGCGGACCAGATGTGGCGCTGGAGCCATCAGGAGATGGGACTGGGAGGGCTGGTGTTACTGGGCTGTTGCCGTTCAGAACATCTGGAACCTGAGGACAGAAAACTTTAGATTTAGATAAAATCCTTCAATCTGAGCCAAAGGAGGCGGTGCAGCCGGACGTACCGGCTCAGCGGGAAGGTTCTGCTGGTGCCCAGTGGTGATCTGGGAGCCACCGCTCGCGGGTCTCGTCGGCGCCTCCCGCGGCTTGTTTTTGTCCACTGCAAGAGAAAGTCGAGACGTCAGAGTCCGAGAAACGTTCAGCATGGCGTCCGCACAAACCCAAACACTCCTCCTCCAGACATGAGAGAGAAAACAACACGGCCGACCCGCCTGGTTCCGAGGAGACGCGCCCCTCGCTGCTCAGGCTCACACTGATGCATGATGGGAAACCGAGGTAATGATGGACGACGTTAAGCAGTCCATTACCAGAGCAGAAATATTGAGAGCTTCCTCTGAATGCATCCATTTACCGATCGACCGTCAGCTCCTCGGGTTCTGGTTCTGACTCACCAGCCGGGTGGAAACTGCAGCCATCTGCAGATATCTGAGCTTCAAATGACATGAAACTGGACCGGACTGATTTAGTCCTGCAGCAGGACCAAAAGCGAAAAGGTCCAAAAGCAGCTGACTGGATCAGAACCAAACAAACCAGCAGAACTAAAGCCAAGATATTTTGTCAGTTTCGTATTTCAGACAAAAACATCAAGATAGAGTAAAACAATTATTAATCAAAACCACCAGTTCTGAGCTTTTGCACCAATCTGGTGTTTTATGACCAAAATAACAGATAAATATATTGTCTATTTATTCATGGATTTAGCAGAAAAAATGATTATTTAAATGAAAATGTTTATCAATATGTAGCTTTCAATTAAAATGAGATTCACTGGCCTGTCACAAGAACAGGTCTATTAATTGTCCCAGAAGTTATTCCCATAAATGCTAATATTGTTGTTTTGAGACCATTTTCCAGTAATAACATGTTGACAGCATAATAATGCAAGAACTTATCACTAAACCTTAAATACCAATAAAGGTTTGACACTGGAAGAGCATTTAACCCTTTCCTCCTGAGGCTCCTCTAAATCAGAAGCAGAGTGAGACCTCTCACTCTCTGGGATCTGCGTTCCTGTAGCTAGTGACTGATCTGATGATCTCTTGCCTCAGACTTTAAATCAAAAGCTGAAAAGCATCTCCTTTAGTTTCAGGAAACGCTGCCCCCTGCTGGCGGCCGCTGAGCAGGACAGCATGACTCAAGCCTGCTGTTTTCTCTACGGTCTGGTTATTTTAGGACCAATGTGAATCAATCTTTATTGATCATTTACTAACAGTTTCATTCCTCATTCAGGGACTTTGGCATCTTCACAGCATCTGAACTGGGTCGGAACCGGTCCAGACCTTCAAGAGGAGAGCTGTCAGATTTAACAGCACTCCAGCAGACAGAGAGAATCATTTTATAAGGATCAGAGAAACACAGCGACACCCAGAAATCTCTTCAATATGAACCACAAACCATTACTAATTAAGATCTTCCTGTTGGGATTGGTGAGCAATGGTGGCACTGGGCAGCGCTAACTAAAAAAGCTAGCTGCGCTACCTAAAAAGCTAGCTGCGCTAACTAAAAAGCTAGCTGTGCTAACTAAAAGCTAGCTGCGCTAACTAAAAAGCTAGCTGCGCTAACTAAAAGCTAGCTGTGCTAACTAAAAAGCTAGCTGCGCTAACTAAAAAGCTAGCTGCACTAACTAAAAGCTAGCTGCGCTAACTAAAAGCTAGCTGCGCTAACTAAAAAGCTAGCTGCGCTAACTAAAAGCTAGCTGTGCTAACTAAAAAGCTAGCTGCGCTAACTAAAAAGCTAGCTGCGCTAATTAAACCTAGCTGCGCTAACTAAAAAGCTAGCTGCGCTAACTAAAAGCTAGCTGTGCTAACTAAAAAGCTAGCTGCTGTGCTAACTAAAAGCTAGCTGCGCTAGCTAGCTAGCTTTTAGGTAGCTAGCTAAAAGCATGAACCATAAACAGTAGTTCTGCTAATAGTGAAGCAGATTGGTTTCTGTTAGATGGTTCTGAATAAATTTGAGGTTTTAGTTTCTACACTGATGGAAAATCTGTGTGAAAATATAAAGTTTGAGTTTGGTGATGGGAAAAATGGTCCTCTCTTTAAAAATTGTGACCCATTTTGATCAACAGATTTTTCTTCACAAAAAGCTTCAGAAAACCCGGATAATGATCCAGTCCGGATCAAAGCAAGGAACATGGACAGGTGAGGTTTCAGGTGTGCTGAGGTGAGTTTGTACCTGGAGCCTCTCTGGCTGAAAGGCAGAGCTGCTGAGCCCAGACTGGAGGAGGAACCAGACAGTTAGCATGCAGGTCCAACAACACAACGAAGAAAAACCAGAGAGGAGGAAGAGGAGGAAGGTCAGGAGGAAGAGGAGGAAGGTCAGGAGGAAGAGGAGGAAGGTCAGATGAACCTTCAGCTTTAAACACTTTGTTTCTCCATCATGGATCTTTAAGCGACGGTTCGTCTGCAGCTTCAGCAGCATTAAGGTTCCACTGGCTATAATTATCACTGTTACTGTTTCTGCTGGTTCTGTTGGACCCAGTACGATCAGAACCGTTCAGAACTTCCTTCCGGCTGGTCTGGTCTGACTGCAGGCAGACTCTTACTCCCTGTGACCCGTTTGCAGCCAACTGGGCTGACCGGTTCCCTAGAACAGCTTCCGTTCTGTCCCAGTTTGACCTGCACAGCAAATGATAAATAGAAAGGCCAGTTTTTTTTCCTCCGGTCCGAAGCTGGATCAGAACCGTCTCTGGTTTCACGTCTCAATAAATGACTTCAGTTTCTCAAAATAATGAAAGTAAATCAGCACCACCAAGCATGATGCTGCCACCACCGTACTGCAGTTAGCATGACAAGCATCCCTGGTGTCCCTGCGGATGCGAGGCGTCCAGTTCGTTTCTCCCTGCCGGTTCAAACTGCAGCCTGGCTTCTGAAGTTTGTTTCAAAATGTTCTGAGAACGTTTATATTCAGCTAAAAAGAGTTTCCACCCCGAAGAGGGTTTATCGGTGACCCGGCTGCCGGGGAAAGATGCGTTTACTGACCAGAAAAAGATCGGATTGTCAAGTTTCTGACTGAAGACATACATTTCTTTCTTATCCCAGTTTTCTGAAGTGAAAGTCTAATTTTCTAAAATCTGCTCCAATAACAGATTATTTTAGTACATTTACATTTATAAATTTGTTTCTACTTAAAAATCATAAGTTTACCAATTATAAGAGAAAACCGTCAAGAATCTGGTTGAATTGTAGGAAGGTTATTTTAATATTTGGGGATTAATGTCATTAAATGTTCAAAATAATTTAGATACAACTGATTTTTTACATTTCAGTGGAAAAATATAAAATAAAAATGATATAAATGTTGAGCCAGCAGCTTCAGACTGAAAATAAAAGAACATCTCGACCTGTTCTGGGTCGTGGGATTATAATCCAGCAGCAGATTACGGGCCGCCTCAGCTGAACGCTGCAGCTGGATGACCTACATCCAGCGGGGAAACGGGTCTGTGGATCCCGACCCAGAAAACACACAGCGGCGGCCAAACACGTGCCGCTGCGCTCAGCTGGGCGAATCCTCCCAGAGAGGAGCCGCTCTGAACAGAACCGGGTCCATCTGGACCAGAACCCAGCCAAACACGAGCTGGAACACGGCTGTTAATCCAGATGAAATGTTCAAGGTGGAGGAATTAACCACTAATCTGGATGAGAAACATGAAATCAGATCGGATCTGAAATATTTGGTTCTTGCCAGAATAAACAACAATTTACCATCCAGAACCAGAATTTATTAAAGATCCAGTTTACAGTTAAAGGGCCGGTGTCGCGTAAAATTAGTGTTTTTAGCTTTCCATCATTTTAATGTTTTACCCTCATCGGCCCCACCTGCGAGGAACAGCTCCTTCAGACTAGCCAGTAGCAATTAGCAAACACCTGCGGAGCTCATGATAGGAGCTGCTGCTCAGCAGCTGGTAAAAACGTTGGAGGGTTCATAGAGGAGCCATGTTGGGACGACTTCCTGGAGGCGGAGCTTCAGAGAGAGCAGGAGCTCTTAAAGAGACACAGGCCCAATTTCAAGCCATTAAATCAGGAAGTCAAATATCTTTTAGGTCATAATTGACACATATAGCATTTTAATAAAAACTGATGGTAACATAGTTACATGATTGTGGTATAAAATGGCCGCCATGTGCCTGGAAAACACATAATACCGGTCCTTTAAATCTTCTGTTCAGCATCAATATCTGACTGATTCAACCAATGAGGTTAAAGGTCCAACCTGCCAGAAACAACTTTCTACCAGATGACACCACAATCTGACCTCTGACCTGGGCTGCGACTTCGGTAACGGTCTGCCAGCATAATGTGCCACTGCTGCCCTCTGGTGGCGACTCTACGTGTAGTTTATTAAATAAAGAGCACATCACGCTCTTCAAAAAGGTTATTTTTCCAAACTGGTTCAGTTTAAACTCGGTCAGCTAAAAGGCAGAAGCAGCATGTACTGATCTACTTCCTGATTCACTTTGGGGTCAAAGGGCACCACACACGTTAATAAATCTGTGCTTTAAAATATAAAGAAATGTCTGAACTGAGGCCATTTTCACACATTAAGATTCATCTACACCTTCAAGATTAAAACTACAGAGATAAATTTGTTTCAATATTATTGCAAGCAAAGAACACATCTAAAAAATGTAAAGAAAAAATGCATTTTAAAATAAACCTTTGTAAATTGTCAAATGTATTGAATTGTTTTTTTCCCCCCCAGGTCCAGAGCTGGGATTAAACATGGCCGCCCAGAGATTAGCCAATCTGTTTCAGATTAAAACTGTTTGGTTCCTCAGATTTCTCTGTTTTCTCCAGAGCGGTTACTGAGAAAGAGGAGGAGGAGCCGAAGGACGGAGGGCATCCTGTTCATGTGTGGGTCACATGGCGCCGCTGAAACAGCCGGCGGCCATCTTTATTCGCTGCTGCAGAGCCACTCGTGCAGAAAGCGTCCACGCTCATCTGTGTGAACACAACTGACAAGCAGAGCTGAAGGGACGATCCGCACAATATTGCAGGCAACAATGGCTGCCGAGGAAGAGGAGGAGGAGGAAAGGGGGGAGGTTTGGGGTTAGACCGACATCACAAACAGTGAGAGGAAGAGGATGGCGGGTTCATGATGAAGATAAGAGGAATGAAACTAAACAGATTTAAGAACTATGACCTGGTCAACCAAAACGACGTGGATCGTCATGTGGCGCCTTAAGCTCCGCCCATAGGTCGGGGGAGGCAATCGCTATGGGGACTGCAGGAGGAGGGAGACTGGGACAAACTGGGACAGGCTGGGACAAACTGGGACAGAGGGAGACAAACTGGAGTGAATTGGGTCAAACTGGGAAGTGCTGAAATATATGAAAGTGACAGAAGAGAGCGATGAGAAGAGGATGAGACAGAGGAAAATGGTTGGATGGTGGTTGGTTGATTGTGCGATGGTGGTTGGATGGTGGTTGGCTGATGGTGGTTGGTTGATGGTGGGATGATGGTTGGATGGTGGTGGTTGGTTGATTGTGGGATGGTATTGGTATGGTGGTTGGATGGTGGTGCTTGGTTGGGAGGGATGGTGGTTGGTTATTGTTGGATGGTGGAGGCATGGTGGTTGGTTGATGGAGGGATGGTGGTTGGTTGATGGAGGGATGGTGGTTGGTTGATTGTTGGATGGTGGAGGGATGGTGGTTGATTGATGGTGGGATGGTGGTTGGCTGATGGTGGTTGGTTGATTGTGGGATGATGGTTGGATGGTGGTGGGACGGTGGTTGGTTGATGGAGGGATGGTGGTTGGGTGATGGTGGTTGGTTGATTGTGGGATGGTGGTTGGCTGATGGTGGTTGGTTGATGGTGGGATGGTGGTGGTTGGTTGATTGTGGGATGGTATTGGGATGGTGGTTGGTTGATGGAGGGATGGTGGTTGGATGATGGTGGCATGGTGGTTGGATGATGGTGGGATGGTGGTTGGTTGATTGTTGGATGGTGGAGGGATGGTGGTTGGTGATGGTGGGATGGTGGTTGGGTGGGTGGTTGGTTGATTGTGGGATGGTGGTTGGCTGATGGTGGTTGGTTGATGGTGGGATGATGGTTGGATGGTGGTGGGATGATGGTTGGATGGTGGTTGGTTGATGGAGGGATGGTGGTTGGTTGATTGTTGGATGGTGGAGGGATGGTGGTTGATTGATGGTGGGATGGTGGTTGGCTGATGGTGGTTGGTTGATTGTGGGATGATGGTTGGATGGTGGTGGGACGGTGTTGGTTGATGGAGGGATGGTGGTTGGGTGATGGTGGTTGGTTGATTGTGGGATGGTGGTTGGCTGATGGTGGTTGGTTGATGGTGGGATGGTGGTGGTTGGTTGATTGTGGGATGGTATTGGGATGGTGGTTGGTTGATGGAGGGATGGTGGTTGGATGATGGTGGCATGGTGGTTGGATGATGGTGGGATGGTGGTTGGTTGATTGTTGGATGGTGGAGGGATGGTGGTTGGGTGATGGTGGGATGGTGGTTGGGTGATGGAGGGATGGTGGTTGGATGATGGTGGCATGGTGGTTGGATGATGGTGGGATGGTGGTTGGTTGATTGTTGGATGGTGGAGGGATGGTGGTTGGGTGATGGTGGGATGGTGGTTGGGTGATGGTGGGATGGTGGTTGGGTGATGGAGGGATGGTGGTTGGGTGATGGAGGGATGGTGGTTGGGTGATGGAGGGATGGTGGTTGGGTGATGGAGGGATGATGGTTGGTTGATTGTTGGATGGTGGAGGGATGGTGGTTGGTTGATTGTTGGATGGTGGAGGGATGGTGGTTGGGTGATGGTGGGATGGTTGGGTGATGGTGGGATGGTGGTTGGGTGATGGAGGGATGGTGGTGGGTGATGGAGGGATGGTGGTTGGGTGATGGAGGGATGGTGGTTGGGTGATGGAGGGATGATGGTTGGTTGATTGTTGGATGGTGGAGGGATGGTGGTTGGTTGATGGAGGGATGGTGGTGGGATGGTGGTTGGTTGATGGAGGGATGGTGGTGGGATGGTGGTTGGGTGATGGAGGGATGGTGGTTAGGTGATGGTGGGATGGTTGCTCGGCCAGGTCCAGACCTGCGTGGAACACCACGGTGTTTTTCCTGCATCCTGGCAGAAGCTGCAGGTTTCGGAAAAGTCCTTTAGCTGTCAGCTTCACATGGAAGTTGGACAGCGAGAGTCTGGGGGACCAGAGCATCGTCTCGCCTCCGGGTCGTCCTCGTACCGGGAGGATTCAGGTCCTCAGGATAAAGCAGTACCAAGGTTCTTTCTTCCCTCGGATGAAGAAACGTTCAGCCAAGCTAAACCCGGGGACCGACCGACTGGGTCTTTGTGCGTCCGTGTCTCTCTGCTTTTGCCACGTGGGTCCAACCGAAGCCGAGTTTCTCAGATTCAGAGATTCAACCAGGAATCAGAGTCTGTTAATCCTCCACCTGCTCTTCATCGCATCAAAGCCACAGAAAAATAGGAAAAACACAAACATACGAGGAAGAGGAGGAGGAGGAGCGTGTTTCTGTCGTACGATTCAGAGAGGAGGGAGAAAATGGCGCCAAAAATAGTCGGCTTCTTCTCCTCCGTCGCTCAAGTGGAAAAACCAGAAGAAGAAGAAAGAGGAAGAGAAACAGAGATGGAGGAAGAGGAAATTCTCTCTTTTCCCAGAGTCTGTATCCTGATTCACACAAAGACGAGCACGTCCACCACCCCTCTGCTGCTGCAGCTCTGCTGGGCAAACACAGAGAGGAAGAGGAGGGAGGGAAAGGAGGAGGAGATAGGACGGAATAATCTCCCTTCACTTTCCCTCCATTTAAAGAGCCACAGATCACACACACACACACACACACACACACACACACACACACACACACACACACACACACACACACACACACACACACACACACACACACACACACACACCTCTGCCAGCAGCAGGTTGAGTAAAACGCAACGCAAACAATGTCCCGGCCGGAAAACGGTTGTAAATAATAAACGTAAATTACGAAGCTTCAGGTCAGCTATATTTTCCTCAAGGAATTTTAATAATCCAGGTACTCAAATCATTTGGAGTCGTTTCAGTCCCAATCCAGATCTGAATCCACCTGATGTTGAGATATTCTCCATCCAACCTGAATCAGGAATCTGATCCAGCAGGTCCCAGATGCAAACCAGCGCCCCCAGCTGGCAGCAGGGCGTAGTTTCACCTTCAGGAGCCCGGCGCTTCACTGAGCAGAGACTGACTGCAGACTGACTGCAGACTGACTGCAGACTGACTGGAGACTGACTGGAGAATGACTGCAGACTGACTGGAGACTGACTGGAGACTGACTGCAGACTGACTGGAGACTGACTGGAGACTGACTGGAGAGTGACTGCAGACTGACTGGAGACTGACTGGAGACTGACTAAAGACTGGAGAGTGACTGGAGACTGACTGCAGACTGACTGGAGACTGACTGCAGACTGACTGCAGACTGACTGGAGACTGACTGGAGAGTGACTGCAGACTGAATGGAGACTGACTGCAGACTGACTGCAGACTGACTGCAGACTGACTGCAGACTGACTGGAGACTGACTGCAGACTGACTGCAGACTGACTGCAGACGGCCAAAAACACCCAGTAAACACGTTTAAACACCAAAAAATTCAATATGCAGGAACAAAATGATGAAATGAGACATATTCAGATCAGTTTAGAACCAGCAGATTAAAAGGAGGATTTCTCATATTCAGGATCGTCTGATATAAATACTACATGTTTATTAAATGCCCCAGTCGCTCCACTGTCAGCCCAGTTTAATTACAGTTTACTGGTTCCGACCCGTTTATGTGCTTCAGTCCAAATTCAAAGGAACGGCGGTGGTGCTCACAAATAATTATAGAAAAACATTTAGTCATCATAATCCAGATTATTAAAACAACCCTAATCTAGAGACTTTCAGAAATGATGACGATGTTTTCCATTTTCTCACAGATAATAAACTTAAACATTAAGTTTAGCTTTGATTTGCTGAGCTAAATAGTTACCTCCATACTAAATACTTCATATTGCTAACGAGATATTTAGGTTGTAGCAAAGTGTTTAGCTTCATGCTAAATATTTACCTGGTTAGTTAATATTTAGACTGAGGTAAATATTTAGTCAGGAAGTTAAATCAAAAAATGTTGAATTTGCTAGTTTACGATTCGCTTGAATTAAATCGTAAACTAGTAAATAAATATTTAGCTAATTAGACATTTAGTTAGCAGTTAATTTTTAAGTTTGCCAACCTAAAAATGAGCTCCAGACTAAAATCTATTTAGAAAGCTAAATATTAACAACCAATGAAGGTTCTCCTGTTGCTGCATTATTGCCGTTTCCATGAAAACCACAGGCAGGAAGCCCCGCCCACCGCCTCTCAGGTGGCTTACCTGTGCTGTTCAGGCGACTGAGCCGGGTCGAGCCGTTCCTCTGCAGCGGGGGCTTCGCCGACCCGGGCGGCACCGCCTTCGCCGCCGGCTGGCCGCCAGGAGTTCTGATGGCGTTCTGGTTGGTGCCGGTCGGGCTTTTCAAACCTGCAGGTCCAGAGAGACGTGAAACACCATCGTCTCTGACTGGAGTCAACCGGGTCAGTCAGAACCGGGTCAGTCAGCTCCACTCATATCTGCAGAATCAGCCGGTTCTGGTCCAACAGTCCCATCTGTTCTGGATCACGTGATTCTGACATAAATATCTGGCGGCAACCGACCCAGCTGATAATCCCCCTGGGTCAAAGGTCACATCCGGAGGGTCATCACCACTGCAGCCTTCGCAGTATCCGTCCCGATTTCAACTCTGAAACCGGAACCAGAAGCAGATCCAGAACCAGAGCGATCCTGGTGGCACCGGCCCTGGAGGTTCTGCCTACCTGTCCCGGTTTAAAACCTCCTCACCTGTCGTCGCCCTGGCCTGCAGAGGCAGCGCTCTGCCCTTCATGGCGGCCGCTGGAGGCTTGGGGGCGGAGCAGGACGAGCCGTCACTGGGAGCACTGGGAGCACTGGTGCTGCCTCTGCTGGGCGGTTCATCGGGTTTCGACCCGGCAGCTGCAGGCGAGAAATCGCTTCAGGTTCAACCAGCATCACATTCCTCCATTCCTTTCCTTCATTCTATTTCATTCAGAAAAACCTTCACTGGTCTTAAAGGGCCAGTAGTCTGTTCTCCAGACACATGGTGGCCATTTTATACCATAATCAAGTAACTATGTTACCTTCACATAGTTACATAAAATATAACCTGAAAGAAATTTAGGTCTTCCTGCTTTAACGCTTCAAAATTGGGCTTCTGTCTCTTTAAGAAACTCCTACTCTTTCTGAAGCTCCGCCTCCAGGAAGTCACCCAACATGGCTCCTCTATTAACCCTTAACGTTTTTACCAGCATTGCTCTGAGCAGCAGCTCCTATAATGAGCTCAGCAGTTCCAGCTGTTTGCTAATTACTGCTGGCTATTCTGAAGGAGCTGGGTGGGGGAGGGGCTTCGCCTCAGAGGCGGGGCTAGGCCCACCCAGGTGTTCTGCAGCTGAATGGTTTTCTGCAGGTTTGTTTCCAATGAAGGAAAAACGTGAAAGTTAATTTTACATGATACTGTAAAGGGAAGTTTTATGAATTTGATCTTTTCTGACATTAAAAACTAAAATCAGCTCCTTTTTTTTTTTGAACTTACATTTTTATTATTATTTTCTACAGAGCAAATATACAGCCATACATCAGTGGTACATAATACAAATGTTGACAATATAATGATTTTCATAAAATAAACATCTCAGCATAATATCTTACGACCTCAGCATCACATTTGTTGACGTCTTACTAAACAATCCTAAAATGGAAATAGACACTTCGTGGGATAGTTAAACACCATATGACATACCTATTGGGTTTATTTACATCAACAGAGCTTCTGCTGGGCCCCAGCGCCGACTAAAAGTGTTTTTTTGAAGTCTTAATGAGTATGTTATTTGTTCCATTCTATACAATTCCCTTACTTTTTGAACCCATAAGTCATAGGAAGGTGGCTCCAATTGCATCCACCTGATTGTAATACATTTCAGGTTTGCTGCTGTAAAAAGGATATTTAGCAGATATACTTTAGCCCGTCCTTGCAAACCCTCTGGTATAATACCAAGTAGTGCAACTGTAACATCCTTTGGTAAAACCCCTGGAAAGATATGACTTATGGCTCCGTACATCTCGTCCCAGAAGTTTTGAAGTTTGGGGCATGACCAGAAAATGTGTGTGGTTGGGGTTTGCTGAGCCACAGTTTCTCCAACACAAGCTTGGAACCGTAGGGTCCATCTTAGCAACTACATCTGGGGTCCTGAAATATCTGCTAATAATTTTCCATTTAAATTCCCGCCACATGTTCGAGTTTGTAACTCGATGTGCTTCAGTCCAGACGTTTCGTCAGAAATGATTTTGGCCGTCTCTGCCTCCCATCTTTGCTTTGTCCAAGTGGGTTTATTAAGGTTCATTGACAGAAATACACTATATAACTTTGCTATCAGTTTTTTATTCCCTTCCCCTTTCTGGAAATGGATTAAAGATTTTCTAATGGTGTGGGATTTAGTATTCTTTTCCAGTCCCTGTGTGCAGACAAGAAAGAGCGCAACTGTAAATATCTAAAGAAATCACTCTTCAAATGACATAAGTCCGTTCCTGTCAATCAACTGGTGAATGAATATAAGCCCCTGTTCAGCCCACTTAGAAAAATTTCTGTCTAAGAAATTGGGTGTGAAGGATTTGACATGTCCAATACTTGTTAATATTGATAAACCTCTTGGTAGCTTGAATGAAATTCGCACTTTGTTCCAAATGTTAATAGTGGTTTTAGTCCACAGTGGCAGTTCCTTTACTGGAATATCTAAAAATGGCAATACCTTTAATGGTACTGAGCACTTTGCTTGCTCAATACTCAGCCATCTTGTTTGAGAGTCCTGTTGGATCCATGAAATTAAAGGCCTTAACTGAGCTGCCCAAAAATAGTATTTTAAAACAGGAAGACTGAGACCCCCTTCCATCTTACTTCTTTGAAGTGTTTTATATTTTATGCGAGGGCGCTTGCTTTGCCATATGAATTTCGATATCATTTTATCCAATTCAAGGAACGTAGATTTTGGTATGATAACCGGAACCATCTGGAACAAATACAATAATCTGGGTAACAGATTCATACGAATGGTTTCAATGCGGCCGAGGAGGGACAGAGGCACTGCTGACCATCGCTCTAGATCCTTTTTAATTATATGCAGCGTTTTAATGTAATTGACATGATACAAATCATTTAATGAGAGAGGAATATTGATGCCTAGGTATTTAATGCCCTTCCCTGGCCACCTAAAGCCGCTTTGTTGTTTAACCCCTAGTGGAATATTGCCATTGACATCCATTGCCTCTGTCTTAACAACATTTATTTTATAGCCCGAAAAATGGCCAAAAACAGAGATCATTTCCCTCAGACGTGGTATTGATGATGTAGGATCAGACAGATACAAAAATCAGCTCCTTTAAGATGTTCATTACAACAGAACCCGACAGAATCAGAACCTTCAGTCTGCTTGGAAAACGCAAAGCATCAAATTTAGAACCAGTTCAGAAATACAAGTCCAGCCTAAAAAGGACCGAAGAGTAACAAAAGTTCAATTTTTTAAACTTTTTATCTGATTGATAAAAAGCAGATTTTATATCTTTTCTTTAATAAAAACACTTGTTGTTTTTTTTCCACTTCGTTTTAAAATTACAATTTATTTCTACATGAAGGATTTTTTGTTTTTCTTCTTGAATCTCGACCTGGAAGAAGATCGATGTTACCTCTCAGGTGAACCACAGAACCAGAACCAGAACCTGAACCTGAACCTGAACCAGAACCTGAACCTGAACCCGAACCAGAACCTGAACCTGAACCTGAACCAGAACCTGAACCTGAACCCGAACCAGAACCAGAACCTGAACCAGAACCAGAACCAGAACCTGAACCAGAACCAGAACCAGAACCTGAACCAGAACCCGACAGCACGGCCGGTCTGATCAGAGAGCATGAATCTCGCCGCTCCACCTGTGTGAAGGTGTTTCAACACCTACGCCGCTCTCAGGGTCAGCATCACCATGGCAACCAGCTGGCACAAACGCAGACTGGTTTCCGTGGCAACCCGATCACACCATCAGAAATGTGTCGGTGAGAAAAAAAACGATGTTTACACAATCAACTCCAATCCTGGAGGAAGGAAAGGTAAAATATACCAAAAAAAACCTTCACTGACCCTGGCCTCTACCTGACCTTTACCTGACCTTTACCTGACCTTTACCTGACCTCTACCTGGCCTCTACCTGGCCTTTACCTGGCCTCTACCTGGCCTCTACCTGGCCTCTACCTGGCCTCTACCTGGCCTTTACCTGGCCTCTACCTGACCTCTACCTGACCTTTACCTGGCCTTTACCTGGCCTCTACCTGGCCTTTACCTGGCCTCTACCTGACCTTTACCTGGCCTCTACCTGACCTTTACCTGGCCTCTACCTGACCTTTACCTGGCCTCTACCTGGCCTCTACCTGACCTCTACCTGGCCTTTACCTGGCCTCTACCTGACCTTTACCTGACCTCTACCTGGCCTCTACCTGGCCTCTACCTGGCCTTTACCTGGCCTCTACCTGACCTTTACCTGGCCTCTACCTGACCTCTACCTGACCTTTACCTGGCCTTTACCTGACCTTTACCTGGCCTCTACCTGGCCTTTACCTGGCCTCTACCTGGCCTTTACCTGGCCTCTACCTGACCTTTACCTGGCCTCTACCTGACCTTTACCTGACCTCTACCTGGCCTCTACCTGGCCTCTACCTGACCTTTACCTGACCTTTACCTGGCCTTTACCTGGCCTCTACCTGACCTTTACCTGGCCTCTACCTGGCCTTTACCTGGCCTCTACCTGACCTCTACCTGACCTTTACCTGGCCTTTACCTGGCCTCTACCTGGCCTTTACCTGGCCTCTAGCTGACCTTTACCTGGCCTCTACCTGACCTTTACCTGGCCTCTACCTGGTCTCTACCTGACCTCTACCTGGCCTTTACCTGGCCTCTACCTGACCTTTACCTGACCTTACCTGACCTCTACCTGGCCTCTACCTGGCCTTTAACTGGCCTCTACCTGACCTTTACCTGACCTCTACCTGGCCTCTACCTGGCCTCTACCTGACCTTTACCTGACCTTTACCTGGCCTCTACCTGGCCTCTACCTGACCTTTACCTGGCCTCTACCTGGCCTTTACCTGGCCTCTACCTGACCTCTACCTGACCTTACCTGGCCTTTACCTGGCCTTTACCTTTACCTGGCCTACCTCTACCTGACCTTTACCTGGCCTTTACCTGGCCTTACCTGACCTTTACCTGGCCTCTACCTGGCCTCTACCTGACCTCTACCTGGCCTCTACCTGACCTTTACCTGGCCTCTACCTGGCCTCTACCTGGTCCTACCTGACCTCTACCTGGCCTTTACCTGGCCTCTACCTGCCTTTCCTGACCTTTACCTGACCTCTACCTGGCCTCTACCTGGCCTCTACCTGGCCTTTACCTGCCTCTACCTGACCTTTACCTGGCCTCTACCTGGCCTCTACCTGACCTCTACCTGACCTTTACCTGGCCTTTAACTGACCTTTACCTGGCCTCTACCTGGCCTTTACCTGGCCTCTACCTGACCTTTACCTGGCCTCTACCTGACCTTTACCTGGCCTCTACCTGACCTTACTGGCCTCTACCTGGCCTCTACCTGACCTCTACCTGGCCTCTACCTGACCTTACCTGGCCTCTACCTGGCCTCTACCTGACCTCTACCTGGCCTTTACCTGACCTTTACCTGGCCTTTACCTGGCCTCTACCTGACCTCTACCTGACCTCTACCTGACCTTTACCTGACCTTTACCTGACCTCTACCTGGCCTTTACCTGCCTCTACCTGACCTCTACCTGACCTCTACCTGACCTTTACCTGGCCTTTACCTGACCTTACCTGGCCTCTACCTGACCTTTACCTGACCTTTACCTGGCCTTTACCTGGCCTTTACCTGACCTCTACCTGGCCTTTACCTGGCCTTTACCTGGCCTCTACTTGACCTCTACCTGGCCTTTACCTGGCCTCTACCTGACCTCTACCTGGCCTTTACCTGGCCTCTACCTGGCCTCTACCTGGCCTCTACCTGACCTCTACCTGACCTTTACCTGGCCTTTACCTGGCCTCTACCTGGCCTCTACCTGACCTCTACCTGACCTTTACCTGGCCTTTACCTGGCCTTTACCTGACCTCTACCTGGCCTTTACCTGGCCTTTACCTGGCCTCTACTTGACCTCTACCTGGCCTTTACCTGGCCTCTACCTGACCTACCTGGCCTTTACCTGGCCTCTACCTGGCCTCTACCTGGCCTCTACCTGACCTCTACCTGACCTTTACCTGGCCTTTACCTGGCCTCTACCTGGCCTCTACCTGACCTCTACCTGACCTTTACCTGGCCTTTACCTGGCCTTTACCTGTCAACACGTCCTTCTCTTGTTTTAAGTCCATTATTTACATATTCTTGTTCCGGTACAGTTCAGGCTCTGTACTAATATTTACTTCTGATTTTGCTGGAAAAGTTCATTTACAAACATGAAGTATTAAAACAAGCCAGATAAATTATCCAAATTAAAATCAGATGAGATAAACTAAACTCATTTTTACTTATTAACAATAATAGATCTATTTTCTTTCAATTGTAAGTACAACAAAACCAAAAAGCTAAACTAAAAAATTTGAGGTTAAGAGGATAAAATTATGGTAAAACAAATCGTAAGCTGTACATTAAGATAAGGTCATTAAAAAAATTGCAAATATAGATTGGGCAGCTAAAGTTAAGGAAAACTAACGCTAAGCTAACCTGAAGGCTAACCTAACCTGAAGGCTAAGCTAACCTGAAGGCTAAGCTAAACTAGGATAAAACATTTAAATACCTTTTCTTGTGTTAAAACGTCTAATCCAGCCGTATGCTAGTCCTGAACAGAGCAGAGAATTAGGAGAAACTCAACTGAGATTCCTGACAGACTGAGCGAAGCGTCATCCTTCATAGGCGCCTGATGCTTACCTGAGCTTTCAGGTAATCTTTTGGAATCTTTGGGAATCTTTGGGATCGCCCCCTGGGAGCTAAAACCTTCTCTGCATCAGGATTTTTCACAGAAATAGAAACTACATGCATCTTTCTTTCTGGACCCAAAGTTACACTTTCTCTGGATCTTTACTGAAATAAAGAGGAACAGGAAGTAGTTTTTAAGAGAGCAGCAGCGCTCAGACACCAGCAGATCTCTGGATCTCTACCACATGTGACCTTTGACCCCAACTTGCTCAAATTCCCTGTCTCTGCAAGATTGGGGCAGAAGACAGTTTTATTTCACTCCAGCAACCCGACTGCTTCACGTCTGTCCCGATTAAATGGCGGCAGAGACGCAGGAAGTCCAGAGGAAGACAGGAAATGAGTGTGGAAGCCCCGCCCCCTCACCTTTGCTGCTGGCCGCGTTGATCTCGCTGATCCCCGCAGACGAAGAGCTCTGGCCGGCCGCCACACCTTTCACAGGAAGCTTGGAGGCGGCGGGAGCAGGTGGTCGCCATGAAGACCCGGGGGCTGACTGCTGATTGGATGATGGTTTGGGAATGGAGGCGGTGGACTGTGAGCGACTCCTGGAGCTCGAGGTTTGGGAATACCTGGAAGCAAATACAACGACCGTCTTCAAGAAAAGAACGAGAAACAGAAACAAATTCAACTTTCTCTGAGAATCAAGATGCAGACATTATGAAGATGTTTCCATCCATCCATCCATCATCCATCATCCATCCATCCATCATTCATCCATCATTCATTCATCCATCATCCATCCATCCATCATCCATCCATCATCCATCATCCATCCATCCATCCATCATCCATCCATCATCCATCATCCATCCATCATTCATCATCCATCCATCATCCATCATCCATCCATCCATCATCCATCCATCATCCATCCCATCATTCATCATCCTCCATCATCCATCCATCATCCATCCGTCCATCATCCATCCATCATCCATCCATCCATCATCCATCCATCCATCATCCATCATCCATCCATCCATCCATCCATCATCCATTCATCCATCATCCATCCATCCATCATCCATCCATCATCCATCATCCATCCATCATCCATCCATCCATCATCCATCCACCATCCATTCATCATTCATCATCCATCCATCATCCATCCATCCATCATCCATCCATCCATCCATCCATCCATCCATCCATCATCCATCCATCATTCATCATCCATCCATCCATCATCCATCCATCCATCCATCCATCATTCATCCATCCATCATTCATCCATCATTCATTCATCCATCATCCATCCATCCATCCATCATTCATCCATCCATCCATCCATCATCCATCCGTCCATCATCCATCCATCATCCATCCATCATCCATCCATCCATCCATCCATCATCCATCATTCATCCATCATTCATTCATCCATCAATCCATCATCCATCCATCATCATCCATCCATCATTCATCATCCATCCATCATCCATCATCCATCCATCCATCATCCATCCACCATCCATTCATCATCCATCCATCCATCCATCCATCATTCATCCATCCATCATTCATCCATCATTCATTCCATCATCCATCCATCCATCCATCCATCATTCATCCATCCATCATCCATCCATCATCCATCCATCATCCATCCATCATCCATCCATCCATCCATCCATCATCCATCATTCATCCATCATTCATTCATCCATCATCCATCCATCCATCATCCATCCATCATCCATCCATCATTCATCATCCATCCATCATCCATCATCCATCCATCCATCATCCATCCACCATCCATTCATCATCCATCCATCCATCCATCCATCATTCATCCATCCATCCATTCATCATCCATCCATCATCCATCCATCCATCATCCATCCATTCATTCATCCATCATCCATCCATCCATCATTCATCCATCATTCATTCATCCATCATCCATCCATCCATCATTCATCCATCATCCATCCATCCATCATCCCATCATTCATCCATCCATCCATCCATCCATCCATCCATCCATTCATCATCCATCCATCATTCATCATCCATCCATCATCCATCCATCCATCCATCCATCATCATTCATCCATCATCCATCCATCATTCATCATCCATCCGTCCATCATCCATCCATCATCCATCCATCATCCATCCATCCATCCATCCATCATCCATCATCCATCATCCATCCATCATTCATCATCCATCCATCATCCATCCATCCATCCATCATCCATCCATCCATTCATCATCCATCCATCATCCATCCATCATTCATCCGTCCATCACCATCCATCCATCATCCATCCATCATCCATCCATCATCCATCCGTCCATCACCATCCATCCATCATCCATCCATCATCCATCCATCATCCATCCATCCATCATCCATCCATCATCCATCCATCCATCATCCATCCATCCATCCATCATCCATCATCCATCCATTTGTTTTTCTTCTTGAATCTCGACCTGGAAGAAGATCGATGTTACCTCTCAGGTGAACCACAGAACCAGAACCTGAACCTGAACCTTTTCAGGTTCAGGTCCATCCATCATTCATCATCCATCATGGATCATGGATGATGGTTCCTTAATCCATTATTCATCCATCCATCCATCCATCATCCATCCATCCATAAATCCATCCATAATCCATCAATCATCCATCCTTAATCCATCATCCATCCATCATCCATCCATCATCCATCCATCAATCATCCATCATTCATCATCCATCCATCCATCAATCAATCATCCATCCATCCATCCATCAATCATCCATCATCCATCCATCATTCATCATCCATCCATCATCCATCCGTCCATCATCCATCCATCCATCAATCATCCATCATCCATCCATCATTCATCATCCATCCATCATCCATCCGTCCATCATCCATCCATCCATCCATCCATCCATCATCCATCCACCATCCATCCATCATTCATCATCCATCCATCCATCATCCATCCATCATCCATCCATCCATCCATCATCCATCCATCATCCATCATCCATCCATCATCCATCCATCAATCCATCCATCCATCATCCACCCATCCATCCATCATTCATCATCCATCCATCCATCATCCATCCATCATCCATCCATCATCCATCTATCCATCATCCATCCATCCATCCATCTATCCATCATCCATCCATCCATCATCCATCCATCTATCCATCATCCATCCATCATCCATCCATCCATCATCCATCCATCCATCATCCATCCATCATCCATCCATCATCCATCCACCATCCATCAATCCATCCATCATCCATCCACCATCCATCCATCATCCATCCATCCATCCATCATCCATCCATCCATCCATCATCCATCCATCCATCATCCATCCATCTATCCATCATCCATCCATCATCCATCTATCCATCATCCATCCATCATCCATCATCCATCCATCCATCCATCCATCCATCATCCATCCATCATCCATCCATCATCCATCCATCATCCATCCACCATCATCCATCCACCATCCATCAATCCATCCATCATCCATCCATCATCCTTTCATCATCCATCCACCATCCATCCATCATGCATCCATCCATCATCCATCCATCCATCATCCCTCCATCCTCCCATCATACTTCGTCCAGCTCTTCCTGTTAGTGCGTCCTGAAGAGTCCAGCAGGTCCAGTTTGTCCATCATTCTGTACTGGGACAGGTTGTGGTTCCATCAGCTGCTGCTGGTTTTTTATGCACAAGATCTGAGATCTAATTCCCCCAAATTCCTCAAAATCCTTCAATGTTTGAATGTGTAGAAACAGATATGTGCAAAATTCTTCCAATGTTTCTCTGAGAAATTTCATTTTCATTCAGTTCAATTATTTTCTCACACGTTTGTTGTCAAAGCAGAGATTCCTGGAAGACCACATGGATCAGGACAGCGAATGAAAACCTGGAAGTTTTGTCCTCCAGGAGTCTCTTTGTCCCAGGAGCTTTTGTTTTGTTGCTCCGACTTGTTTGTGGGACCAAACTGTGGCTTGATGCTGAACTTTATTGTTCTGCAGGAAAAACCATTTGTTGTGCCGTTAAGGACTCAGAAAGGAGGCGTTTAAACTTTTCACAGAGTTAAATATAAGTCTAAATTACAGCTGAGAAACCAGCAGACAGGACTGGTCTTTCTGCAGCTGGATGGTTTACAGTGAAAGAACTGTGCAGCACTGCGTCACTCGTCATTTCTGCAGACTGATTCACACATTCTTTCCAAAGAGCGAGGCAGAGAGAATCCCTGAGAGAAACAAAAGGCTCCGGTTCCTCACACCCAGACCAGGAGGAGGGCAGAAGCTGCAGACATCAGACCGCCACCCACTCTGTGGAGCAAAACGCTCCGGGTTTCAGACGGTAAAACCAGGAACACTTTGTTCCGCAACTTCCTGTCACAGCACAGAGAATTACCTATAAGAAACCAAGAAATTTCACAGGAACAAAAGAAAGATCTGCAAACATAAGAGGATGGATGAAATGCCAAACAATATTTCACAAAAACGCATCAAAAAAACCAAACGAATCCAAGCAAAAATCATCCATTCATCCATTGCGTTCAGGTCCAAGAAGTAGCAGATTCAGGAATCATTAACCAGTTTCTCATGTGGATCTCAATGAGTTTCCTATTGGAAAGACCAACATTTTCCTGAATCCCCTCAGGATGGAGCTGAAAACGTCCAGACGGCTGCAGCTCTGCACCGGATGCTGGAGCTCCTGCACTCATCACTACGGCCGCATCATCCACACCACTTCCGGCCCGGCTCCGGCCCACTTCCGGCCCGCTTTAATCTAACTCTGTTTTGTTTTCCTAGAAAGTCCGGTCCGGTTGGTGAGGTGTGAATGCTAAGCTAACTCTGGTCCTCCAGAACCTGGTCAACCGGCCTGGGTTTCCAGAGACCGCTCCACAAGCAGGACTACAGAGCAAGGCATTCTGGGTAAAAGCAACCATGCTAGGCTAGCGTTAGCAATGGCTAAAGAGAAATCCTCCACCTGCTAAATTTTGATTTGATCCATTTATTATGAATATTTTCTGTTTAGGTTTTAATGGCTTCATGTTTCGCTATAAAGTTGTGATTATTACTCAGTTTAACTGAAATAATTCCAACAATAAGTGAATGATTCTAAGCCAAACATTGCTGTAAAAAACACCGAACCACAGGAACCTTTCCCTGGACTTCGTGCTGCTGCTCGCTGCCTTCAGCCGGATCGGAACCACCCAGAACAGAGCAGGAAACATCTGGCTCCGTTTGGGTTCGGAGCAGCTGGGTTGGGTTACCTCAGGAATCACAGTTGGGTAAGGGCTGAGTTACAACACTCCATTACAGTCCCGCCAGAACCAGAACCAGACCAGAACCGCTCCCCACTTAGCCTCCAACCCGACTCATGAAATCACAAAAGACTCAGGACTCGAGTTTTTACTGTTTACAAGTCCAGGAAAACAACCCGGAGAAACAAAACCTGCGGATTATTTCACTCAATCAACAGGAAATAAGAGGAAACAAAACCGCTAAAACTGAAGGAATGCTAAGTGTGACCGGTGGACTTCTGCGTTGTGTGTGTGGTGATCGGACGAACCACAAAGTATCAAGTCTGGGTTTGGAGGCAGTCTCCGTTTATTGATCTGTCAATCGGGAGATATTAGCATTAGCACATAGCATGTGCTCCAGTTCTCCAGCCCAATCTATACAACATAACACTGTTATAAAGGAGTAATAACTCAAATGAAAATATTCAAACACATATAATCAGCACAGATGGAAAAATAAACATTTGAAGAATATGAATGAAAGGGTTCAATGGACCACAAAACTTGCCTCTCCCCAGTGGAACGAATGACAAAAGGGAAGAGGAAATGAATAACTTAACATTTATAACAGTCCTGGAGGACCCTGAACAAGAGAAGAAGAAAGTAAGGCGGAGCTGGAGGACCAAACCCCCCATAACAGAGACAGAAGAACACAAGAACAGCCAGATGCAAACTGACAAATTCATTAAAGAAAACATTTTTGTGTAAATATATAACTATTAATATAGACCCAGTTACATTAGCTAAGCTGCAAAGGAAGCTAAAGCAAGTGGTGATGCTAGGTTATCATAAACTTGCTAGCATAACATCTCTGGTTGCCTTCTGTTGTGTTGTTGTGTTTGCATTTTATTGGCCCTTCAGGGCCACCACAAAACTTCTCCATGCAGGTTTTCATGCTGTTCTGTGAAGATGAGAAACTGAAGCGTCTTTGTTTTGAGCTGATGATGCTTCCGGTGACAGCACCCTGAAACTCGCTCTGCTGCAGTTCCAGGTTCCCACAGTTCAGAACGTAAATCCATCTAGAAGCTGAACAAACAACAGACGGACCGGTTTTCCAGATCGGCATCGAGTCCCTGCAGCCCGGCGCTGCCGTGGTGGCAGCATCATGCTGAGGGCTCGGGTCGTCTTCACGCAGATCAACATGCGGTGAGTTCAGAACCGGATCGTCTCAGTTTCCGTGTTCACCGGGCCCAGGAAGACATGTGGATGGGACCGGTTCCACTGACCAACGGCCCAAACGCAAAGCCGACTCACAGAAAAGAACCAGACTGGTGGAAATCCCGGTCCGAGGTCCGGAGGCGTCCGCTTGTCCCACCGGAACCAGGACAGACGGCTCATTGTCCTCCAGAGGGGAACGCTCAGGACAAAGACCCGCTTTCAGACGGAGACGGTCCAATGGTGTTTCCCAGCCGGACCCGTTCAACGAGTCAGAACCAGAACCGGGCTTTTAGTACAGAGCCAAAGATCTGTACTAAAAGGACGGAGTGACCTCTGACCTCTGCAGGAAACAGAAACTGTCCGACCCAAAGCAGCTGGAGCGGTTCTGGACCCGGTTCCAGATACGGCAGTTAGAGCGGAAAACACTCTGCGCGTGCAGCTGGATTTACACCTCTCACACACACACACACACACACACACACACACACACACACACACACACACACACACACACACACACACACACACACACACACACACACACACACACACACACACACACAGAGACTCACCCTGGTTCTGGTTCCTGGCTGCGGGTCCGTCAGCCTCTCCCCCGGCGCCGTCCGGTCCCAGTGGCGGCGCCGGCCCCCGGTCGGGCCGGCCGCTGCGTCCCGGCGGCCCGGAGGCGGCCCTCTGTAGGAAGAGCGGATGTTTGGCCACGGCGCTCCAGCCCAGCGGCCCGGAGCGCCGCAGCGACACCAAGGCGTCGGCCATTCCCAGCTGGAGCGGAGCCGAAGACGAGGAACGAGGGGAGGAGGGAAACTGGGCCGGCTCAGAGGGAGGAAAGTCTCGGCCCCTCTACAACACATGGAGAGTCTGGAGGCCCGGCCTCCGTCTGCTGGAGGAGCGGCCCCCGACCCGCCCCCATCGGGTCAGAACCGGGCCTGAATCCTGCAGATTACTGCAGCATACCACCGTCCTGTGTCGACACGCTCCCCGCAGCTGCGGCTCGCTCTGAGCGCGTGCAGCAGATCGGTTCTGGTACCGCAGCAGCTGCTGGTTCTGAGTCCAGACTGAACAGATCCAGACCGCCTGAACCAGAACCGGTTCAGAGTCCAGCAGGAGGCGGTTCTGGTTCAGCTCGTTTGTCACTGACATCAAAACCTCGACCCTAAATCACCAGAGAACCATTTTACTGTTACTGGACCCGAAACCTACAGCCTGACCCGCTTCCTGTGTCAGAACTATGACCGGTCTGGGACTGCAGTGAGTTCTGCTGCTGTTGGGTCGGCTGTACTCAGTTTGGACCAGAACTTCACTCACCTTGCTGGGAGTCCTGGCTTCTCCTGAGCAGTCTGTGTTGCAGCGTCTCTGACCGGATCAGAACCAACAGAGCTGCTGGACGCGGCTCGGCTCTCCGCTGCTTTCTTCTTCTCTGGTGGTGCAGACGGCGAGGCCGCCGCCCCCTGGTGGTCGGCCCGGGAAGCCGCACCTTTCCCCCTGCTGGGCCGGAGGAGCCGGGCCACTTTAATCGGACCTGGAGTCGGTTTTCTACTGCCGGCCACTTCGGCTCTCCTGCTGGGTTCTGGTCGGTTCTGCTGAGCAGATGGAAAACATCTGGGAAGTTCTGATAAACGGGTTAGAACCTAATCTGAGTTCAAAGGTCATCCGAAGTACCTGAGCAGGTGTTCTGGATGGAGACGGGTTCTGGGTTCCCTTTGTCTCCAGGCTGGAGGTTCTGGCAGCGCCGCTCGGCCCGGTTCGGGTCACGTGGACGACCCGAGGTGGAGCGGCGCCTCCGACTGGACTGCTGGAGGTCTGAGGTTCTGCTGAGGTTCTGGGAGGCAGCGGGACCGTCCGGGTCGCCCCCGCGGCGGTCCCGCTGCCCTCAACGGGTCCGATCCCCCGTCCTGCGGGTCCGGTCCGGCGCCGGGCCCAGCTGGACTCGCCTGGCTCAGCGTCACACACACGTCTGAGCTCACAGACACAAACAGCGCCTCGTCTTCCTCGTCTTCCTCATCATCAGCTGGGATCTCCGTCGCGTCCGAGTCGGCGGCGTAGCAGCTGCCGTTGCCCTGGTAACCGTCCAGGTGGAACCCGGCGCTGCTGGCATCCAGGTAGAGCGAGGCGGAGGCGTCGGTCTGGAGCCGCCCTTCCTCCTCCTCTTCCTCCTCCTGCTCCTCCTCCTCCTCCTCCTCCTCTTCAGGAGCCCACCTGGACAGCACCAGCTCCTGCAGGTGGGCGGGCATCACTGCGGTCGTCGTGGTCGCCGCCAGCAGGCTCTCGGTCCGGCCGCTCGGACTCCGCAGCGACTCTGGAGACGACGAAGAGGAGGAGGAAGAGGAGAGCGGGAAGGCGCTGCCGTTGTGGTGGCCTTGGCGACGAAGAGGCAGCTTCATGTTGCTCATGTCCAGACGGAGTCAGAAGTTTCTCAAACTCTCCGCTCGGTTCACATGTTGCCTCACACAGAAACAGCCCGGGTCACTTCCTGTGCAGAACCAAAACCTCAGTAAATGCAAAATAAAACTCTGGATTTGGTGAAATAAATTATATCACGTCTAAAAATCTGAATCCTTTAAAGCTGAAATGTCTCATCGTAGTTTTTTCATATTTTCATGCAGAGTTCAGTAATCTGACTGGGAAATGTCGCCCCCTGCAGGCTGAATCTTCCTGGTGTTTCCAGTGGAGGGAGTCACATCTGGGTCGGTTCTGGTAGTGTTTGTGGGTCAGAGACTAAAAGAACCGGAGCAGCTAAATAAAAGCCTTCAGAACCGGGTCAGACCTCTTTTCTCTCCCCGGTAACAACCAACTCATCTTCCTCACTTCCAGGTGGAGGAAGATGAAGAGGAGCGAGATGAAGCTGCAGCAGACCCACAGAACCTCACCGGATCCACAGAACCTCACCGGACCCACAGAACCTCACCGGACCCACAGAACCTCACCGGATCCACAGAACCTCACCGGACCCACAGAACCTCACCGGATCCACAGAACCTCACCGGACCCACAGAACCTCACCGGACCCACAGAACCTCACCGGACCCAGTAACGGTTCTCGGAACGGTCGGGGGTTTAGAGGTCCGATCCGGTTCTGAACAAATCTTACTCCAGAGAAAAAGGAGCTGGGAAAGCAGATACTGATCACATGATCAAAACGGACCGGACCGCCTCAGTGTTTCCGTGGGCTGTTTTGGACCGGAACCAGAAGCTATTCTGCTGCGTTTAATCATCATGAATGAGCATCTCGGCTGCTGGGGCAGCTTCTGCTATTCCACGAACTGCTAACCTCGAAAACTTTCCCTACATGCATTTTTCTGGATACGTTCCAAGATTAAAGATTTCCTGAAACATTTTAATATTTCTGCTTCATTTGATTTCAACGGTTTGGCCAAAATAATTAGACCAAGTTTCTCCAAGCCAGTGTTTTCTGAGCTCTTCATGTTGGAGGATTTTTGTGTTGAAGGAAATAAATGTGACCAGGTATTTTTTCAGTCTCCGGGCAGAAATTCATCCACCAGATCATCAGGACCTACGGTTGGACCAAGGGGATCTCCGGTTGGACCAAAGGGATCTCCGGTTGGACCAACGGGGTCTCCGGTTGGACCAAGGGGATCTCCGGTTGGACCAAGGGGATCTCCGGTTGGACCAAAGGGATCTCCGGTTGGACCAAAGGGATCTCCGGTTGGACCAAGGGGATCTCCGGTTGGACCAAGGCATCGTTGGGCTACAGAATATTTAATAAGTTCTTCATCCAGATTTCAGAACATTGAAACAATTTAAAATTCCTTTCCTCCTCACCCTTCCAGGTCGGAGCTGAACTCTGGACTCGGTCCGGGTGGTTCCGTCAAACCGGGTCAGGCAGAGACGGGTCCTACATTCACCCAGGCAGTCTAATTGGACCGACCCGGCAGCTCATCCCGTCCTGTTAGAATCAGCCGCTGGCACTGGCTCAGAGAGGAGAAACACTGCGCCGCGTTTACACGCCTGTCAGGTCGGTTCTGATCCGACGGGCCGAGTGAAGGAGCAGAAATATGACGGAGAAGCAGCACCATGAAATGGTTGCTGAGAGAAATCTGCCGTCTGATGGAGAGAAAGGAGCTTCAGCCAGGTCCCAGACTCCAGGGCAATCAGATGTTGATGCTGCGATTGGCTGGAATAAACAGGAAGTAGACGTCACCTCTAAAAAGCAGGCCGCGTCCCTCCCTCCCAGATGAAAGCTGGACTTTTACATTTATTCAAAGTTTGGTGCCTCTGGTAAGGCACAGGCCCACAGTTCCCCATGTCTGGATTTACTCTGTGAACGTTTCCATCTCTTCGGCTAACTCTTTTCAGAAAACACCAAATCCAACTTCAGCCAGCATAGAAACATTTTGCAAAGCTTTTTCAAATTCTGACATTTGCACCAACCGTTTCTAATGCGACACTTTAAAATGTGCATAACCACGACCTTTACGACACACACCGACACACACACACATCGACACACAGCCACACACACACACACACAGCCACACACACACAGCCACACACACACACACACACCGACACACACACACAGAGCCACACACACCGACCCACACACACCGACCCACACACACCGACACACACACACCGACCCACTCACACCGACCCAGACCCGATCCCCTGATCCATTCATGAAGTCTCTCGACTCGCTGCTTCGTGTTTCATCTCCAGAAAACAACGCAGCTGGAGCGGTTCCCGTGGAAGGATGTGTCACTCGCAGCATGCAGGGGCGACTGCCGACGCAGCAAAATGAGGTCAGAGGTCAGCCTGAAACTGTCAGAACCACCAGAACCAAAAAGAGTAATCTGAACCTGTAGAGCCAATCAGAACCGGTCCTGAAGACCCATGTGGAGACGCGTCAGGACGGCGCTGCCGTCAGTCCGACCTGCAGCGGTTCTGTTCTTCCACTGGGCCCAATCTAGTTTTACATCCTCATAGAGAATCTGTGACATCAGCCAGGAACCCACCAGAACCTCCTGGTTCTGACCCTCGCTGTGACCCGTTAAAGCTCTGTGTTCTGAACGGACCGGGCCCAAGGTTCTGCTGCTGAGTCATGGTAGTGGCAGCGTCATGCTTTAGCTCCATGTGAACCAGAACCACAAATTATGGCGACAAACTATAATGCTATCATTTATAGACTATTTTTTTAATGATAATTTAATTTCTGAGCAACATTTGGGTTTTTAAATATCCACAATAAATAAACAACCAAAACATTAACATGGATTATGATTCAGTTTCAACAGGGAAAAGTGGGAGGACTCTTTCACCTGAACGTTTCCGACACACACACACACACACACACACACACACACACACACACACACACACACACACACACACACACACACACACACACACACACACACACACACACACACACACACAGTAACTGTTGCCGCAGTCTTAACTTACTCCTCTGGCTCCTTCTGAAGGCAGAAAAAAAACAGATCCAGTAGGAAATGATTCCTCCAGCTGGCCGGACTGGGACAGACTGGGACAGACTGGGACAGACTGGGAGGAACTGGGATGCTGGTCCTCACGCTCTGTGCTGCGCGATCACGCGTTATGTGTGACCCATCGCTGCTGCGTTTTCCCATCCAGGCGGAGGGAGGAAGAGGAGGAGGAGGAGGGATCCTGCAGTAAACACAAATCGGCTGCTTCTGGCACAGACTACGGCAAGAGGGGAGGGACATTCCTCTACAGCACACGCAGGGCAGGGGTGGGGGGGTTCTGGCCCAGATCCTTCTCCGTTCTGTTCAGCATCAGCAGCAGAAACCTAAACATGTAATCTGATGCAGCGCGAGCCGGAATCAGGCAGCCAATCAGAGGCCGGCTCAGTTACCGAGGAACTTTAAAGCCGCGGCTGGCCTCCCCGGTAACATGATGACTGCTCACGTGCGACCTGCTGAACGACACGACCCTCACGTCATCTGCCTGGAATTCGCTTCGCAGGAAAAGATCCAAACATGGGAAAGTCGGATAAAAACTGGATGAGTTCCTGTTTCAGACGCCGAGCCAACGAACCGCTAGCTCCATAAAACACAGAATATCTGAAACGGAACGGGTTCATTTAGGCTGAAATAGATCAGATTATCAATTCATTACTCATCAAATTCGTGTTAGAGGGGGTGCTGTGGTGGTGCAGGGCAAAGTACAAGCTACGTATGGAACCCTCAGACCTGGAGGCAGAGGTTGCAGGTTTGATTCCGGGCCTGACGTTTGCTGCCTGTCTTCCCTCTCTCTCATAACCCTCTTTCAAATAAACGCCCATCGAGCCAGAGCAGCATATCGGGGCAGACGTCGTGTTTCTACATGCAAAAACTGCCGGCTGACGAACTTCAGGAAAACTCCTGAAACGTTTATCCTGAAGTTTGTGTCTGAAACGTTTGGAGCAACGAACGTTTCCTGAGTGAGAGAAAGTCTGGAAACTCTGAGTGAGATCCTCTAATCAGATCCAGCTTCTCCCACACAGGAAGCGTGAATGGAAATGTTTTCTGTCATGATAACCAGTCTTCCTTAAGAGTTTTGGGACGCCATGCTTTACCCAAGGGGTCAGAGGTCACATGAAGGTGTCACTGTCCTCTGCACAAACTCTCCAATAAAACTAAGGAAATGGTGCCCCAGTTTTCTGCGCCTTGATGCCTTCACTGAGCCCTGGAAACACAGAGCAGCCGAAAACAACCGGCAGCCAGTTGGAGGAGAGGAAGGTGTGCGGTGAGACCAGCATCCATCTGCTGCTGCAGCCAAAATAACTAAACACAGAACTGAGAGTGAAATCTCTCTGTTGCTCCCTTGCAGCCAGTCAGACATCTTTTAAGATGTTTTAAAGCAGTCTGGATCAGGAGCTCGCTGGGAGTTTTTATTGATTTTAGTTTTTATAAGACCTGATCATTTTCAGATAAATGTTTTCTATCATACCTCTCAACTATCAATGATAACAACTTTTAACTATCAAAAAGAAGCACAATTTATATTGTTTTACTGTCTTCTTTGGATGCTTATTTGGAGTTACTGAAATTAATTATGTTCTGCAAATCTCGTTATAGCGAGTTTTATTTGTTTCAGTTGTATTTATTTCCTACATCTGGCAGCTCATCGGAAATATTAGCACCATGGCTACATATTAGACATTTTTACCATAATAATGCCTACCTGGTAAAAATGGTTACATTAAATAAAAGTATTGTTGCAGATCATTTACAACATTTTAAAACTACATTATCTCCAAATACCATTTAGCTGCTGAATGCTGCTAACAGCTAACTGCAACTTTCACATTATATCTAAACTTTATTGGACCTTTTATCACAACAGTAACATTGAATAAAATTAAAAAGCAGAATATTTGACAACATCCACTATATTAAAACTATTTTCATCTCGACTAGCTGTCTTTTAACTGGCAAATGCTACGTGTGGCTAACAGCTCAATGCTAGCTAAGTCATCTGCATTTTTCCAGTTATTTATCACAAAGGCTCCATGTTATAACTCTCAATGATATAAGATTTTTACTGTGAAACATAGCAATGATTAAAGTGGGTGTGGCTCAATACTGTGAAGAAAAGGGTCACAAAAAGAACCGAGCTACCAAAAGCTAACAGCTAACAGAGCTAAAGGCTCCGTTGTTGCTCTGGGAATAAGATGGTCTTTAGTTGAACGTCAAACAAATCCATGGCTCAACATTTCTGAGAAATCAGTTTAGAGTAGAACGTTGTCAAGCAGCAGAACAGGTTTATGCACTGAAGCTGCGGTCAAACTGTGGTTAAGAGGTTAAACTGTCACTGAGGCTTAAATCCCATCAGAGCCGCTACTGTTGTTTTACTGTGTTCATGAATAATAGAAGAAATGAAAAGCAGTTACTGATTAAATGCCAGCAACAAAGTCTGAGCAGAGTGCAGCTTTCAACTCCACGCTGACATCCAGACACAAAAATGCCGATTATGACGAGCCAGAGAGCACAATCACAACTTAACCAAGGAGTGGCTGCATCAGACGAGGCCGTCCTGCTTTAACGGGAAAATCTACAAGAACAGGAAACATCCACAGGCTTTAATCTGTGCTGAAAACTAAAATGAAATAAGATCAGCCAAACTAGAGGAGATTTATTAAAGCTGAGCCAGCAGCAGCAGCTGCAGCAGCAGCAGCAGCAGCAGCAGCTGCAGCAGCAGCAGCAGCAGCAGCAGCTGCAGCAGCAGCAGCAGCTGCAGCAGCAGCAGCAGCAGCTGCAGCAGCAGCAGCAGCTGCAGCAGCAGCAGCAGCAGCAGCAGCTGCAGCTGCAGCAGCAGCAGCAGCAGCTTGGTGCAGCAGCAGCAGCAGCAGCAGCTGCAGCAGCTGCAGCAGCAGCAGCTGCAGCAGCAGACTTTATGGACAAAACTGAGTGGGATTGTTTTATCCAAAACTAGTTTCTTTCATATTTAAATAATGATGTTCTCTTTTGGATGAGAAAACATTTTCAACTCAAACATCTAAGACAAAACTTGACAAATATTTGTCCATCTTTTCCTGTGGGATCAGCTGACAGCATAAATAAGGGTTGAATTATGTCATCAAGCTAAGATATGTATCAATGCATTGCATTTTATTCCTAAGAAATTAACTGTAAAACAATGTCAGGACGTAAATTAATCAGGACTCATTAATTAATGGGATTAATACATGAATTATTAAGAGTTATTTAAGGAAGAATTACTGAAGATGGCAACTTAAAAAATACAACTGAATATAGAAGCAAAATGTGTAAATAAAATGACCAAATCAAAAGGAGCCTGGTCTATGTGGACAGATGAATCTCTCAGAATAATTAAATTTAATGGCTGCAAAACTAAAAACTCATTGATAACAACACAGCCTCCAGCAGCAGACAAATCCATTAGTTTCCCTTTTTCTCTTCAGGATGAAATGACTGAGGAGCCAATCAGGAGCAGCTGGATGTCATGACAGTGTTTCCTGAAAGCTCTGCCATGCCAAGGAGAGCCACAGAGTCTATCTACTTAATCCTGGCCAGGCCTGCGGGATGATGCAGAGGACAATCTGTTACGTAACACCCAGAATGCTGCAGCAGCACAAATGTCCATCACACACAGGGACGTGGTGCTGCAGACAGAGTGGACAGAGAGAGGACACCTGGCCTGCAGCTGCAGGTGACCAGACATGCACTGACACCGCCGTGCACTTTATTCATTAAAGAAACCGCATCAAAGTTTTTCTGTTTACAGAAATATTAAAAAGACGATCATCAAAAACTTCACATTCTCTCTCAGGTTCACAAAAATACGTTAAAATATTTACCCTGCTATAAAACTGCAGCTGCTGCTTCCTCAGTGAAAATCTGCTGTTTCTTCGTGATGTTTAACCTCAGGAAAAATAAATCCTTGCTCCATCTTGTTTCTAATAAACAGTAAAATCCCGCAGTCAGTACACCTACCGTCTGCTGCAGCAGGAGCCACGCAGCAGGAGCCACGCAGCCTCACCTGGACACAACAGGAACCAGACTCTTCACGTTTCCTCCAGTAATCCTCCCGGCCCGGCCGAACCGCGCTCCAGGTGGGCCCAGCTGGTTCCGGTGGATGACGGTGATCACCGGAGGAGTCCTCAAGTCTCATCGGCTGGCAGCCAATCGGTGAAGTGAACCGGTCACTCACTCACATGGCTCACGCACTATATATATTGGCGGAGGAATACCTGATGAAAAAATACGTATCTTTTTAACTTCGACTGTTTGATATATAAAACGGCCAGTCAAACTGTCTTTGGGTTTTTTTGTGTTTTGCTTTGATGTGTTTCATTATCTCGTGGGTTGGCTTAGATTTATAACGGGTTAGATTCAGAAATGCACAAATAAAATCAACTTTACTGCGTCTGGCCAGCTTTTACCTGCAGTTCTGACAGTGACTACTGCCCCCTGCAGGCCGAGGAAAGACTAACCGTTGGACGCCCTGACGTCCCTCCCGTTACGTTTCTGCAGTTTCCTGTCACAGCTTCACGCTGACAAGTCAGTGAAGTTCTGCAGCATTTTTTAATTGTTTAGCATGATTATTCATTTGATTCAGTTTTTATGTCGGAAGGCATGAAAATAAGCGACATTCCTGCGGTTGATATGGTTTTAATTGTACTTGATCAAATCTATCCATTCCCACTGTTCAGACTAAAACACAGCTTAGAAATTATAATACTGATATTATAATATACAACATTGACAATATGTAGTTTAATAATATCATTATGTATCATATGCCATCGTATATATAATGAAAATCACTGATTTTAATATAATCAGCAATTATGTTTTATACATTTTAAAGGAAGGAAGAAAAGCTAAAACAAGAGAACTGGGAATCATTAGGAATCATTGGTTCATTCTGGTCTGTATTTTAAATGGTAATTCGCTTTATGACATGAACTGCTTCATTATTGTAACATCTAATGAATTTATCTGCTATTATTATTTAATGTTTGTTGTATTGTTATAGCCTTTAATGACGCATCAGAGCGCAGGTGAATTAGTGTAAAGCTACCAGCATAAGCTAAAGGGAAACGGGGAAGATTTTCATAATAAAAACTCTAATAGGCAGAACTGCAACCTTTTTCTATAATAATTCGTCATATTATAAATATTTTGTGTAAAACGCTTTTATGTGTTGAAAACACCTTTCTCTGCTCTTCCTCAGCTGATGACGCCTGGAAGCGATTACACCTGACATTTATTTGAAAGTCTGTGACGGATGTTAGCGCTGTAACGGTCCAGAAGTGACATCAGAGTGTCCGGTCAGAGGCAGGGCTGACCGGAGGACCGACAGGAGAATCGGTACCAGCGGGTCCGCTCTCAGACGGCTCAGCCGAACAAAGGCGGGACACGGGGATGATGGACGGGATCCTCGGCCAGGGCTGGAGCAGCAGCGGCGGGAAACTCGGCTCCGTTCTCGGTGTGAATGTGTGAATTTAACCGCTGACGAAGACAAGGCATCCTGCTCCTCTCCATCGCCTCCATCTTGGATGCTGGTGATGATGGAGCACATCCGGACTCCCAAGGTAGGTCCACGGACTCTCTTCTGTCTCGCTGATGTTTGATCTGTCTACCTGCCGGTCCTGATCCGGGGGCGGTTCCTATAAATCATCGTCCAATCTGACAGTATTCCCTTTTTAGGAATAATGGGAATGTCAGGAGAATCTAACGCAATGTCCGATAATGGATTCCTGGGATGAATCCTTCCGTTAAAAATGTAAATATTTTCTCAGATGCTTCTCTGCCAGGCAGACATCCCATAATGCTGGAAGACATGATTAGTGATCAATAATGATGGAGGATGATCACCTCTATCATGATGCTGCTTCTGCTGAAAGACTGTTTCCCTTCTTCAGGACCAATTCTTTTCATCCATCCATTCATCCATCTTTTCATCCATCTTTTCATCCATCCATTCATCCATCTTTTCATCCATCCATCCGTCGGTGAACTTCCTGTGTGACCAGTGAACTTCCTGTGTGCCCTGTCAGGTGGAGAACGTCCGTCTGCTGGAGCGTTCTTCAGGTCAAAGGTCAGCCACCTTGGGAACGCTCTACCTGTCTGCCACTCACACCATCTTTGTGGAGAACAACCCAGAAACCCGCAGGGAGACATGGGTAAGTCCTGCTCTGGTTCTGATCTGGTTCTGATCTGGTTCTGATCTGGTCCTGCTCTGGTTCTGATCCGGTCCTGCTCTGGTTCTGATCCGGTCCTGATCCGTCCTGCTCTGGTTCTGATCTGGTTCTGATCTGGTTCTGATCTGGTCCTGATCCGGTCCTGCTCTGGTTCTGATCCGGTTCTGTTCTGCCTGACCTACTGGTTCTGTTTGGGTTTCCCAGCGCAGCTGGAAGGAGCTCAGACAATCAGACATTTATTTATTTGATCATATATTTATTTAAAGGAGCCGTTTTCTCCAGGCAAAAAGGGCCATTTTATAGCATCATGTACATCAAATATGCCTTAAGAATCTAACTTTGTAATTTCTGGATCCGGATCTGGATCCGATCTGGATCCAGATCGGATCCAGAAAGGGAGTCGCAGGGAACCGCTGCTCTGTGAAGTTGAAGCTTGTTGCCCTGGAAACTGCAGCTAAGGGGAGGAGCTGCGCCCTGAAGGCGGAGCTTGGTCCACCCAAGCGATTTGCACATGGTTGCCATGGAGATCAAAGGATGTCTCACACATTCATGAAAGAATCAAATCAAAACTCCAGGTTGGTTTTTGTGAGGGATTTGCTCCAAACAGTCAAGTGGGTAAAACTTTAATACTGCCCTTTAATTTTGTCCCTCTTGGCTTTCCATACACCTTGTGGCTCACTAACCTGTCATCCTTTAGTGACCCATCTTGGTGTCTTTATGACCCCATCTTGGTGTCTTTATGACCCCATCTTGGTGTCTTTATGACCCCATCTTGGTGTCTTCATGACCCCATCTTGGTGTCTTCGTGACCTCGGCGGTCCTGACTTTGGGAACCTCGGCTCAGTTTGGCGTTTTGACTGGACCTTTGTAAGCTTGAAACCAGGTGACCCGTGTCCAGACAGACCGTGTCGCTGCGTCAGCTGCAGCAGGAAGTGATTGTCCAACATCCCAGAACCGATGAGTCGGGGCCACTGACTTCCTGTTTCTGTGTGTTTATGTTTCAGGTTCTGCACAGCATGGTCTGCGGCATGGAGCGACCGCCGGCCACGCCCACAGGAAGTCCTCTCGTCCTGCGCTGCAAGGACTTTCGGGTCTTCCAGCTCCTCTTCCCTCTGGAGCGCGACTGCCTGGAGGTCCACGCCTCCCTGACCCGTTTGTCCCGACCCGGTGAGTGTCTGTCTGGCTTCGGCCCGATCCGGCTTCCCGGTCTCCGTCCCAGCAGCCAGAACTTCCCCTGGTTCTTCTGGGTTTCTGAAAGTCAGGATCAGAATGATTGATGAAGAAGTCCTGGTGACATCTGGCTGCCTGGACGGAGGACAGCTGACCCGACCCGGCTGACCTTTGACCCTCCCTCTCAGTGCAGTACAGCGAGCTCTACTGCCTGTCCTTCAACCCAAACGCCAACAAGAAGGAGCGCGAGGAATCCTGGAGCTTCATCGACCTGAAGGCCGACTACAAGAGGATGGGCGTTCCCAACAACCTGTGGGTCGCCACGGCAGCCAACAGCGAGTACCGGGTCAGCAGAACCAGAACCTGCAGCTGCTCTCACATCAGCACAGACAAGCTCATAGATCAGAAGTTCTGATTCCAGAACCAGGAAGAACAAACCGGGTCCAATTGTAATTTTATACAAACACGTTCTTTCAAAAATGAAAAATAGATTTAGATGAATTTTGATAAAACAATAAATATCAGCTGCTTTGTCAGAAGTGGAACGAAATGAGTCCAGAACCATGAATCTGATCTGCAGAGACGATGTTTAACATGTCAACACGTCACAGGTTTAGTATCCGCATGGAGTCAGATTAACAGCTGATAAAACCTGAACTCAGTATGATAAAACTGAAACTGATAAAAACTCAACATTTAACTAATAAACACGAGCCAGCATGTGTGTGTGTGTGTGTGTGTGTGTGTGTGTGTTGTGTGTGTGTGTGTGTGTGTGTGTGTGTGTGTTGCAGGTGTGTGACACGTACCCCGCCGAGCTGTTTGTCCCGAAGTCGGCCACGCCCGCCGTCATTGTGGGCAGCTCCAGGTTCAGGAGCCGAGGTCGCTTCCCGGCTCTGTCCTACTTTCACCAGGACACGCTGGTCAGTGGCGCGCACACACACACACACACACACACACACACACACACACACTTTCAGCATCACCAGCTGCGTGTCGCCCCCTGCAGGCAGCGGTGTGTCGGTGCAGCCAGCCGCTGGCGGGATTTAGTGGCCGTTGCCAGGAGGACGAGCTGATGCTGCAGGCGGTGATGAAGGCCAACCCAGGAAGTGAGTTCATCTACGTGGTGGACACCCGGCCCAAGGTAACACACACACTCATACTCAGACATACACACGCTGAGGGCCGCTACAGCCTGTGTGTGTGCAGCTGAACGCCATGGCCAACCGGGCGGCGGGGAAGGGCTACGAGAGCGAGGACCACTACTCCAACATCCGGCTGCTCTTCATCGGCATCGAGAACATCCACGTGATGAGAAGCAGCCAGCAAAAGATTCTGGACGGTGCGTGGCGCTCTGCCGGCGCTCTGCCGGCGCTCTGCCGGCGCTGTGCCGGCGCTCTGCCGCCTCCTGCTGGCCCTCACTTCGCTCTGCTCTTCTTCTCCTGCAGTGGGGAAATGCGCGCGCCGTCCATGACCGACTTCCTGTGGGGGCTGGAGAGCTCCGGCTGGCTGAAGCACATCAAGGCGGTTCTGGACGCCGGCGTCTTCATTGCCAAGGTCTGAATTAACCAATAGGGTTAATTTATCTCACTCAGTTTCACTCTATATCCTCTGGGTCTGACCCGGTCCTGGTTCCGACCCTGTCCGTGTCTCTCTGTCAAGGCCGTGGCGGATGAAGGAGTCAGTGTTCTGGTCCACTGCTCAGACGGGTGGGACCGGACGGCCCAGGCCTGTTCTGTGGCCAGCATCCTGCTCGACCCGTTCTACAGAACCATCAAAGGATTCATGGTACCGGTCCGAATCCCGCTGGCTCCAGCATCTTCCTGTAACTCATACTCACCCGCTTTTTCTCCTCCAGGTGCTGATCGAGAAGGACTGGGTGTCCTTTGGACACAAGTTCTCTCACAGGTCAGTGAGCCGAGCCGGGTCAGGATCAGAACCAGGAAGCTCTAAAACCAGGACGGGATTCTTCCTGCCTGGTTCTGTCAGTACCCTGCGGGTAGCTCTCAGCGCGTGTCCCTCTGCAGGTACGGCCACCTGGACGGCGACCCGAAGGAGGTGTCCCCGGTTCTGGACCAGTTCCTGGAGTGTGTGTGGCAGCTGTCGGAGCAGTTCCCCTGCGCCTTCCAGTTCAACGAGCGCTTCCTGGTGGCCGTCCACTCCCACGTCTACTCCTGCCAGTACGGCACCTTCCTGGGCAACAGCGAGAAGGAGCGTCGAGACCTGAGGTACCGCCGGGCCCGACCCACACTGTGCCTGGAGGCCCCGGGACCGGCCCGGTTCCTGGAGGCCTCGGGACCGGCCCGGTTCCTGGAGGCCTCGGGACCGGCCCGGTTCCTGGAGCCCCCGGGACCGGCCCGGTTCCTGGAGGCCCCGGCCCGGTTCATAATGGTTCTGCTCTGGTCTCCAGGCTCCGTGAGCGCAGCCACTCGGTTTGGCCCCAGCTGTGGTCGGAGCGGTCCCGGTTCTCCAACCCGCTCTACAAGGCCGAGCTGAGCCAGAGTCAGGGCGTGCTGAGGCCCAACACCTCCCCCTACTGCTTCAAGTGAGGAACTGCGGCTCGGCCTGAAGCGTTACTGTCTGAATGGATGGAGCGGCGGGTTAACGGTGCTGCTTCTCTCCAGGATGTGGAAAGGCCTCTACAGCCACCTGGAGAAGGCCACGCCCCCTCGACAGTCACCTGCCGACTTCCTGTCTGCCGTCAGGGAGGAGTCCCAGCAGCTGGAGGAGGAGCTGACCAATCAGCAGGAGGTACCGGCCGGAGGGACCGCCCACCACTCCGAACAAGGCATACAGCACACAGACACACCTTTAACTAGGACACTGGGCTCCAGCATGGGCAACAGTGAGAAGCCGGCAGCTGGACCCGGACCAGCTGTGCTGGTTTTCAAAATAAAGTTCTGTTTGTTTTAGCAGTGAAAAAATATCTGGATGGCCAAACAATGAAATCTAGCCTCCAAGTTCTCATTAATGCACACTAACGCACTCTGAACCATTTCTATAAGTCATTTAAAAACACAAATAATTATTTCACTGTGTAGGAAAGTTACATAGGTTTTTTATGTGTTTGATTGTCTGACACCAACCAGAATGTTGCAAAAAGCTAAACTGATGATTCTGATTTTTCAATGACATCCAATTGTTTTACAAGTGATCATTAATGCTACTAATTAAACACTCAGAAGAAGAACGATCGCCGTCTCCTGGCAGTAAAGATGGCCGCCTAAATGGTACCGGAACAGCAACTGTTTGTCAAATTGGGTCGAGTTCAGGTGTTCGTGGTTCTTGCAGGTTCTCATGCTGATACCATCTGATCAGCCAGGTTCTGTTGGGCTTTTGAAGAACATGTGTGGTTCTGTCTGCAGAGGCTGGCGGCGCTCACCGGGGAGCCAATCAGATGGGAGAAGACAGCAGCGGCGCGAAGCAGCAGTAGCCGCCTCCCCGTCACACACAGCGGGCCGGACCCGCCCACCCGCTACTCTGGACCAATTGGCAGCTCCAAGCCAGCCAATCAGGGGGCTCAGAGAGTAGACTCCGCCCCCTCCGGGTCACCGAGGAGTCCGGACGTGGAGGACGACCTGGAGTCGGGCGTGGCCGACCTCAGCAGCCGCTCGTCCTGTGGTGGTGAAGACGGCAAGGACCCGGAGCTGGACTGAGGCTGGCCACGCTGCCGCCCGACTGGAAATAAGGAAAAACCAGAACCGGACCGGGTCAGAATCCAACCCTCATATAAACTGGTCGACTGGTTGAATGTCGCTCCGCTGGGTGGAGTTAACTCACAGCAACGCTTCAGAACCCGGCTCACTGAGAAACAGCCCATAATATGAACCCGAGATCACCATGGAGACGGAACCAGAACCTCCTGCTGGTTCCTCTTTGATCTGTGATTATTCAAAACTAAACGTTTTCACACCGTGGAGCAGATCTACATCTTCAGATCTGTTTGCAGATCCATGCCAGGATCTCTGTAGATCTATACATGTTGCTCTATGTTGTGTTTTCAGAATAAAAGCTCAGAACCTGCAGCTGGACTCACATCTCCATGGCAACTCACCGCCTCTTCCTCAGAACCCGGACCCGCCTCTTCCTCAGAACCCGGACCTGTGGTTGGTTTTGTATCGCCGACATTAAACCATCAATAAAGTTCTAATGAAGCTCTGATGTTCAAACAGAGATCTTCTCCAGAATGAATGGACTGGACAGACCCAGATCCTCCAGAACCGCTCCGGATCCTCCTCACTACAACAGCAGAACCCCAGTGCCCCCCCCCCCCCTTTGGCCAGCAGGAACAGGTCAGAGGTGAAAGTTGCATCACGTCAGGAGGAGCGGCCAGCAGACACGGTCCCCGGGTCGGGTCGGACCGTTCTGTGTCGGTCAGAAAACAAACAGATCAATGAGCAAAAATCTCTCTGGTTCCAGAACCACAGAACCCATTTAAAAGTTCGGGTTCTTTGACAGAACCGGTTCCTGCAGCTGCAACATATTTCTGGTCGTTTTTCACAACAGCTGCAGAGATCCGGGCTGAGATACAGAACCAGAAGGTCCAAATGTCACCTGACGTGAACTGGTCCGGATCTGACGAGTCGCTGTTAATCATCCATGGTGTTCCTCAAGGCTCCATTGTTGCCCCACTTTCATTATAAATTAAACAGTAAAAGCATCAGAGGGACGGCAAATAAATTTACATCAAGTATAAATTTATATTTTAGACTGAAACGTTTCTTCTGCCTGAACACCAGAGGTGATCAGAACCTTTTGGTTCTGACTCGACATTTAGCTGATTTTCATCATCTCTTTTCTTTTTAGTCATTTGAAATTCAGTTTTTTCTTTGAGAATGATTTGGAAATAATTGTTCGTGCGTCCAAAACCTTCTGGAGGAACCGGCAGGTTCTGGAGAAGAACCCAGAACCAAAGACAGAAGCATTATTTCCTGTTTTATTGATTTACAGTTCAGGAACATCAGACCAGATTTCCCAGCTGGTTCCGACCACCAGACCAGAGAAATAAAAAAAAAAAATTTAATCTTCTGCATGTTCTCATCCTGCGACCCGGTCCAGACGGTCCAGTTCAGGCTGCAGCGCCCCCTTCAGGAGAAGAAAAGTTCCTGGCAGAGGCGCTGCGTCTCCTCGGGACTGGACACCTCGTGGCCGATGGTCCGCGGGTCGCTGTAGATCTCAAAGTCGTTTCCACCCTGCAGGGGAGCAAGGAGCAGCAGGAGGTCAGGGGTTCTGCTGTGGAACCGGACCGGTCCAAACCGGACAACATTTCAACCAGAACAGAATCATCAACTAGAAAATACCATAATTTTTTATTTTTTATAGATGAGGATATGAAAGTTTCAGCTCCTTTTCTCTGAAAACCCCCAAAAACCCAAAGAGACATTCAGAATCTGCAGAGGTTCTGGTTCTGATTCCACAGAACCCGGCAGCAGAACGTTCTGCAGAGGTCGAAAGCAGTTGCACTATATACAACCCTGCACAAGATGGTGGCAGCATTATGCTGCGGGAAGATGGAAGGTTTTGTGGGATGGTATAGATCAGAGAAGGGTTAGGACGGCCTAGTCAAAGCCCAGATTCAGTGTGTGGACTTTCTGAGCTGCTGAAGAGAAACGGCAGCTGCAGAGGTCTGACCATAAATCAGGCCACACTTGTCAGATTTTTGTTTTTGAAGAAACGACAACACACTTCTCAATTAGTAGTTCTGTTCCAAATGTTGAAGCTGTTCCTGCAGCACCTTCAGACTGAACCGGGTCGGAACCGGGTCGGACCCGGAACGGTTCGGCGTTCTCACCGGTTTGGTTTTGTCTCCAAAGAAGTGGACGGTGGAGTAGTTGTCCTTGTCCACGATGTCCAGGCAGTAGCGCTTGTCCCAGCCGTCAGGGAAAACGTCGAAGCTGATCTGCCCTCCTGCAGAGGAACAACCGGATGGTCAGCCGATCCGGACCGGGTCGCCAGAAACCGGCCCGGATCGGTGGGCAGCAGACTCACCGATGGAAAACGACAACCCTTTCCCTCTGAACTTCTCCTTCAGCACAGAAACAAACTTCTCCCGGATCTTCTCTCTCTGAAGGAAAAAACACAAGCTGCTTTACGCTGCCGCTCCAGCGGGAACAGCAGCATGACGCAGTGAATTCTGGGAAACGCACGCGGTTCTGACCTGGTCCAGTTCGTAGAACTCCTGGCGCTCCTCCTGGCTGCAGCTGCGTCCGATCGGAGAGACGTTCAGCATCCCGTTCCGGAACTCGAAAACGTACCTCTGAGGAGAAAGGCTAACCGTTAGCTTCCACAGGCTAACTGTCAGCTTCCATTTCCTGATTGGTTGTTTCTATCAGAAACAACCAATCAGGGGCAGGGCCTTTGCGTCGTCAATCAGGCTTGTGTATGCTCACTTTTGGTCTCTGCTATTTTGCAGCATTTTCCCAGCCAGCAGTTAATTCTCTGTGCAGGACCATAGCATGGACTGAACTACTGAGCTACACTACAGCTGGTTCACTAATAGTCTGCCATGAATGCTACGGCTAGTTAGCGTAGCCACTGAAGACAGCAGATAAAACAGTTTTCTGGAACGGTAAGTTGACAAATTAGGGGAAAAAAAGACAGAAATTGTTGGAAAGCATAAAAATATCTAGATAAATATTTACATCACGTTCGGGACGGTACCTTTTCCTGGGCAGCTGGATCTTGGCCATGTAGTTCAGACAGAAGTTGATGAAATCCTGCAGCAGTTCTTCTCCCATGTGGGCCTGTATAGACTGAGAGACAGACGACACAGTTAGCTTCCCCAGTTAGCGCCCCCGAGAGGACATTTTGTGCACCAGGTGACTCACCTGGACGGAGTGCAGCTGTCCGTGTCTGTACGCCACCAGGCCGTTCTCGGCAAAAACATAGTCTGATTTCTGGATGACTGAAACGGAAAAACAGAAAGTCAAACCCAGAACGGCTAAACCTTCACCGCTGATCCCACTGAGCTCCTCTTCTTCCTCACCGTCGTCTCCCAGCTGCTCCTTGATCTTACTCAGGTCCGAGCCGCCAACCACTCCGACCCGAACCCGAGTCCTCAATTTCTCCAGGAAAGCCTTCATCTCTGGAGTCACTCTCTGGAAAAAGACAAACACCAGAGGGCGCTCTCATAACCTGACGGCTAGTAGAACAGGCCATGTTTAATGTTAAACGTGGAGGCGGGGTCAATGTTTAAAGGGGCAGGGTTATCTATTTTCCAGGCACATATTGCCCTTGTGGAACACCTTCATGTAGCTACATTACCTTCACTTGCTAAAACATTTCTATATACATCAAATATGACTTAAGAAATCTAACTTTGTAATTTCTGGAGCTGAGTGTGGGAGTCGCAGGGAACCGCTGCTCTGTGAAGTTGAAGCTTGTTAGCCTGGAAACTGCAGCTCAGAGGAGGAGCTGCGCCCTGAAGGCGGAGCTTGGTCCACCCAGATGTTTCGCACAGCTGAATGGTTCCCATGGAGATTAAAGGATTTCTCAAACAAGCATGAAAGAATCAAAGCAAAACTCCAGGTTGGTTTTTACATAACTCAATGCAATGCTCAAAAAAGTTAATTTCATGCAATAGTTGCTCTTTAACACAATAAAACCCTCACGAACAGTAATTTCTAATAGATTTGATGTCAAAGAATGAAAGCTGCTGCAGGTTTAGCTTACAGAGAAGACTTTCTTTTGTTAATGTACTTTTCTGGATTAAAAATAAGTTAAATGTTTCCTAATTCTTAGCAGCTGTATTTATTTGCAACATTTCCTCTAAAACTATCAGGCTGATCGGATGTTTCTGATCATCTGTAGGCAGAACACAAAGGCCTGGGATTCAATGCTACTTTACATCCATAACAGTCTTGTCAGTTGTTATTTTATTAATCTTAGTGTTGAAACAAGCAGTCTAATAAACTAACAGACAGACTTTGTTCAGTTCGAACAGGGACAGAACTGACCAGACCAGTTAAACTGACTGATCCAGGTTTAGCAGTTAGCAGAATGCTAGCGGAAATGCATGGAAACTGGGGCTTCGGGTCGAACTCATAATAAACACATTAAATGCTTTTTATTGGTTGATCATATGACAACAGTTTAAAATGACTAGACAGCCATATATTTTAGGGTAAAGCTAAATACTTTGGCTAAATTCTCTGAAGGGGTTTAAAACTACAAGGGAGTTCAGCTTTTGTGTTCCGCCAGATACTTCCTGTTACATGTAAACGCTAGTAAATCGTTCCGTGTTTATAAAGATAAACAATAGAAAACATCAAATATACTTATTTAAAATTTGTGTAAATAAGTTTATGTAAACAGCGAGAGTTTATCTTTTTAAATGGAACCATGTGTTTTATGTTTCCCGGAAGCTCGTCAACAGGCGGACAGCGTCGGGACGTGGAGCCGGAAGTCGCTCGAGCATCTGCGACGTGTTTCTATGAACGCAGGTGTTTGTTGGTGTTTACCTGTCTCGCGGCCGTTAGCGTGCCGTCCACATCAAAGAGGCACAGCGTGCGCGTGTCCGCGGTGTTCTGGCTCATTCTGTCCTTCCGGTCAATCCGCTCCCTGCCGCCCGGCGCGCGGCTGCGTGCGGCTCTCAGAGAAGCTGTGACTCCCCGCCGGCTCGGCTCTGCCCAGAGCTACATCCCAGGACTCAGCGACAAACTCAGGAAAACGTGCGGACCAGCTCCTCCTGTACGGGAGCTCCAGCCAATGGCAGCGGGCGTCACGTGACGGCCCCGGGCGTTGATGCCGCGGTGAGTCGGCCTCATTTGGGTCCAGCAGAACCGGAGGAAGGTAACGTTTATGTAGTATTTTTAAAACAAACTTTTTTTTATTGTATCTGCTCAGCAAGAAACAAAAACTATTACAATTTTATACAAATCAATAAAATAGACTTTTGTAGAAAACGGAAATTATAGCGTAAATACAAAACAGTTTATTTCATGACATGAGTACAAAACAAGGTCAAAAATATGTTCTCTCATTTGGGCTGCAAGGTGTGACTTTCAGTAGAAGCAGATTAATAATTCCTCTAAAATTAAGATGAATGCAAAATCTATTTCTGAACTGGACATTTTTACACATGTTGCTTTAAAAGATGAAAACTGTTTTCCAGGCCAGATTTACTCCATTCTAGAATTGACCCCCGGGGGCAACAATCCTTCACAGGGTCACAAATGGCCCCCAGGCCACACTTTGGACACTCCTGTCCTGCAGCAGCTCTTTCTCCTTCTGAACCACAACTGGAATGAATTTGTGTCTGGAAGCTGAAAGCAACAGTTCAGTTCAATTAAAACAAATCATCCAAAATGAATAAATAAAAGATACTGTGGGAAGGAAAGATTTCCAGTAGCAGTCAGTGTTGCAGCAGATCTGAATATGCCTCTGATTAAAGCGCTGTTGCTGTGTGACATGGACGACATGGATTACTGCACCTGCTGATCCAGATCCTTTGGTTTTGCTTTTGTCCACCATGATGGATGAAAGAGTTGGTTTCAACTTCCTTCTTCTGACAAAGTTCAGGTATTAATTTGAGCTTCTGGTGAAGCTATTCAGCTGCTCCCATAGCCGACCTTGTTGTCCAATCATGGCGACTGTCTGAAGTAAAACTGTCAGAGCTAAACTCCTTCAAGCTGCAGCATTCAGACAGAGCAACACCTGCCACCAGCGGGGGCGCTGTTCTGGTTGAAGGCTTTTGAATCCGGATTTTCCTTCGTTGGGTCTGATCCATTTCCCAGGAGCACAGCAGCTGGACCTTAACCTGAGGAAGCGCCATCTGGCTTCCTCAATCACAAACACACAAGTTTACAGTCACACTGGCGCCACCTGAGGTGAAACCAGGTATTACAGCAACTCCCTGGTCCTGGTTCTGGTTCTGGTTCTGGCTCTGGTTCTGGTTCTGGTCCTGGTTCTGGTTCTGGTTCGGCTCTGGTCCTGGTTCTGGTCCTGGTTCTGGTCCTGGTTCTGGTTCTGGTTCTGGCTCTGGCTCTGGTCCTGGTTCTGGTTCTGGTTCTGGCTCTGGCTCCGGTTCCCATTCCGCCTCCGGTACCGGGTCTGGCTCCGGTTCTGGTTCTGGCTCTGCTTCTGGTTCTGGTTCTGGCTCCGCCTCCGGTACCGGGTCTGGCTCCGGTTCTGGTTCTGGCTCTGCTTCTGGTTCTGGTTCTGGTTCTGGTTCTGGCTCCGCCTCCGGTACCGGTCTGGCTCCGGTTCTGGTTCTGGCTCTGCTTCTGGTCTGGTTCTGGTTCTGGCTCCGCCCGGTACTTGGTTGGTCCTGGTTCTGGTTCTCGCTCTGGTTCTGGTTCTGGTTCTGGCTCCGCCTCCGGTACCGGGTCTGGCTCCGGTTCTGGTTCTGGCTCTGCTTCTGGTTCTGGTTCTGGCTCCGCCTCCGGTACTTGGTCTGGTCCTGGTTCTGGTTCTCGCTCTGGTTCTGGTTCTGGTTCTGCTTCTGGCTCCGGTTCCGGGTCTGGCTCCGGTCCTGGTTCTGTCTCTGGTTCTGGTTCTGGCTCCGGCTCTGGTACCGGGTCTGGCTCTGGTTCTGGTTCTGTCTCTGGTTCTGGTTCTGGCTCCGGCTCTGGTACCGGGTCTGGCTCTGGTTCTGGCTCTGGTTCTGGCTCTGGTTCTGGTTCTGTCTCTGGTTCTGGTTCTGGCTCCGGCTCTGGTACCGGGTCTGGCTCTGGTTCTGGCTCCGGTCCTGGTTCTGGTTCCTGCTCCGGTTCCGGGTCTGGCTCTGGTTCTGGTTCTGCCTGGGAGGAAGGATCTGCGCTGCTTTGTGCTTTTGGGATGAAGCAGCTCTGCAGAGGATGTGTATCAGTGATGACTGTACTCAGCTTCCCTAAGTAAAGGTTAAAGGTTAAATGATTCTGGCTTCCACCACAGATCTTATCTAACCACTTCCACTCAGCTGCAGATAAACTGACATCATGCTGAAGCCAAATATCTAAACAAACATCTAAAATAATATTAGTTAGAAAAATAAAAAACATTCTCAGGATAAAAAACATGGAATTAGATTTTAGACTCCACCAAATTAAAATCAGTCTCAAACATGTAATTAAATAGTAAGTAAATTAAATTTGAATAAAAACATAATCTATGGTCATTTGTTTTCAGGAAGCATATATTGGGTTTACTTCATAAAAACATTATTTAATTTGTCCATTTGTTTTATTTTGCAACATTTTATCATTTAAATGGAAACGTGTGACAAAAAAAACTACTTTCCACCTGCAGTCCCTGGACAAGATGATGACGATTTAATATAAATGAATGCCATATCTGCAATGAATCATTGTTCATATTTCACTAAAAATAAGTTGACCAATCAGTGATAGAATCTGATATTAATTCTTCCAGTTTGCCTGAACTTCATAATTTGTGTTGCTGCTGTTTCTAAACTGTGGAAAATGTCAATAAAATCTGATAAAATCACATCATTGATTCTGAGACATTAAAAGTTATGCAGGTTTCTAATGCAGAAAGTTCTCCTGTAGCAGTCTGTCTTACAGTGAGTGAGAAAACCTCTGACTGAAGACACTGGCAGTCTCATGTATAAATGTTCTTAATTTTATGAGAACTTGTTCTTTTCATCTCCAGACGTTCAAACAGCCCTGAAATGCAAAGCTACTCGCTAATTCCTTTGTTTAGTCCACATTCAAGATGGCTGCTCCCTCACCATCACTAGGTGTGCTCTTTTTCTTGTCCTAACTGATCCAGTTTTTTTGAGAAAACATTGTTTAATCAACTTCCAGCTGTGATTTAAAGACACTGAATGCATTTTTCATGCAGCTGCTTTTAAATTTCTCCACATTTTCCTGCGTGTGGTTTGATGATCACCACAGACGCTCCGCTCTGGTTTCTTAATGTGGATTTTAGTCGATAACCTGGTTTCAGTTTCTTTGAGGCTGCAGAACATCATCAGAGTTTACCATGCAAATAGAAGATATCCAGATTGTTTTATCTTTTGCAAACTAAGCTGGGGGAGGGTTGCATTCTTAATTAACGATGACTAGATTTTTAAGCAGCCATTTGCATGAACAAAAGAGAAGCTGGTGAGGTTCTTGTTTCATGTGGCCCACCCCCTTCTCAGCAGGAACAATGAGCCACCAGTCCAGACCCGGTCCAACTCTTCAGAGTAATCATGAAGCAAGTCAGACTCTGACACCCAGACAAACTTTGGTTTGCTTGTGCGTTCATTGAGACCTGAACAATGTCATTTTATCAGTTTCATTGACAAACTCCTGTCCTGTAGATATCATCACCACAGAGGATGAAACTGAGTTTAAAAATAAAGACAGTTGTTGATTTGGGGCATATGAGGAACGAAATGAAAAGAGTCACTCTGAGCATAGATCAGCTATTAAATTAAATTCACAGATGAAGTTTGAAGATGACTTCAGCGCAGCTCATATCAGGTTGGCCACTGCAAAACAGAACCGAAACCGGGGCTGAGAGTAACTGCTGCGGCTTCGTGTCACCCGACTCCTGTTTCAAAAAACAACAAACGGTCGAGGCAGCAGAGAACGACATTTTTTTTATCTCCTTCAGCAGCTGCAAACAAAGGGCGATTCCTTTTCGCGCCGTATGTTTAAAAGTCCAGCACAGCCAATCAGCGATGGGATAGAGCACACAAAACATGAAGGCGCTCCTTAAAGGAATTCAGCCAATCACAGCTCAGAATGAGTTCTGTGCCCCCAGCGTTTATGTTTAAACGCTTGATTTCTGACCAATCAGAGGGGCAGGGGGCGGAGCTGCAGAACCAGTTTTAGGCAGTGAAACAGTTGCGCTTTCTTCCTCATTCAGTCGTTTACAGCTTGTGTCGGAGAGAACAGGTAAGAGACGCTGTTTTGGGCTAAATCAGCGGGTTTTTCCGCTACATTCGCGTTAAATAAGTGTTTAGGTTGTTTTGTTGTCATTAATCCGCCCTTGTCCAGCTGAAGCTCGGGAAGCGAACTTTCTGCGGCCTTTTTGGCCCAGAGTGAAAATCTCCGCGTAATTAAAACGAACTTCTTAATAAAGTTATCGGCGTCGGTTTCTGCGGACGGAAACGGGTAACTGCAGTTTGCGCTGTGTTTGGAGTGGGAGTTGCTGCGGAGCAGGCAGTTGAAACGCCATTTGGCTGCGCAGCGCAAACACGACGGAAAGTCCGCAGTTTGCGCCTGAAACGGGCCGCGGGTCCTTCCTGGCGCGGTTCCGTGTGTTGTGGTGTCAGTCCGAGCCCGTATGGAGCTGCTGCGTTCAGGAACTGGACCGGGCGGTTCTGCAGGGGAACTTTTGGCGCAGTTGGGCGGTTTAGGCGGGAAGATACAAAATGGAGTCGCGTCTTTTTGTCCCGAAGAGCCAGAAATCCGATTAGCGTCTGAAGACGCCTCCTCCCGGCGTCTGGCTGGCTGCGCCATTAACATGTAACACTCAGTAAGTACAGGTCAAAGGTCACTTTAAACAACACCTTATAAGGGTTATGATGACTTTTAGGGGGTTGGAAGGTAAACACTGATTCTTATCAGGGGTGTTTACATTATTTTCTTCATAACGTTTCAATTAATGCGAGACTTATTCAGAGAAAATTAAAATACATCTCAGTGAAATATGAAAAGTTTGGGTTTGACATGTAATGAGAAAATATAAACTTGGTACCTTTTTAAGTACTGAAATAAGTTATAAAAACACATGAAGATCTGAGTTTAAACTCATATTAAAGCATTTAAAACATCTTTAAAAGCTCGGCTCCTCAGAGGCTAATGCTAATCATTCAGGTTGCCACTTTTCCCACTCTCTCATATTTCTTCTCTTTAAAGAGTAAGCGCTGCCATGACAAAGGACCCCAATAAGCCCAGAGGGAAGACCTCTGCCTACGCCTTTTTTGTTGCAACCTCCGCGAGGAGCACAAGAAGAAGCACCCAGGAACCAGCGTCAACTTCGCAGAGTTCTCCAAGAAGTGCTCAGAGAGATGGAAGGTAAGTGGCGCTGACCTGAGCGTTTCCCAGTAAACTGGGAAATCAGGAGGACTAAAATGTTTTGTTTTGAAAGACTATGTCGGCCAAGGAGAAAGTGAAGTTTGATGAGATGGCCAAGAACGACAAGGGTTACGACGAGAGATGAAGTCCTACGTTCCCCCGAAAGGAGCCAAGAAGAGCAAGAAGAAGAAGGACCCCAACGCACCCAAAAGACCTCCGTAAGTCGGTGCTCTGATCCGCTCTGTTAGAGTCTTTCTGGTATTTATACGTCCATCTCGATGTCTGCAGCTCCGCTTTCTTCGTCTTCTGCTCCGACCACCGTCCCCGGATCAAGGAGGAGCATCCCGGCATCTCCATCGGCGACATCGCCAAGAAGCTGGGCGAGCTGTGGGCGACGCAGGGCACCAAGGACAAGGCGCCGTACGAAGCCAAGGCTGCCAAGCTGAAGGAGAAATACGAGAAGGTAGGCACCAGATGAGGAACCAGCTAACAGGAAGGTAGCGTGACTAACAGGAAGCTAACGGCTCTTCCTCCTCTTCCTGAAGGATTGCCGCCTACAGAGCCAAAGGCGGTTCAGGGAAGAGCGACGCCGGGAAGAAGAGTGGCCCGGCCGGCCCCCGGCCAAGAAGGTCCAGCCTGCTGACGACGACGACGATGATGACGACGAAGATGATGAGGATGACGATGATGATGATGATGACGATGATGAATAAATGTCATGTGAAAGGATGTGAAGTTTGCGATGCATTGTTCAGCTTAAACCTGTTTTTTTTTTGTGTGTGGATGATTGCAACATTTAGCCTGCTGTCCCTGGTTCTGGTCCGGTTCTGCCGGACCGGGTCTCCTCCTTTCATTCAGGGATTTAGTTTCTAGCCTCCCTTTAGTCCATGTCTGTTTCTACTGAACTCGGGTTGTTCCACCTTGCGAACGGCGCTGAACTGGACTGAAGCGCCAGCGGACGGCAGGAAGACATTTTGTTTTTTAAAGCTTGGTTCTGGAAGCACTGCGTTCGGTTCCAGTGGTGCCGTTTTCTTTCCCACTGTCGTTTTACCACCAGGATGTTTCTGTAGCTTCATTAAGACGTTGGCAGCCATTTTTAAAGTGGAACTTTGAAACCTGTAGAACGAATTTTTTTTTATAATAAAATTTTGTATATTATAACTGGAGTTTGTGATTATTCCACATGTTCAACTTTCTGTCAGATCTGCTGAATAATAAACAGGAATTTAATATCTAAACTGTTTCTGCTGCATGTTTTAGTTTTGGCTGTGTCCCATGCATGGCTGGAAAGAATCCAGAGGAGCAACTCGCAGCAAACTACTGGAAAGTTTGCTGGAGGGAAAACCTTTAAATTTGGACAGCTGGTAGAGCGACTGGTTGACAGCAGCTCACCCCAAACGTCTTCAACCTGGATTCTCTGGCTGAAACTGGTTATAATCAGTGCTGAGTTTAATTTGTTTAGAGTTCAGGTTAAAAAGTAAATGAAACCTGGGGACCAAATCTGCTGCTGAGGCCTCGTCCCACCTGGAGCTAAATGTAACCACTGATTTTATTGAGAAGTTGTGAAGGATTTGGACTTTATGTTGATCTGTGCCTGACGCTCCCAGCAGCCAATAGTTGTTCAGTAGCGGCCATCCGATGGGCCAATCAGAGGCGCCGCTGCCTTGGTCCCGCCTCCTTTGGACGACGCCGAGCCGCGGCGACAGCGGGGCTTCATTCAGCACCTGAGAGCTGCGGCCTGCTGGCACCTGACGGTAAGACCGGAACCAGAACCAGAACAATCATGAACACAGCGCGAAGCGGAGACGGAGCAGATGCTAGCCGCGCGTCCGCCGCGCGTCCTCCGCCGCGCCGCGAGTCCGCCGCCTGTTCGTCGTGCGTCCGCCGCGCCGCCGCCGCTTGTGCGCCGCGCGTCCGCCGCGCCGCCGCCGCCTGTTTGCCGCGCGTTCGCCGCGCCGCCGCCTGTGCGCCGCGCAGAGGATTAGTTGGTGTCGCTCAGACCTGTTGCCGGTTCTGCCTCCTCCCGAATCCGCCCTCAGTGATTCGGTTCAACCCGAACCCGTCCGGTCGCGAGCAGAACCGTCTTTGTCACGAGTGAGTTGGTGCAGTGTGACACAGGGAGGATGTCTGGATGGAAACCCAGACACCCGAACCAGTCCTTCCAGAACCGGGCCCGTTTCATGGCTCTGGATGCTGCTGGGGTTCTGGTCTCATCTGCAGGAAGAACTGGGTTTACTGGAAATGCGCAGTTGGAATGAATCATCACGGAACCGGCGGGGCGGACCAGAACCGGGTCCAGCTGAGGTCCATAAACTCCAGCTTCAGAACAGAACACGCTGAAGGATCCAAGCTGAAGGCTAGGATGATCCAAACCCGACCAGAACCTCAACAACATGAGGGCTCTGGACTGAACCGGGCCTGTAGAACCTGGTCCGTCCGCGTTCCCACTCTGACCCAATCGGGGAACGATTGGAGTTTCCAAAACCTGCTGATTCTGTTTTTTGTCTGAAAAGTAGCTTAATATGAGCGCAGCGATTAGAAGGCGATAAATTGTCCCAGAAGTTATTGTGATAAACGATAATATTGTAGTTTGGAGACCATTTTCCAGCAATATACTGATATTGGCATAATAATGCGCATTGTCAAAGATCAACAAACCTTTAACATTGGAACCGGAAGACATTTTAAATAAATAAATAAAACAACAAATGAAAATTGTTCTACATATAGAATGTCGGGTTGAGACCAAAACTGCAGACCGAAAACTTGGATCATCTGTATTTTGGTTTTGGCAGGAAGAAAAAAAGATCATTATTCCCAAATGAATCGTTTGTGCCTGAATGATGCGTGCTGCAGATGATGTCTGATTGTTTCAGCATGAAATTTAAAACATGACTCTTCAGACTGCAAACACTTTGAAAATTAGTTACTTTTGTTTGCTTGAACAATAAAAACAACTGATTATATTTACAGTAAGCGCAGATTAAATATGTGAAACAACAGAAATATGAATGATTCTGTGCCAATGTGAACATTTATTGAGTTTGTTGGGCCTGTGATGGTTTAGGGGAAGGGTCAGAGTTCACGCTGCTTTGTGCACCGAGGATCCAGCAGTTTGTCACTGAAGAAAGATCCAGAAATGAATGAAAATAATCAGAAATATGTCATGGGGAAGAGTAAAGCAAGAGCATTAAAGTCATCCAGAATAGTAAAAGTGTTGAGGTGGGTCAGCGCTGTTAGCCGCCCTGATTCTGATAATGAAGAGAATCTGCATGGAAATCAGCCGATTTGCACCTGACAAGACGAGGTCAGGGAAAACTGGCCTGCAGGTGTTTGAAGATTACCTTTGATTGATAAATGGTTTCATCCACAGCAGCATCAATCAGCTGGTGAAATGAAGAGAGAGGCAGATGTGCAACAGGTGCCATGCATCAGCAGTAGCCGAACGTTAGCAGCAGCAGCCGAGCGTTAGCAGCAGCAGAGCGTTAGCAGCAGCAGACCGTTAGCAGCAGCAGCCGAGCGTTAGCAACAGCAGAGCGTTAGCAGCAGCAGCAGAGCGTTAGCAGCAGCAGAGCATTAGCATCAGCAGCCGAGCGTTAGCAGCAGCAGAGCATTAGCAGCAGCAGCTGAGCGTTAGCAGCAGCAGCCGAGCGTTAGCAGCAGCAGAGCGTTAGCAGCAGCAGCCGAGCGTTAGCACAGCAGAGCGTTAGCATCAGCAGCCGAGCGTTAGCAGCAGCAGCCGAGCGTTAGCAGCAGCAGAGCATTAGCAGCAGCAGCAGCTGAGCGTTAGCAGCAGCAGCCGAGCGTTAGCAGCAGCAGAGCGTTAGCAGCAGCAGCCGAGCGTTAGCAACAGCAGAGCGTTAGCATCAGCAGCCGAGCGTTAGCAACAGCAGAGCGTTAGCATCAGCAGCCGAGCGTTAGCAGCAGCAGCCGAGCGTTAGCAGCAGCAGAGCATTAGCAGCAGCAGCTGAGCGTTAGCAGCAGCAGCCGAGCGTTAGCAGCAGCAGAGCGTTAGCAGCAGCAGCCGAGCGTTAGCAACAGCAGAGCGTTAGCATCAGCAGCCGAGCGTTAGCAACAGCAGAGCGTTAGCATCAGCAGCCGAGCGTTAGCAGCAGCAGAGCATTAGCAGCAGCAGCTGAGCGTTAGCAGCAGCAGCCGAGCGTTAGCAGCAGCAGAGCGTTAGCAGCAGTAGCCGAGCGTTAGCAGCAGCAGCCGAGCGTTAGCAGCAGCAGAGCGTTAGCAGCAGCAGACCGTTAGCAGCAGCAGCCGAGCGTTAGCAGCAGCAGAGCGTTAGCAGCAGTAGCCGAGCGTTAGCAGCAGCAGAGCGTTAGCAGCAGTAGCCGAGCGTTAGCAGCAGCAGAGCGTTAGCAGCAGCAGAGCGTTAGCAGCAGCAGCCGAGCGTTAGCAGCAGCAGAGCGTTAGCAGCAGCAGCCGAGCGTTAGCAGCAGCAGACCGTTAGCAGCAGCAGACCGTTAGCAGCAGCAGCAGACCGTTAGCAGCAGCAGCAGACCGTTAGCAGCAGCAGACCGTAAGCAGCAACAGCAGAGCGTTAGCAGCAGCAGAGCATTAGCAGCAGCAGCCGAGCGTTAGCAACAGCAGAGCGTTAACATCAGCAGCCGAGCGTTAGCAACAGCAGAGCGTTAGCAACAGCAGAGCGTTAGCATCAGCAGCCGAGCGTTAGCAGCAGCAGAGCGTTAGCAGCAGTAGCCGAGCGTTAGCAGCAGCAGAGCGTTAGCAGCAGCAGACCGTTAGCAGCAGCAGCCGAGCGTTAGCAGCAGCAGAGCGTTAGCAGCAGTAGCCGAGCGTTAGCAGCAGCAGAGCGTTAGCAGCAGTAGCCGAGCGTTAGCAGCAGCAGAGCGTTAGCAGCAGCAGAGCGTTAGCAGCAGCAGCCGAGCGTTAGCAACAGCAGAGCGTTAACATCAGCAGCCGAGCGTTAGCAGCAGCTGAGCGTTAGCAGCAGCAGCCGAGCGTTAGCAGCAGCAGAGCGTTAGCAGCAGTAGCCGAGCGTTAGCAGCAGCAGCCGAGCGTTAGCAGCAGCAGAGCGTTAGCAGCAGCAGACCGTTAGCAGCAGCAGCCGAGCGTTAGCAGCAGCAGAGCGTTAGCAGCAGTAGCCGAGCGTTAGCAGCAGCAGAGCGTTAGCAGCAGTAGCCGAGCGTTAGCAGCAGCAGAGCGTTAGCAGCAGCAGAGCGTTAGCAGCAGCAGCCGAGCGTTAGCAGCAGCAGAGCGTTAGCAGCAGTAGCCGAGCGTTAGCAGCAGCAGCCGAGCGTTAGCAGCAGCCGAGCGTTAGCAGCAGCAGACCGTTAGCAGCAGCAGCAGACCGTTAGCAGCAGCAGCAGACCGTTAGCAGCAGCAGACCGTAAGCAGCAACAGCAGAGCGTTAGCAGCAGCAGAGCATTAGCAGCAGCAGCCGAGCGTTAGCAACAGCAGAGCGTTAACATCAGCAGCCGAGCGTTAGCAACAGCAGAGCGTTAGCAACAGCAGAGCGTTAGCATCAGCAGCCGAGCGTTAGCAGCAGCAGCCGAGCGTTAGCAGCAGCAGCCGAGCGTTAGCAGCAGCAGCCAAGCGTTAGCAGCAGCAGCCAAGCGTTAGCAGCAGCAGAGCGTTAGCAGCAGCAGAGCATTAGCAGCAGCCCAGCGTTAGCAGCAGCAGCCCATCGTTAGCAGCAGCATCCAAGCGTTAGCAGCAGCAGCTGAGTGTCAGCAGCAGCAGAGCGTTAGCAGCAGCCCAGCGTTAGCAGCAGCAGCCAAGCGTTAGCAGCAGCAGCAGAGCGTTAGCAGCTGCAGCTGAGCGTTAGCAGCAGCAGCTGAGCGTTAGCAGCAGCAGCTGAGCGTTAGCAGCAGCAGCTGAGCGTTAGCAGCAGCAGCTGAGCGTTAGCAGCAGCAGAGCGTTAGCAGCTGCTGAGCGTTAGCAGCAGCAGCTGAGCGTTAGCAGCAGCCCAGCGTTAGCAGCAGCCCAGCGTTAGCAGCAGCCCAGCGTTAGCAGCAGCAGCTGAGAAGGCCAAGCTCAGCAGAGATTAATTCAATCTGCTCTGTAATCATCTTAGCCTGCAGCCTGGAGCCGTCTGCGTGTTTGCACATTAAAAACTGCAGGAACGTTCTGGAGCTCTTCTGGTTTTATTATGAATCTGGAAGGAACAGAAAACAACCAGCAGGAAAACTGAACCTGTAAATAACGACGACCAGAAAACAGAACAAATAGTAAAACTTGCAGCTGAAGGATGCAACAAGCTATTACTTTAGGTTTTGATTAATTAATCAATTCATTTTGACTTTTCATCAGATTTAACAAATGTTCTGCCGATTTGTCATGAAAACATTTTTTATACAATATCAGAAGAAAGTTTGTTGAGTATTAGTTGATTGACTGATTAATAATTGGTTTGCAAAAGGTTTTATTTTTAATTGATGATGTTGTTTCAGCTGTTGATCTTTTTCAGAGACGATTCATTGACTGCTAAATTAGTCGGCGATAATTTGAATAATCAATTCATCCGATTAATCGTTTGTTGGCTTCCGCTAACTGAAGCCAACAAACATGACCTGGTTGTCCTTCCCTCAGATTCATGTGCTCATATTCATGCGTTATGTGTTCATCTTGCGGCTGCTGATGGCGGCGGCTCGTCCAGCTCTCTGCAGGTGAGGATGGCCAAGGTGAAGCAGGTGGGCCTCCTGGCCGCCGGCTGCCAGCCCTGGAACAAAGACGTGTGCGCCGCCAGCGGAGACCGCTTCGCCTACTGCGCTACGTTAGCCATCTACGTCTACCAGGTGAGTTGATGAGGCCCTGTCCCTTCATTCATTCATTCATTCATTCATTCATATCACATATTCAAACAAAATATTTATTCAGCAAAGAAATCCAGATAATTAGCTTCCAAAGTTGTAATTAGCTAATTAGCTCACTATTAGCTCAGCTCTTGTTGTGGTTGCGTCCTTCCGGTTATTGGGAAGTGATTTTGGCATATTAGCCAAATATTTATCTTGCTAATTAATGTTTAGTTTGAAACATTTATGAATGAATGATTTAAAAAAATGAACCGTCAGTTTTTTTATTTTGTGACATTTGTGTTAATTTGAGCTAATTAACCCAAATTACTGGTGTTAATGTTAACTATGCAACTTTCCTAACGCCTCATAATTTCACAGAGATCTTTAAAAGTCAATTTGAGAATTATCAGCGAACCTGCCGCCGTCTCCAGCGGTCGTCGTTTGTCTGTTGAAGACACAACTTCATGTTTGTGATTAGATTCCTAAATTTATGTCCCAAAAGTCGCAGCACATTATGTTTTCAAGTGAACATCATTGGATAAAATTAGATTTTTGTTGTAAGTGAAGTATAACTAAAAATTTGAGCAGGATGGATCAAACGTGATTCAGAAAGATCTTCTCTGACGGCTCCTCACCTGTCTGAAGACTCCCTGGCTCACCTTTGACCTTGTAAAGCAGATGTCTGTTTGTGTGCAGCTGGACCAGCAGTACAACGAGTTCAAGCTGCGCTCCATCATGTCGGAGCACAAGAAGACGATCACGGCCATCAGCTGGTGTCCAGACAACGCCGACCTGTTCGCCTCCGCCTCCGCCGACAACCTGCTCATCATCTGGAACGTGGCGGAGAAGAAGGCCGCCGCCCGGCTGGACAGCACCAAAGGTAGATGACCGACCGGGACTCTGACCTCTGACCTCTGACCTCTGACCTCCGTCCTCTCCAGGCATCCCCGTCTCCGTCAGCTGGTGCTGGAACTCACCGGACGGCGTGGCGTTCGTGTCGCAGCGCGGCCCGCTGTACGTCTGGGACTACCGAGGGTCCGACGCCGCGGTCACCGTCCACAAGGAGGCGCACTCCTTCCTGTCGGACATCTGCCTGTTCCGCTGGCACCCGAGCAAGAAGGGCAAGCTGGTGTTCGGACACACCGACGGCAGCCTGTCCGTCTTCCAGCCCGGTCAGTCCAGGTCCAGTTCACCCCTCAAGAGTCTGCATTCATTTGTCTAGTTTGTTTCGTGGGTTTGGTGGTTGTCAGCTTGAGAAACACTCATCGAGAGAGAATGACCTTTGACCTCTAACCTGTGGGGTCTGCAATGAAGCGCTGGGTTTGGACAGTAAGCTTGTCGTCGTAACTTCGTAGTCTGCAGCTTACATTTTAGACTTTCAGATATCTAGACGGTAATCATGAAACTGATTTTATGATAACTCAGCCTGCCGTACCTGGTTGTTCCTTTGAGCTTTGACCTTTAACCTCTACAGTTACATGGTTCTGTAAAAACTGTCAGAAAACAGGGACGTTCTGATACTAGAGGTTAGAATTTGTACTTTTGAATACTTGAGTATTTTAATAAGTAACTTTCGCTTGTAGCTGAGTAGCAATACTTTTACTCGAGTACTTTGCACTCCACTGGTCATTTCTCTGACCTCTGACCTTGGGCTGAGCCTTCTCTCAGACTGGGGGATGATACACTTTGTATGACCTTTGACCCCTTCTGAGCATTTCGACTTCCTGCCCTGCGTTTCCTGACTGACCTCTGACCTCTGCCGTGTGTCCAGGCAGTAAAAGCCAGAAGCACGTCCTGCGTCCAGAGGCCCTGGAGGGGACGGACGAGGAGGACCCGGTCAGCGCCCTGGAGTGGGACCCTCTGTCCGTCGACTACCTGCTCGGTCCGGTTCCGACCCGAAGCCTCAGCGCAGACGCAGCCTCGGGTTCTGATCGGGTTTCTGATCGGGTTCTGACCCGCTGTCTTCTTCTTCTGCAGTGTCCAACCTCCACAACGGCGTGCGGCTGGTGGACAGCGAGGGACTGTCCTGCATCACGTCCTTCTGCTTCCCGTCCGCCGCCGCCTCCGTCCAGTGCCTGGCCTGGGTTCCCTCGGCTCCGGGGATGTTCATCACCGGGGGTGAGAGGCGCTGCAGGACCCTGGCTCTGAATGAAGCCTGGTTTGTGGTGAGACGTGTTCTTTCTGCAGACTCGCAGGTCGGCGTGCTGAGGGTTTGGAACGTGTCTCGCTCCACGCCGTTGGACAGCTTCAAGCTGAAGAAGACGGGATTTCACGCTCTGCATGTGCTCAGCGCCCCGCTGGCCAAAAGAGGTAACTGCACCTCCGATAACCCAACATGTAGACTGAAACGTCACTCATAGCTATTAGTCAATTATTGAAATCTCTATTAATCATTCATTAATCTTAGACTGGAGTAAAAATTTTAGAAACAATTCAGAGCTGCAATCAGATCAGAACTGTCCAAAAGCAAAACCTAACCTGTTTCTGCAGGTAAATCCATTCTTCCCCCTTGGATGGACTGGACTTTCTGGAGCGATGCTCAGGCTAACTGCCTCTGCTCCTCTCTGCAGCTCAGAGCTCCAGTTCTCCCAGTAAGAGCCAGCACACCAGTTCCACCAGCGAGGCCGTCCCTCCGCCGACCCTGTCCCAGAACCGGGCCTTCTCTCTGCCGCCCGGTCACGCCGTCTGCTGCTTCATGGACGGCGGCTTCGGACTCTACGACATGGGGGCCAAGAAGTGGGACTTCCTGAGAGACTTGGTGCGCTGCGGGCCGCGCGGCTGGCGGGGCAGGAAGTGTCTCGGTTCTCTCTGACGTCTGTTTTCAAATTCCAGGGCCACGTGGAAACCATCTTTGACTGCAAGTTTAAACCCGATGACCCCAACCTGCTGGCGACGGCCAGTTTTGATGGAACCATTAAAATCTGGGACACCAACACGCTGACGGCCGTTTCTACGTCGCCCGGGAACGAAGGCGTGGTTTACTCTCTGTCCTGGGCTCCAGGTGCATAAGCCGCTAACACACCGCTAATATCAGCTAATGCTAGCATACCTGTTAATGTTAGCATATTAACTAGTGTTAGCATATGAGCTATTACAATATGAGCTAACATTAATTTATCAGCTAATGTTAGCATACGAGTTAGTACTGGCTTTTCAGTCAATCACAGTAGATCAGCTAATAATATTGGTATATTGGTTAATGTTAGCATTTGAGGTTTGTTAGCATGTCTGCTAATGTTGTACCATACCTTGCATATATAAGCTAATGTTAGGATGTTGACAATTGTTGAGGCATCAGTTCATGTTAGTTTATCAGCTGTAGCTGCTACTACCTGTGTTAATGGGTCCTGTGTTGTTAAAGTTAGCTAATAAGTAGCATTAGTTAAACTGGTGAGCTAATAAGTTAACAGTACATTACTTTTATCGTGTAAAACATGAGTGATTGGATATTTGTGGAGGTGTCATTCTCAGCAGTGGGTGAGGTTGAGGCAGGACTGGCAGCAGAGAGGATTGTGGGTCAGGGGAATTTCCTTCTGTGTTTCTTGGATCTGCAAACTGTTAGTGTGGATGTCAGGAACCAGACGGTTGCTGTGGTTCTAAATGGGAAAGCAGTTTTTCTCTGCTGGTTTCTAAGGAGACCTGAACTGCATCGCGGGAGCGACGTCTCGTAACGGAGCGTTTATTTGGGACGTCGGGAAGGGGAAAATCATCACCCGCTTTAACGAGGTCAGTTGAGATCTGCAGCCTTGGCGAAGCTGGAGCCGTTCTAACTGCTGCTGTTTCCCTTCAGCACGGTAAGAACGGGATTTTCTGCATATCGTGGAGCCACAAAGACTCCAAGAGGATCGCCACCTGCAGCGGAGACGGGTTCTGGTGAGCGCCGGTCCAATCGGGTTTAACCGTGCAGCGATGAGGCGCAGCGTGTTTCACGTTCCTGTCTCTGCAGCATCATCAGAACCATCGACGGCAAAATCCTGCACAAGTACAAACATCCTGCCGCCGTGTTCGGCTGCGACTGGAGCCAGAACAACAAGTAAGAGCTGGAGATACGTCTGTCTGTCATCCATCCATCATCCATCCATCATCCATCCATCATCCATCCATCATCCATCCATCATCCATCCATCTGTCATCCATCCATCATCCATCCATCATCCATCCATCATCCATCCATCATCCATCCATCATCCATCCATCATCCATCCATCATCCATCCATCTGTCATCCATCCATCATCCATCCATCATCCATCCATCATCCATCCATCATCCATCCATCATCCATCCATCTGTCATCCATCCATCATCCATCCATCCATCATCCATCCATCATCCATCCATCATCCATCCATCTGTCATCCATCCATCATCCATCCATCTGTCATCCATCCATCATCCATCCATCATCCATCCATCTGTCATCCATCCATCATCCATCCATCATCCATCCATCATCCATCCATCTGTCATCCATCCATCATCCATCCATCTGTCATCCATCCATCATCCATCCATCATCCATCCATCTGTCATCCATCCATCATCCATCCATCTGTCATCCATCCATCATCCATCCATCATCCATCCATCTGTCATCCATCCATCATCCATCCATCATCCATCCATCCATCATCCATCCATCTGTCATCCATCCATCTGTCATCCATCCATCATCCATCCATCCAACCATCCATCCATCCATCTGTCATCCATCCTTCATCCATCCATCATCCATCTGTCATCCATCCATCATCCATCTGTCATCCATCCATCTGTCATCCATCCATCATCCATCCATCCATCCATCTGTCATCCATCCATCATCCATCCATCATCCATCCATCTGTCATCCATCCATCTGTCATCCATCCATCATCCATCCATCATCCATCCATCTGTCATCCATCCATCATCCATCCATCCATCCATCATCCATCCATCATCCATCCATCTGTCATCCATCCATCATCCATCCATCCATCCATCATCCATCCATCATCCATCCATCTGTCATCCATCCATCCATCATCCATCCATCATCCATCCATCTGTCATCCATCCATCATCCATCCATCATCCATCCATCCATCATCCATCCATCTGTCATCCATCCATCATCCATCCATCATCCATCCATCCATCATCCATCCATCCATCCATCCATCATCCATCCATCCATCATCCATCCATCTGTCATCCATCCATCCATCATCTATCCATCATCCATCCATCTGTCATCCATCCATCATCCATCCATCATCCATCCATCATTCATCCATCTGTCATCCATCCATCATCCATCATCCATCATCCATCCATCATTCCATCATCCATCATCTGTCATCCATCCATCATCCATCCATCCCATCCATCCATCTGTCATCATCATCCATCCATCATCCATCCATCTGTCATCCATCATCCATCTGTCATCCATCCATCATCCATCCATCCATCATCCATCCATCATCCATGCATCATCCATCATCCATCCATCTGTCATCCATCCATCATCCATCATCCATCCATCTGTCATCCATCCATCCATCCATCATCCATCTGTCATCCATCCATCATCCATCCATCCATCATCCATCCATCATCCATCCATCTGTCATCCATCTGTCATCCATCCATCCATCCATCATCCATCTGTCATCCATCCATCATCCATCCATCCATCATCCATCCATCATCCATCCATCTGTCATCCATCCATCATCCATCCATCGTCCATCTGTCATCCATCCATCATCCATCTGTCATCCATCCATCATCCATCCATAGTCCATCTGTCATCCATCTGTCATCCATCCATCATCCATCCATCATCCATCCATCCATCCATCCATCATCCATCCATAGTCCATCTGTCATCCATCTGTCATCCATCCATCATCCATCCATCATCCATCCATCCATCCATCATCCATCCATCATCCATCCATCATCCATCCATCTGTCATCCATCCATCATCCATCCATCGTCCATCCATCTGTCATCCATCCATCATCCATCCATCATCCATCTGTCATCCATCCATCATCCATCCATCGTCCATCCATCTGTCATCCATCCATCATCCATCCATCATCCATCCATCTGTCATCCATCATCCATCCATCATCCATCCATCCATCCATCATCCATCTGTCATCCATCCATCATCCATCCATCTGTCATCCATCCATCTGTCATCCATCCATCATCCATCCATCCGTCATCCATCCATCATCCATCCATCTGTCATCCATCCATCATCCATCCATCCATCATCCATCCATCATCCATCCATCCATCATCCATCCATCTGTCATCCATCCATCATCCATCCATCCATCATCCATCCATCTGTCATCCATCATCCATCCATCATCCATCCATCATCCATCCATCCATCATCCATCCATCCATCATCCATCCATCTGTCATCCATCCATCATCCATCCATCCATCATCCATCCATCTGTCATCATCATCCATCCATCATCCATCCATCTGTCATCCATCCATCCATCTGTCATCCATCCATCATCTATCCATCATCCATCCATCATCCATCCATCATCCATCCATCCATCATCCATCCATCTGTCATCCATCCATCATCCATCCATCTGTCATCCATCCATCATCCATCCATCCATCATCCATCCATCCATCATCCATCCATCTGTCATCCATCCATCCATCTGTCATCCATCCATCATCCATCCATCTGTCATCCATCCATCCATCATCCATCCATCATCCATCCATCCATCCATCATCCATCCATCATCCATCCATCCATCATCCATCCATCATCCATCCATCCATCCATCATCCATCCATCATCCATCCATCCATTATCCATCCATCTGTCATCCATCCATCATCCATCCATCCATCATCCATCCATCATCCATCCATCCATCATCCATCCATCATCCATCCATCCATCCATCATCCATCCATCATCCATCCATCCATCATCCATCCATCTGTCATCCATCCATCATCCATCCATCTGTCATCCATCCATCCATCATCCATCTGTCATCCATCCATCCATCCATCCATCCATCCATCTGTCATCCATCCATCATCCATCCATCATCATCCATCCAATCAATGTATAGCTGTCTCTGTCTCCTGCGTCCCTAAGGGACATGATAGCGACCGGCTGTGAGGACAGGAACGTGCGGGTCTACTACCTGGCCACCAGCTCTGATCAGCCGCTCAAGGTGTTCACTGGACACCTGGCCAAGGTGTTCCATGTCCGTTGGTCGCCGCTCAGGGGGGAATCCTTTGCTCCGGCTCTGACGACGGGTGAGATTCTGGGCCGACTGCGTCTCCGGCTCAGGAAGCTGTTCTGGTTCTATGGTTCTGGTTCTGTGTGTGGGCAGAACGGTCCGGATCTGGGACTACACCCAGGACGCCTGCATCAACGTTCTAAGTGGACACACGGCGCCGGTCCGAGGCCTGATGTGGAACACCGAGGTTCCGTACCTGCTCATCTCAGGTACAGAACCGCTGGACCCAGTACTGGGACCAGTGCGCTGTGCTGGGACTGCCAGAACTATTTGTCCATGAGTTTGATTACGGCTGCAGTTTGTAACTTAGATGAAATGTTGTTAATATTTATGTGGAATGAGCCTTAATGTGGTGAATCTGTGCTGAAGTGGGATCTGGACAAACGCTGCGTTTATGCAGACGTTTTATGACATAACCAGCTGCCTCAGCATGGAGGCAGTTCAGCCATATGGAAAACATTTTCAATAAGCTACTGCAGCTATAAGGAAGACGGGAACGCTCCGTCCTCATTGGTCTCTGGTCCCGGTGCTTCTGCAGGATCCTGGGATTATACGATCAGAGTCTGGGACACCAGGGACGGGACGTGTCTGGACCGTCTTCGACCACACGGAGCCGACGTCTACGGTGAGACACCGAGAGACACCAGAAGGCCTGCTGAGGCTGTCCAGCGGTCTGAAGTCTCTATGTCCCCGTCCTCCCCGTCCTCGTCCCTGATGCCCTCTCCCCGGTCCCATCCCTGTCCACCTCCCTGGTCCCTGTCCACCTCATCCACCTTCCCGTCCACCTCCCCGTCCCCCTCCCCATCCACCTCCGTCCCCACAGGTCTGACGTGTCACCACAGCCGGCCCTTCACCATGGCGAGCTGCAGCGGGACAGCACTGTCCGTCTCTGGTCTCTCACGCCACTTGTCTGTCCTCTGCTGCTCAACATCCTGACGGAGACACCCTGGGACCGATCATCGGGAATACAGGTGAGCCCCGCTGGAGGCCCGGTCTGGATCGGGTTTTTTTTCTGACCCGTCTCTCCCTGCAGACGCGGCCATGGTCCCCGGCTCGCCGCCGCTGCTCTGCGGGAAACTGTCCAGAGACATCAAGCAGGAGCTGGACAAGCTGAGCGGAGACGGCCGGTCCAGAAAGCTGCGCTGGTTTTCCGAGACTTTCTCTGTGAGTTCAGCATCAGCAGGGGGTCTGATGTCATCAGATGTTTATGTAAAACTCTGTAGAGTTATCCTTAAAGGGGCCAGTATCTACAATCAGCTTTGATCTTTGATCAGTGTTGCTCCAGCTGCTAAAAGCCTGGGTGGACCTAGCCCCGCCTTCGAGCCGCAGCTCCTCCCACTCAGCTCCTTCAGACTAGCCAGCAGCTGCTGGAACTGCTGAGCCCAGATCGACGCAGGAGCTGTGTTGGGATGACTTCCTGGAGGCGGAGCTTCAGACAGAGCAGGGGTTTATTAAAGAGACAGAGACCCAATTTCAAGGTTAAATCAGGAAGTGAATTTTTTAAAATCATGTTAATTTTTGTAACAACTGAAGTTGACATAGCTACATGGTAGAGCCATTAACGCCCTGTGGCAAACACGACACTGGCCCTTTAAGAGGCTCCCTGTGATGCGCCTGTTTCATCTAGACGAAGAGAAAAACACCCAAAATGTTTTCTGATTACTGTTCTGTTTTACTTAAAGCAATATTCTGGTTGTATGAGATATAACTCTTTGCTTTCATTATTTTTTTTAAAATCTTGTTAAAATTTATTTCCTAACTCTGGCAGGAAATATATTTAGAAGCCTAAAAATCCACATTGTTCTGTTTTTAGTAACTTGATGCTTTTTGCCTAAAATCTTGCAGTATTTCACTGATTTTGATGAAAACTCATGTCAGAACTGATCATGTTTGCAGAATAAACAACCTTTTTTCTGAGCTCTTCTTGTTGTGTGAATCAGAGGCAGGGAAGCAGTTGAGGTCCGGTCCAGAACCGGTCCCTCTGGGCCTGGAGCAGCTTCCTGCTGAGCCTGAGTGACCAGACAAACAAGCAGCAGCAGCAGATAATGAGATAATCAGCTCATGTTGCCTCCTTACCGCTGGCGCCCCCTGCTGCTGTTCTGCTGTAACTCCATCTTTAATAATCTCAGGGAAAATAGTGAAGCCAACCTGTAGATGGCGCCGTTAGCTAAAAACCATCTACACTTTTTCTGACGCTTCAGTTAAAACATGACACAATCTTTAATCTGCTGATGGTCAGAGCCTCCATCGGCTGGAGGATCAGACCGTTTGGTTCCGGATGAGGTTCTGTTGGATGTGTTTGAACATGTGCAGTGTCGCCCTCAGCCTCCAGGGGGCAGCAGCAACTTGTGGGACCTGGTGTTCATCATCAACGGCCAGGACGACTCGCTGCTTCCTGCCAGCTACAGCAAAGGCGTGATGCACATGAAACACCTGGTAAAGTTTAAAACGGTGAGCCGCTCAGGTAACTCTGCAGGCTCCGCCCCACGCAGGCTCGCCCCCACACTGGCAGAAACTTTACTAAACTGTTCACAAACCTCAAAACTAAAAGATGTCAACATATTAAAAAAAATGCTTTTATTTTGAAAGGGTTTAGTGTTTTATTTGAACAGAAAAGTTTTTAAAAATCTGCAAGTTAAATCTGAAATGTGAAAAATAGTAAGACATTGTCTCTGCTGGTCCCATGTTAGTTAGCCCAAATGTTTTAAATTATTTTTCAGACAAAAATGAAAATGTTAACTAAAAAGGAAAATACAAGTTTAAAAGTAAATTATTTATTGATGTTTTTTGTTTTTAATTTATTTTTTACAGTTTGAAAAATAATTTGCTAAATATTTTTCTTGTATGTTTTTATTTCTATTTTGTAGTTTTTGTGTAATATTTTAATTAGTTAATTTGTTCATTTATCACAGTAAGAAGTAGCATTTGAAATAAAATTAGTGCTATTTAAATCCATGTAAACAGAAGCTGCCAGATGTGAGGCAACACAAAATGATTTAAATTGATAATAACAATTTACAACAATATGAACACATTTTGCAAAAAAAAACTTTAAGTAGATTAAACTAAATGATCAGTTAAATACCGCACATAGGTAAATAGATCAAAGATAATAACAAAATAAGTCTTTTTACTTTGCTAATCTGATGAAAAAATGTTTTCTTTTGCTGTTGATAATAATACTAATAATGATGAACCTCTCAGCTTTATTCAATCAGATAAAATCCCTCTTAGGGATTTAAAATATTTAAAATACTAAATTAGTTTAGTAAAATTAGTAACCCTGCTGGCAGAAATAAAACGGGAATCATTTATGTTTTAATGTTTTATTATTTTATTGTGCAGTTTTATTTTTTAATGTTTTATTTGTTTACAGTCTGAAGCTCAGGAGCTGACGATCGTCAAGATGTCGAAATTCGGCGGAGGAATCGGCGCGCCGAGCAAAGAGGAGCGTCTGAAGGAAGCAGCAGAGATCCCCCTGGCTGGGTCAGATCCAGAGGTACTGCGAGCTCATGGTGGAGCTGGGTCAGGTGAGAACCGGGTCACCGGCCCAAACTCAGGTTCTGTTCAGCTCCTGTCTGTTCCCTCAACCCGCCGTCTCTTTCAGTGGGAGAAAGCCTTGGCGGTGGCGCCCGGAGTCTCCATGAAGTACTGGAAGAAACTCATGCAGAGGTAACGCACTCAGAACCAGAGCAGGTCCTGGTTCTGATCTGGTTCTGGTTCAGTTCTGTCAGTGACTGGGTTGTGTTTCTGCAGACGAGCCGATCAGCTGATGGCCGACGATAACGATGACGCCATCCCGTACTGCATCGCCACCGGCGACATTAAGAAGCTCGTATCGTTCTTCACCAGCAGGGGGCAGCTGCTGGAGGCCCTGCTGATCGTACAGGTAAGGGGGGGGTCACCAGGTGCGTCCAGCAGGCCGGGGCACCAGGTGCGTCCAGCAGGCCGGGGCACCAGGTGCGTCCAGCAGGCCGGGGCACCATCTGCGTCCAGCAGGCCGGGGCACCAGGTGCGTCCAGCAGGCCGGGGCACCAGGTGCGTCCAGCAGGCCGGGGCACCAGGTGCGTCCAGCAGTCCGGGGCACCATCTGCGTCCAGCAGGCCGGGGCACCAGGTGCGTCCAGCAGGCCGGGGCACCATCTGCGTCCAGCAGGCCGGGGCACCAGGTGCGTCCAGCAGGCCGGGGCACCAGGTGCGTCCAGCAGGCCGGGGCACCAGGTGCGTCCAGCAGGCCGGGCACCAGGTGCGTCCAGCAGGCCGGGGCACCAGGTGCGTCCAGCAGGCCGGGGCACCAGGTGCGTCCAGCAGGCCGGGGCACCAGGTGCGTCCAGCAGGCCGGGGCACCAGGTGCGTCCAGCAGGCCGGGGCTGAGCAGCCACTGTTTGCAGGGAGCGTGTGAAGGGAACATCCGTTCCCCGCAGAGTTCATCCATCAACCACACAACCAACGACGTGGAAAACAGGCAGCAGTACCAGAGGTAGGGAAGCGCGGAAACCCGGTTTACCAATGAGCAGCATTAGCTTAGCTTAAGTTAGCTTCTTTTACCCTACACTGGATTAGCTGCCTTAGCCTAGCCCATCTTAGCTAAATTTGGGTTATATTAGCATTTATTATTTTAACCCACATTCATTTAACTTGGATTATATTAGCTTAGCTTAGCATAGCTTTTTTTAAATCCCAAATTAGTTGAAGCATAGCTTAGCTAAACTTAGCCTGTCATAACTTAGCTTATTTTGTCTAAGTTTAGGAATTAAATTGGTTTAGCTAATGCTAACTTGGATTATTTTCGCATTAGCTGTGTTTATCTTCCTTTATAAGATAAGATTTAAAATGACAAATAATTTAATTGCTTCTCAGTATATTTTAATTTAATCTAGTTTGGCCTATTTATCATATTTAACTGAAATGATTTTAGGACCAAAGCATCCTATAAGTGAAATACTTTATAACGTAGTTTACAGTTTTTGCACTGACAGTTTCTCTGTGGTGTTTAATCTGTCAAGAATAAATTTTTGTCGTAAAAAACGTTTCGTCTTTCTGCCGTCAGCCTCCTTCATCATGTCTGTAAGGAACTGGCTGAGTGGTACTTCCAAGATGGCCGCTCCGTCCTGGCCGCATGCTGCCACCTGGCGGTCGACAACATCCAGGTAGGTTTCCTCCAGGTTTCTCCAGGTTTCTCCAGGTTTCCTCTTCGGTTCTGAAGCCATGTTTCTGTCCTGCAGTCGGCCATGGCCAGCCTGATCCGGGGAAACGAGTTGGAGCTGGCTGCGTGCGTGGGACTGGTCCTGGGAGAAGCAGCCAATCAGAGCACGGCTTACTGCCTGGAGCTGTTGGCCAGGAAGTACATGACGGCGCCAACATGGTAGACACGCAGGCTGCTTCTATGTGAGGAGTTCTGTGTTTGCTGCTGGTCAGTCAGGATGTCTGTTGTTCTCAGGGAGCTCTCCGCCGACCTGCTGCTGATGATCCCTGATAATCACGTCTTACTGGCCAAGCTGTGCGCCTTCCACCCAGGAAGTGCTGCAGAGATCGACCGGCTGCACCAGCGGGTGGGGAGACCTCGGCCCAGATTACAGTTTGACCGTATTCTCTGGGATTTAAATCGTTTTGTCGTTGCAGTGCGGCCTGCCCTCCCTGGATGAGTGCTCGGATCTGGCAGTAGCTGCGGCGGCCGACGGCGATCTGTTCTCCGCCGTGAAGTTCCACCTGCTGAGCTCTGAGCCTGAACTCGCCCTGCAGATGGGCCTCGGCTTCCTGAAAGGTAACTGTTTGCTCCCTGCGTGTCGGCCGCGAGCGGACGCCCGCTACGAATCTCACGCTGCGTGTCGCTGCTGATCAGAGCAGCTGGCCGGATCTGATTGGACGGTGGACGGCGTTCAGCCAATCCTGGACCTGCTGAGCTACATCCGGACCGACCGCCTCGTCCTGCCCAGGCTCACCCAGTGAGGAAGTCGTCTCCGCAGGACATCAGACCCTCGCCCTGGCTGTCCTAACTCTGTGTGTGTGTGTGTGTGTGTCTCTGTGTGTGTGTGTGTGTGTGTGTCTCTGTGTGTCTCTGTGTGTGTCTCTGTGTGTGTCTCTGTGTCTCTGTGTGTGTCTCTGTGTGTCTCTGTGTGTCTCTGTGTGTCTCTCTGTGTGTCTCTGTGTGTCTCTGTGTCTCTGTGTCTCTCTGTGTCTCTGTGTGTCTCTGTGTGTCTCTCTGTGTCTCTCTGTGTGTCTCTGTGTCTCTGTGTGTCTCTGTGTGTCTCTGTGTCTCTGTGTCTCTCTGTGTCTCTGTGTGTCTCTGTGTCTCTCTGTGTCTCTGTGTCTCTCTGTGTGTCTCTGTGTGTCTCTGTGTGTCTCTCTGTGTGTCTCTGTGTCTCTGTGTGTCTCTGTCTCTCTGTGTCTCTGTGTCTCTGTGTCTCTGTGTGTGTCTCTGTGTCTCTCTGTGTCTCTGTGTGTCTCTGTGTCTCTCTGTGTCTCTCTCTGTGTCTCTCTCTGTGTCTCTGTGTCTCTCTGTGTCTCTGTGTGTCTCTGTGTCTCTCTGTGTGTCTCTCTGTCTCTCTGTGTGTCTCTGTGTCTCTGTGTGTCTCTGTGTCTCTGTGTGTCTCTCTGTGTCTCTGTGTGTCTCTGTGTCTCTCTGTGTGTCTCTGTGTCTCTCTGTGTCTCTGTGTGTGCAGAGAGCGCAGTGAGCTGCTGATCCTGTGCGGTTACATCGGAGGCCTGCTGGCCATCAGACGGAGCTACTGCAGCATCGTTCCTGCTCTCTATGAATTCACCAGGTATGATGCGAGACAGCCGTAACCATGGTAACCAGACTCTGTCCTCCATGTTTGTAGTCTTTCATGAGGGATTCTCTGCAGTCTGAAATAATGCAGAAAATGATCAAATTGTGATGTAATTTTATCATTTGTGTGTGAAATAATTAAATAAAATAATTACTGAAAAAATGGATAACATTTGCAAAAAAATAAAAATATAGCTTTTTTTTCTTCTCTCCAACTTTCTGAAATTCAGAGACGTTTAATATTTAAAGATGATGCCAGAAAATAATATTCCAGGACAAACTTGCTGTTTTTATCATAAAATAATAAAATGGAGTCTCTAAACATAAAATCATAAAACCGTGAAAACAGCCAAATTTTACTGAACACTTACTGACGTCTCCTGAGCTGCAGCGCCCCTGCAGGGAGCGCCAGCCCCCCGCAGGGAGCGCCAGCCCCCCGCAGGGGGCGCCAGCCCCCGCAGGGAGCGCCGCCCCCTGCAGGGAGCGCCAGCCCCCTGCAGGGGGCAGGCGCTCCCTGCGGGGGCGCCAGCCCCCGCAGGGAGCGCCTGCCCCCTGCAGGGAGCGCCAGCCCCCCTGCAGGGAGCGCCAGCCCCCCGCAGGGAGCGCCAGCCCCCCGCAGGGAGCGCCTGCCCCCTGCAGGGGGCGCCAGCCCCCTGCAGGGAGCGCCAGCCCTGACCGCCTCTCTGTGTGTCTCAGCCAGCTGCTGAAGCGGCGGGACGTCGGCGTTCCTCTGCAGATCCAGCAGCTGTCGGCGGAGCTGGAGGCGTGGCGCGCCGCGACGCAGCCGGCAGGTCGGCCATCGGCGCCGCGCTCACTTCCTGCTCTGCTGCTGGGTCACCGTGGCAACGCAGCAGGGCGGGGCCACGAGGAGGAGGGGCAGATTTGGTTTCATTCTGTTTTAGACCATAATAATCTGAAAGTGTGGCATGCAGTTCTACTTAGCTGCAGTAACCATGGTTACCATGGTTACTGCTCTCCACACTTTTCAGATTTTCAGATTTCCTCCTCTTCATCACTCTCGTCTTCCTCCAGTCTAACCAGTCTAACCAGTCTAACCAGTCTCTGTCATCCCCAGTCCTCCATCAGAGAGTCAGAGGGAAGAGTTCAGCCGCCTGCAGAGGAAGATCCAGCCTACAGAACCAGGTAACCGGATCAGAACCCGATCAGAACCGGATCAGAGCCCGATCAGAACCCGATCAGAGCCCAATCAGAACCGATCAGAACCGGATCAGAGCCCGATCAGAGCCCGATCAGAACCCAATCAGAACCAGATCAGAACCGGATCAGAGCCCGATCAGAGCCCGATCAGAACCCAATCAGAACCAGATCAGAACCGGATCAGAGCCCGATCAGAACCCGATCAGAGCCCAATCAGAACCCGATCAGAACCGGATCAGAGCCCGATCAGAGCCCGATCAGAACCCAATCAGAACCAGATCAGAACCGGATCAGAGCCGATCAGAGCCCGATCAGAATCCAATCAGAACCAGATCAGAACCCGATCAGAGCCCGATCAGAACCCAATCAGAACCAGATCAGAACCGGATCAGAGCCCGATCAGAGCCCGATCAGAACCCAATCAGAACCAGATCAGAACCGGATCAGAGCCCGATCAGAGCCCGATCAGAACCCAATCAGAACCAGATCAGAACCGGATCAGAGCCCGATCAGAACCCAATCAGAACCCGATCAGAACCGGATCAGAACCCTGTCTGGAGCCGGGGCAGAGCCGCCATCAGTACGGAGGGCAAACTGTCCCAAATTACAAAAAAATAACAAGAAATAATTATTTAAATCTCATAAAATTGAAAATATTGAATTTAAATATATAAATAAATTTTTCAACACAGTTTCATCTGTTGCCACATCCTCCTTAACGGTTGCTACGCAACATTAGTTTACAATTAAATATGTAAATTGTTAACCAGTTAGTATGAACTGGTTAACAATTTAACCAGTTAGTATTTTTGTATTAATAATATGTTTATTGTTTATACATTAATTAATAAATAATAATGTATTAATTTATCAGTCACATGATAAATTAATACATTATTGATGGTTTATGTGTTCTACGGAAGGCCGAAAGGGACAAAACTAAATCAAAATTAAGTAAATAAACTTCTCATTGAATAATGTAACACATTTAAACGATGAAATTAAATAACTAGAAAATATTAATTCATTTAAAAATATGTAAAATTATATCATCTTGCATTTATTTTCAATGTGAAGACATCTAAACAGATTATTACATACAACTGATCGGGTCCAGTTCTGACCGTCCTGGTTCTGATCGGGTCCAGTTCTGACCGTCCTGGTTCTGATCGGGTCCAGTTCTGACCGTCCTGGTTCTGATCGGGTCCAGTTCTGACCGTCCTGGTTCTGTTCTCCTCCAGGCGCGCTGGTTCTGGTCGGACCCGACTACATGACGGGCTCCAACCTGCCGAGCCATTCGGACCTCCACCTGTCCTGCTTCACCGGACACAGGATCCAGGTGAGCCTGAGCGGTTCTGTTCCCCGAGGTTCCGGGCCGGCGTGACGCTCCGGTTCTGGTTCTGTTTGCTTCAGGGTCCGGTGTTCCTACTGGAGGACAACAAGTCGGCCATTTCTCTGAACGACGCTCTGATGGGGCCAAGGTCAACCCGTTCTCGCCGCTCGGAACCGGGCTGCGGATCAACCCGTTCTGACCTCAACCGGACCGGAACCAGTACCGGGCTGAACAGAACTCTGACTGATCAAGTCACAGTATGAAGAAAGTTACAGATTCAGAACCAGAACCTCCTACTGCTTCTGTTCCGGTTCTGACGGTTCTGCCCGTCCCGGTTCTGTCCCAGAAGCCTCGTCCTGCATCCAGCTGCAGCTCTGCTGCCGGCTGCCATCTTGTTTCTGGGGAGAAGAGGCTTCCAGGGTCGTGACCTTTGACCTGCTCAAGGTGAAGCTCCGGGGTTTCTGGTTGTTTCTCTGAACCTTCCGGGATAACCTCTGACCCCTCCCAGGCTGAAGGGTCAGAGGTCATCAGTGACTGAGGCCTCTCCAGCGTAGCGTTGTGTGGAAACATCCAGGATGCTGCCGAGCGTTTCCTGTTTCGGTTGTACAAAAATAAATCTGGTTATTCGCCTGGAAAACCTGGAACAGAGGGAAGAGCGCAGACCGACGGCAGCCTGGAAAACCTGGAACAGAGGGAAGAGCGCAGACCGACGGCAGCCTGGAAAACCTGGAACAGAGGGAAGAGCGCAGACCGACGGCAGCCTGGAAAACCTGGAACAGAGGGAAGAGCGCAGACCGACGGCAGCCTGGAAAACCTGGAACAGAGGGAAGAGCGCAGACCGACGGCAGCCTGGAAAACCTGGAATAGAGGGAAGAGCGCAGACCGACGGCAGCCTGGTTCACATGTTATGTAAGAGAATCAGAAACAGGAACTTTACCAGGTGTGCTGATGTTCAGCAGCAGGAAGGTCCTGGTTTGAGTATTAAAGCGACTAATCAGAGGAAAACGAAAACAGCTGAATCATCGATCAAATAAAACTGAATTTATTTTTATTGTGTGGCAGAAAGCTTTGTGTATTTCCTTTAAAGGTCCTCACGCCTCCAGTTGCTGCCCTGATGGTGGCGAGGCGTGTCCCAGTGACGACAGGAAGCAGACAGCGTGCAGCCTGAAGACCCTGACGGTGCAGACGACCTTTGGCCTTTGGTCACAGCGCCCCACTGGAGCCGGGCAGGGAGGTGGACATGTTTCCTCTCTGGAGTTGCCCATGATGAGAGGCAACTCACCATAAGGGGGCGTTCTTGTTGCCCCCCACCTTGGTGGGTGCATTGGGGTTCACCCCGGCCTCCCGGCGCCTCTGGGTGAACCTCATCCGGAACCAAACGGTCCGGTTCTGACTGCTTACGCTCCAAACACCAGTTCAGACTCCCTCCCTCTGCTGGGGAACTTCATCGCTCCCCAGTGAGACCTGGAGGGTTGAGGTTGGGAGGAAGGCGGTTTGGTGGAGTGGGGCGCCCTCTGGCGGCCAAAAGCGGTATGTCAGTTTTAAAACTTCCTCTTATAAAAGGATCCACCGACATTAACTTTACGTTTTATTTGTCTGTGTACATCTGGAGACCTGCCTATGCCCCTCAACAATAAAATAAAAATGGCAGGAACACTTCCTTGGATTATTTTACGTGTAATTTTACCAAACTCAATGCCCCGAATGTCCACTAGAGGTCCCTGTCGGCAAAGCGCGTGGAAACAAAAACCGTGAGCGGCTTCATTAAATTTAACCGTACAGCTTTATTTAACGTAATCAAATGTCAGCTAGATGAATTTCACACATAACATAACAGCTGAGTTTATATTTAAACGTCCAAGGAGAAAACATTTTAAACGTGTTTTAACCTCCAGACTTTCTATAGGACACAAGCGTGTCACGTGACCAGAAATGAACAAGTCGGTCTTTTTCCCAGCAGGTCTTTTAGATCGATTCTGTTCCTTTATCTTTGTTTTCTTCTGTAAAAACGATTTCAGTGACTTTGGAACAACATTTTCCACTGACACTGATTGTTTTCTGAGCCATTAAATGTAAAATGTTCCGAACCGAGAAGAAATTCTCTGTATAACTGCATAAATGCAAAGATTTTGACTGTTCCGAGAAACAAAAAGCTTTTTTCGAAAGAAAAAAAATCTGTTCTTATCAGTTTCTGATACGTCCCCTATCCGGGGACCATATATTAAATTGATTTTTGGAACAGGTTTTGCTCCGTCCACTCCACGCATCGACCTGGTATTGCAGTATCTCCAGGACCGGTGCTCACCCTGATGCTGTTAGATGGAAAACTGGTGGCAGAAACCTGGGAGTCTTCCTAGCGAAATATGGATTCACATTTTAGTACTATGTTCAGTCTGCGTCCGGAGAGCGGAACTACCAGCAGAAGTTAAACTTCTAGTAATTTTCCACCACAGGTTCCTTGTTAAAATATAATTTATTTGGTCCAGTCCAGTTTAGTCTAGTCCAGTCCAGGAGGGTCAGACTTTGTTCTTGCTGTGGCACCTTCCTTCCTGCAGGGGGCGCCAGCTGGTCTTGTCTGTGTTTTACAGTCTGACGCTCTGAGCCAAAACTAAACTAATTCCTGTTTTTTGGTTAAAAGTTTCATTTGGCAGCTTTGAAAAACATCAGCAATAAAAAAGAGGAACCAGGATTAAGCAACCTGAAGGAGCCACTGAAACACAGGAAGTGATTATTAAATTATTGACACGAAGATTTTAACATATTTTAAATCAAAGCTTTGATCCAATTTAGTAAAGAACTGAAACGTAAAATGTGGAAGATGCTGTGAGTATTTCCTGGTTTCAGCTCCGTGGAGACCAAAAACAGAAACTGATCGATCATGATCAGCATCTTCAGCCTCTGTGTTTCTGACCTTTGACCTCTGCAGCCTGAAGCCTCTTGAAAACTCAGCAGGAGGAGAAACGACGGAGTTCTTCTCTAGTTTTATGATTAACAGCCCTCCAAACATGAACCCTGACCCGTTCATCCTGGGGCTGCTGTCAGCCGGTGCAACAGCATGACCTTTGACCTGAGCATGCACTTCAACACAGTCCAGTTTAGGCTGAGGGTGTGAAGTTAAACATCCTGTCAGAAGGAGAAACGAGGGGGAAACACTTCATTAGAGCTCATTGTTCTGCGGCTGGAAGGAACAGCGAGGAGATGTAAGCAGCCTCTTCCTCTTCTCTTCCTCTTCCTCCTCTGAGCGAGAGCCGGTGACCTCAGGCTGACCTCACAGGTTTGGAAGACGGCCATCGAGTTGGAACAGCAAAGGGACATCACTGAGATTAACGACGGCAACCAAGACAGCAGAGACAAACAGGAGACGGGCCGGGATTATCCTGGATTATCCTGGATTATTGCAGACCAGCAGCTCCTGGCCAGCAGCTAGAGCATCCTGAGATAATCCAGAATAATCCAGGATGAACTGGCATAATCTGAGATAATCTTATCAAACAAGAACTTTTCAAAGTCTTAAAGTCAGATTCAGTTTAGATCTGTTGAATAAACAATTATGTAATCATCAGATCAATCGATTCTGATGATTAATCAACATTGATAAAGTCAAATATTGGTAAATTCATCTTAACATCAGTATTAATGGCAGATATTAAAGTTCGGCCCAAAGTTCCCTGGTTTCCTTCAGTGGTTGTTGGTGCAACGCCCCCTCAGGCCAGGAGGGGAACTGCACTGTTCAGTTCTGATCGTTTGCTCGCTGCAGCGAAACGCCGCAGCTAAAGCTGCAGCAAGTTGCGGCTTTAGTCCCAGTAGAACCGAGTGAGGCGGTCAGATCTGGTTTCCACTGGACCGTGTGAACAGTTTCTGCTGCTCTCATGTTCTCCTGCAACCTTCAGCCAGGAGGAAATGCTGGAAGGGAAGCGTCGCGTTTAAAACCCTCCGTCTGGGTGAAAGTGCAGCAAACCAGAGGACCCTGAAGGCAACACGCCTCATCCGGCTGCTTTTCCCTGGATGGAGAACAATCTGATCTGTCCTCACACCAGGAATCAGTTTCAGCAGTTTTCTCTAAGTTTGTTCCAGACTAAAGAATCAGCTTTCAGATTTATTTGGTTCTGATTCTCTGAGGCTTTTTAAAATAATGTTTCAGATCAGCTCTGGTTCGACCTGCAACTGCAGGCTGACAGGATTCGTCCAGGTTTAAGGTTTTATTGGCCTTTCTTTGATACTGAATTGACAGCAGGGCGAAGACATGGGGCAAAGGTCAGCAGGCCAGGAATCGAACCTGCGACAGCCTCCACAGCTGAACCGCTGCTCCACCAGAGCAGAGGTTGGATCAGCAGGATGAACTTCCTGCTGCTCATTTCTTGGTTTCATGGCTGAATTTGTGGCGCAGCATCGACTGGATCTAAATGTTCTGAGGCAGGAAGTCGGCGAATCCAAGTTGCAGTTCAGATTTCAGGCGCTGGAGGATCCAACCTGTGAGACAAAGCTGCGCTGGCGTTTCCACGGCGCTTTGACGCCGTTTCCTCCATGCTGCTTTCAGCTTGGACGATAAAATCCCTCATGTGGATCCGGCAGAACCGTCTCACGACCCGGACCTCAGAACCGTCTCACGGCCCGGACCTCAGAACCTCAGAACCTCAGAACCATGTCAGACAGGAAGCAGCAGCGAAGCAGCATTTATTTATATTAACATTAATATCATTTCTCAAGTTAGAAAAATTTAACATTATGAAGACAATATTACATAAAACGTTTTTCTAACATAAATGAGATGATTTTACCTGAAAACACAATAATTACTGGATAATTACTGGCCACATGGAGGCGCCCTGGAGCAACAGAGCCTTAAAGCAACAGAAAACTTTCTGAACTCGTTCACACAAAAAGCAGAAATTCTTTGGATCCTTTTTTTAAAACCTCTGGTTTGGAGATTTGTGACAGAACTAGAACCAGAACCAGAATAGACCCAGTTAAATTTTATAAATAAGAGCTGATTATACTATAATCTACAACCAGAAAAATGATTTTCTTCTTTCTTTGGCTTCATTCCCACAGCGGCGGCCATCTGACAGGTGAGTCCAGGTGAGTCCAGGTGAGTCCAGCCGTCACTGAATAATCCTGGAGTTCTTGGTCTGGAATCAGCATTGCTAACACAGCTGCTCCTGTTCATCAGTAGACACTCGGCGCCCCTGCAGGCCTGGAGGTCGATGAGGCTTTTATTTAATTTCCCTTTGGAATCATTAAAGTATCTTTGATTGAATTTTCCTGTTTTCTGTTGACCTTCAGTTCCGTTTGCTTTGGTTTCTCCTCTCAGTTGAGATGTTCTTCTGAACTGTTCTGTCTGCTTACACGCTGCAGCTCACGTAGCCATGTTTATGTGTGCCTGGTGGCAGCCTGAAGCTGATCGGACCGCAGGCCTCCAGTCTTTGCCTCACCCGGTTCCGTCCAGAATGTAACTCTGGTTCTGATCCGTTTCTATGACAAGTTTGGCTTCTAACATTCGATCTTCTTTCGCCATGAAAGCCTGTTTTTACATCTCATTATTTCTCAAGGTGATTTTCCCTGAGGGGTTCTGGTCGGGTTCTGGAGCTGGTAAATGGACCTGGTGCAGCTCAGAGACAGAATGAATGAACTCCAACAGAACCAAACCTATTCTGGAGTCCAAAGTGAAGCTCAGTCTGAACTGGGTCAGAACAGAACCGCGATCCAAACACAGCTGAAGAAGAAGAGAATCAAAGTGCTGCAGTGGCCTAGTCAAAGTCCAGGCCTTCACCTGATGAAAATGTTGTGAGACCTTCAGAGAGCTGAGCAGAACCGCGATGAACCGAAGCAAAGATTTGGACCACAATGCAACTGGTGAACACAAACTGGGAGAAACCCTGAGGTTGGTACCAGGTTCTGTTGGTATCAACAGAACCTGGTACCAATCGGATCATTTCTGAACAGTTAGGAGCTGTTTGGTTGTCCATGACTGAACCAGGCCAGAACCGTTTTCTTCGCATCAGCATGTGGTTCTGGTTCTGGTCAAATCAGCTGATTCCAGACTTTTGGTTTCCACAGGAAGCGGTTCTGCTTTGCTGAGTCCAAACAGGAAGCAGAACAGAACCATCTTCAACATTTCTCTAAAACAATCATCTGAAACCAAAAGAGCTGAGGTTTCTACGAGGACCCGGCTCCAGTTTAGCTTCCAGAACCTCTGATCGGGTCGCGGTTCCTGCGGGTCGGAGGTCAGGCCGACATGGGTTCGTACGTGTGGAAGTGGATTCCCTTGGCGCAGGTGATCTTCATCACGGCGCCGTTCAGGCTCGGGTCCGAAATGAGCCTCATCATCCCTTCAGCAATGAGCGACGGCCTGGAAACAGAGACACAACGTCAGGAGAACCGCCGGATCCGGACCCGGATCCAGTCTGAAACGGGCCGGCGCCTCCAGCGCTAGGAGGTTCTCTGGGTTCATCAGAACCAGAACCTCCCTTCGACCTGCTGCCACTGAGCCGGCTCTGCTCTGGTGGCACCAACAGGCCCGACTGCAGCCGGTTTGGGTTGAACACGGACAGGATGGTTCTGATGGTCCGACCCAGAACCAGAACTGAAGCTGCAGGTTTTTATCCTGGATGTGAAACTGCTGCACTGACACAGCGGCTCCGGCGCCAACCCAACTGGAACCGGGTTCACTCATGGAACCGAGCCGGGTCACCTGAACCCCTCAGAATCTCCAGGCTGACTGGACCCGTCTCTGGACTTTATTTAGGGGCATCGTGGGTGAACAAAACCCCTCCAGGTGGGGAATCAGGTGAGTAAACGAAGCCCTGGGCCTGCAGGCTGAATGCTGCCAGGTTGCCAAGTGTAAAGTTTGGTGGAGGAGGGATCATGCTGTGGGCTGAGGTTCCAGTTTGGATCTGGACCCGTTATGGATCAGGTCCAGAAAGACCCGATGGGCAGCTTGGCTCAGAGTCCTGACCTCAACCCGCCGCAAAGCCTTTGGAATGAATCACAGCAGAGACTGAGAGCCAGGCCTTCTCGTCCCACATCAGTGTGTGACCTCACAAATGTGGAAGAACGGTCAGGAATCCCCAGAAACAGCCGCAGACCAGAGGAACCGACTGCAGCCAATGATGATGAGTTCTGAAGCTCCAGTACATAATCTGGATTCATTCACATTTATCTGATGCCGGGTTCTGGACTCAGGACGGAACCCGGCTCGGCTGGACTTACTGTAGAACCCCAAACTTGTTCATGCTGTGCTTGAAGTCGTCCTTGAACTTGACGAACTTCCCCATGTTGTCCTCGTCCTCCACGGTGTGCAGCAGCGGCGTGTCGACGAAGGCGGGACACAGGACGTTGATGCGGACGCCGTAGTCGTCCTGAGCGGCGGCGTCCTGCGGAGGCACAGACACACAGCTGCTGACCTGAAACCTGCTGGCAGACGGCCGACTCACGCCGCGCTCCGCTCACCGCCATCGCTCGGGAGAAGCCGATCACTCCGTGTTTGGTGGCCGTGTAGACGGGCTGATGGGGGGAGTGGAGGAATGCTGGAGGAGAAAAACCAGAGATTCAGCCGGAGCCTTCAGGCCGCATCACCTGCACAGGCGACACACTTCTAGATCAGGTCACCAAGACTCTGACCCATAAAGGCGGATCTATTCGGTGTAGCTCCATGTTTGAGTGGTGTCATGCTTTATTTTAGGTTATATTTAGAATTATTAACTTCATTTTCTGAACCATCTGAAATCTTTGCTTCTGTTTATTTTTACGTTTGGCCAGATGCTGTGGTTTCAGCAGGAGAGGATGGAAACCGGGGGTTATCTGGAAAGATAATCAGCTGTTTGATTCAGTTGAGCTTCTTTCTCCTGAATGGATTCAATTGACTAGCGGTTGTTGTCTTTAAGCGCCTACTGCTGCAGTTATCAAATAAATATGTAATTCAGTCCATCTGCCTGTTTTAAAAAATAAACGTTCTAAGTCAATGTTTATCTGTTCAGAATTGGCCGATAATAAACCTGAGATATTGATATCGTATCAGAAGCGAAAAAGTAGATCAGTTCTTCCTGCAGCATTATGCTATACGTCACACCGGAATAGCGCTTTAGCATTATGCTACACGTCCACATTGGGATAGCGCTTTAGCATTATGCTACACGTCACATTGGGATAGCGCTTTAGCATTATGCTACACGTCACATTGGGATAGCGCTTTAGCATTATGCTACACGTCACATTGGGATAGCGCTTTAGCATTATGCTACACGTCACATTGGGATAGCGCTTTAGCATTATGCTACACGTCACATTGGGATAACGATTTAGCATTATGCTACACGTCACATTGGGATAGCGCTTTAGCATTATGCTACACGTCACATGGGATAGCGCTTTAGCATTATGCTACACGTCACATTGGGATAGCGCTTTAGCATTATGCTACACGTCACATTGGGATAGCGCTTTAGCATTATGCTACACGTCACATTGGGATAGCGCTTTAGCATTATGCTACACGTCACATTGGGATAGCGCTTTAGCATTATGCTACACGTCACATTGGGATAACGATTTAGCATTATGCTACACGTCACATTGGGATAGCGCTTTAGCATTATGCTACACGTCACATTGGGATAGCGCTTTAGCATTATGCTACACGTCACATTGGGATAGCGCGTTAGCCTTATGCTACACGTCACACCAGGATAGCGCTTTAGCATTATGCTACACGTCACACCTGGATAGCGCTTTAGCATTATGCTACACGTCACATTGGGATAGCGCTTAACATTATGCTACACGTCACATTGGGATAGCGCTTTAGCATTATGCTACACGTCACATTGGGATAGCGCTTTAGCATTATGCTACACATCACATTGGGATAGCGCTTTAGCATTATGCTACACGTCACATTGGGATAGCGCTTTAGCATTATGCTACACGTCACACCAGGATAGCGCTTTAGCATTATGCTACACGTCACACCAGGATAGCGCTTTAGCATTATGCTACACGTCACATTGGGATAGCGCTTTAGCATTATGCTACACGTCACATTGGGATAGCGCTTTAGCATTATGCTACACGTCACATTGGGATAGCGCTTTAGCCTTATGCTACACGTCACACCAGGATAGCGCTTTAGCCTTATGCTACACGTCACACCAGGATAGCGCTTTAGCCTTATGCTACACGTCACACCAGGATAGCGCTTTAGCATTATGCTACACGTCACGTGGAGATAGCGTTTTAGCATTATGCTACACGTCACGTGGAGATAGCGCTTTAGCCTCAGCTGAACACATTTTTATGAACGTTGCTTTAGCGTTAGCGCATCTCAGAACTGCCTCGGCTTCCTTGGGATCATCTCCAGCTGACGGCTGCAGCTCAGCACAGAAATCTGTTTTCAGTGAAACATCTCTGTGACTATTTCCACCCGGACACATCCACCCAGCCTCCAGCAGCTGTTTGTGTGTGCTGATAAGATCCTCTGTTGTTTCTGATTATCGTGGCCGGATCAAAAGCTCATGAATGTCAGCAGGCGGGTTGCAGCAAGCCGCCGCCGCCGTAGGAAGGCAGCAGCAAATCTGGCCTTTAAGCTTTCAGGAATATGTTGAGTCGCTCTCAGTCCTTCAGGAGAATGTCGCTGCTCACCTCTTGGACCAGACGGAAAGTAAAACCTCAAATCAGCACCATTTTTCTTTAGTTTACAACCTCTGACTGTGAACCTGGCAGATCAGAGTTCAGGTGAACTGAGGGAAGACTGGAAAAATCAGGAGCCTCATCCACTCGGGTCCAATGACGGACATCTCTGTAAACATGAATTCCTTCCCTAAAGCTCTGAGCTTCCAGGTATTTGTCCAGGTTTGGACTCGTCCGTGTTCGTCACAGGAATGTTCCTGAAGTTTCCAGGTTGTGAGGGTCAGGATACGGATCTGAACCAGGCTGGAAAGAACCTGAAACCATGAAAAGCGATGAGTTCAGGTTCATCCAGGATGTTTTTCACCTGATGGTTAACTCAGACTGGAACTACCTGGAAAAACCCCTGATGCTCCAGAAAACCTGGAAACATCCTACTGCCGGTTTCCATCCTCTCCTGCTGAAACCACAGCATCAGGGGAAATTCTGGGACACAGACACGCTCACGTGGGTTAAAGGTCACAGAGGTTCCTACAGACGGAGGAGTGGGTCGCTCTGGTTCTGCTTTCTTTTCCTTCAGCTGCAGGTTTTCTGATCAGGAAATATGTGTGACCACGTGGTAAACTGAGGCTATTGTAATTTGCTCCTATATGTTGAGGTTGATAGAAATCTTACAAAGTTCAAGACAGGACACAAATATATTAAAAGTAAACGTTTATTTACTAATGCCTAATATTGGTGATCTTTGTGGATTTTATATTTTGGTTCTGAAATAAACACACTGGTATTTTCTTTACTTTAATACCAAATAAGATAAAGGGTTAATGTAATTATTAAGTAATTAGCTTACTTAGTAATTAAAATGATATTATTTAGAAATCGACTAAGCGCATCATCTTATGTAAAGAAGTCGCGTGACGTAAGATGCGCCGTGTATTTTATTTGACTTTGCCATTTGATTGGTCATTGAGACAGTGCGTTCGGTGCGTGACTCGTGATTGGTTGAGAGAAGAGGAGGCGGGAGGAAGAAGGAGAGGAGAACCGTGATGGTGGAGACCGGAGCTGAGGCGACCGGACAAGAAGTGAGGAAATACAGACTCCAGGGAGAGAAAACCGGACAAAACACGGGAGAGGACGGGTCGGGAGAAGTTGGAGGAGCTTGGTCGACGCGAGATCGACGAGAGGAGACAGACGGAAGGAGACGAGCTTTGAGCTAAGCTAAGTGAGCTAGCCGCTTCAGCCCCTCGGTTCTGCTGCGTTCAATGGCCGTCGGGAGGAAAGAACCACGGAATTTAAACGCTCTCCATGTTTTTGGATTTCATTCCTCGCTGTTTCCTTCAGGCCTGCCGGAGGTCGTGAGTAACAAACTGACTGTGTTACTATATATTGATATAACTGGACATTTCTCGTTGTGCCCTGGTTTGGGGAAAAGGTGCCATTAATATTTAATTTTTTCTGCCTTATTTTCTATCAATCTTAAGAGTCTTTCAACTATAAAGTTACAGTGGTGACTAAATGATAGTTTTTCTGTCACTTTAATTTTTACAGTTAGGTGAATCATGTTGCCTAAAATTAAAATGTTTCTCTATTTGTCATAAACTGGGTCATTGGGAAACCCAAGCGTCCTCCATTTCAGTTCTCTGCATAAAATGGGTAAAGGTGTCACATCCGTCTGAATATCATCTGCAAAGACAAACTGTCCCTCTGAAGTAAAAGCCGGTTCTGGTCGAGTTCAGAGTTTTGATGCCCATCATGTCTAAAATCGCGTTTTTGTGTTAAAATGTCCAAAGTTGACAGGAATTATGACCTGGTAGTTCTGTTATTGAAATACATTTTCCACAACACAACTCCTGCTGTGATTAAAAAAAAAACTCTGGAAAGAAACATGATTCCTCACAGGATGTTGATGTAAATATTCATTCAGGTTTGAGTGAAAGGAGGCGGCGATCCAGCTGCTGTGATTGGTCCTTATGCTTCAAATGCATGAACTATAAACCTGTCTTCTATCAGCATATATCTAGGAATAAATCTGATCCGACAGTGAAATGTTCAGAGCGTCTAGGATTTTATGGTTTTAATGCTGTGGGGATGCGAGTGCCTCCTACAGCCAAGGCTGAGAGCGTGATGAGAACCGCAAACCTCACACACAGATTATTCTGCATTCAGGAAGTAGATGCACTCAGTGACTCTTCTGTACCTGAAGTTCAGGATTCTGAACCATTACTTCCAGTAAACCGGCTCTGCTGGAACCTTCCAGAGGAACCGGTTTGAGTGAGAGGCGCCGCTGAGGAGTTCAACTGTGAAGCGTTTCTGATAAACGGCGCAGCCTGGTGGGGGCCGTGGAGCCTGGCAGCCTGCCAGGCTTATGATACACTGGAGGAAAGTCTGACATTTCCAGACAGTTTGAGTTTAGATGAGCTGCTGCAGGAAACATCACTGGTTTCATCGCCTCAGGATCAAAAACTCTCCTTAGTGGGAAACTGTAGCCGGTGGGAGCCCCGAACCCGACCCGTTCTGCACCAACTCCTCTGTTTGGTTCGTGTTCAGACATGAAGACGACTTGATGTTGAAATTAATCAGGTTCAATGTTAGAGGAGGACGTCAGTCAAACCATCTGGATTCAAATTTGGAAGAATTTTTTATCAAATCGTGTTTCTGTTTCCAAGGATGAAAGTGAAAACTCCAGATTTTGTCCTGAATTGCATGTTTTCTCTTGACGAGTGAGTTTTAAAGAGCAGCTCTTATGGGTCGAATCCGACCCTTCCTGCTGCGCTGAAGAGGAGTGAACACCAGTGGGGTCAGAGGTCACAGCGATCTGAACTGCAGCAGAACGTCGACCACACAGGAAGTTTTTGTTTTTTCCCCTCCAGGGGCTTTTGCAGGCTCCAGTGTCCCTTATATGACAGAGAGGGCCGGGAGTCGAACCCGCCGCAGTGCGCGACCACACAGGAAGTTATCAGATAACACAGATTAGGACATTTCCTGTCCTGAGGCCCAGTGGCGATGAGGAGGAAGATTTCAGCTTCATCATGTCTGCCTGAGCAGCAGCAGGCGTTTATCTCTGCAGTCGGCCTGCTGACCTTTGACCCTTTTTTCACAGACTGATCAGGTTAAAGATCCCTGCTGTTAGTTTCAGGCCCATTTTCTTTCCCACAATGCACTGGGTCAGCTCTCAGGCCCCAGCAATCTCCATTCAAGAAAAACTTTATTTACACCCAGAGACAATTACAACGGCGCAGAGAGCAAAACAAATCGCCCCTGTGACAGACCTTGGGCCCCTCTGGGGGTCCGTAGGGGCCCGGGATTCGCTGGAGGGGCCCCGGTATCTGTGGCTCCCTCACCGTACCAGCATTACCTGCCATGGAGGACGTTGATGATGGTTCCTCCTTCCTTGCCGAACTCTTTGCTCATGTGCTCCAGGGCCAAGTAGGTTCCCTTTATCACTGAGGTCTGCAGATAAAGCAGAGAAGAAGAAGAAGCAGTTAAAGTCGGCGCTATTGGGACAGGAAGTCATGAAAGGCGACACTTCTGATAAGAGGCGATACCAGAGGCTGCGGTTTCCTCAGGAAGCCGTCAGCAACGACAAAAGCAACATCGAGCTGCTGATATGATCGGCAACCAGAACACAAGGCGGAAACTTATTGAAAACACAACTGAAACAAGTCAGACATTCATGCTCAGATGACCTCTGACCTTGGGTCAACATTCTGGAATCAGGATCCAAAGAAAAGAAAACCAGGTCAGAGGTCAGGCCTCCATTTCCACACTTCTCAGTTTTTTCAGAACATTGTGATGATCCTCCAGACTTCTGGAAAATAATCTGGGAAAAGCTGAACGTTTAGAAAGTGAGCGACGGCCTGGAAGGAACAAAACCAGCAGGGAAGCACGGTGGTGGCAGCATGAGGACCAGGGATGTTCCACTTCCTGGGAGTCATTCTGCTGAAGGAGAATGAGCGACCTCCAGAACCAGGAAGTGATCCAAAACAGACCCCACCTCTTCAAAACAGCATGGAGGCTTTGCAGTGGCCTAGTCAAAGTGGATGCTGTGACATGACCTTAAGAAGGCCAACAGAGCTGGAACGAGGATCAGGACCAGTGGAGCCAGAAGCCTTCAGAATGAGCTCTGAGGTTTCCAGTGAAATCCTTTCAGATGAGGTTCTGATCGGCTCGGTGCAGGAAGAGGAAACACTTTATTGAAACAGGAAGTGATGAAATGGATTATTTCATTTATCGCTTCTTCACTGAAGCCCAGAACAGGAGGACTTCCTCTACAGAAAACCGAAGAGCAGGCCGGGTCCTGGTTCTGATCCCAGAGGTTCATCCAGGTTCTGGGTTTATGAGTCTGACGGTCCAAATGATTCTCTCTGAACTCCACACACAGAAAGTCCGACAGAACATCTTTGGGTTGTTTTGGACCAGGAGGTTCTCAGCCAACCAGTCTGAGCGAGACGCTGTCAGAATCTCCCAAAAATTGATCAGAACCAAAAGGTTCTGAAAGCACCAAGGTGTCAAAGTCCAGTCCTGGAGGGCCGGTGCCTCTGCTGCCCCACCTGGACAGAACGATTAGGTCATTAAGGACCCAGGTCCATGTCCTGGTCCAGTTCCTGGTCCTGGTTCTGGTCCAGGTAATGAGCCTGAGGCTCATCTAAAAGCTGCAGGACTTCGGCCCTCCAGGACTGCAGTAAGAGGTCCGACCCGGTTCTAGTGATGATGAAATGAACTGAAGAAAGAGTTCAGAACCAGCCAGAACATCCAGTTCAGACTTTTCATTCTGACAGTTTTATGTTTCCTTTTTGTTCAGTCGGTTCTGTTTTTCTGGTTCTGTTCAGCTCCGGTTCGACCCAACCGGCTGTATTTTTACGTCTCTTTTCATATCTGTGTTTTTTATGAGTGAAGGCTCGTGGCTGATGGTCCTGCCTACTTCCTGCTGGCTGTTGGGTCCTAAATGTCCCTAAACGTGGCTGTAGAGCTGCGATGTGTGGAAACATCCTGATGCCTTTAGCTGTGACTGGATCAGCTCTTATTTCCAGACATGTTGACAAAATCCCATTTTATGCAGATGATGTGATGTTTCTAAATGTTTGTTCTGGTTTTCCTTTAAACGTTTAAACTGATTCTAATTCGGCTGCTGTAAGATCGTTCTGGTGTTGGTAGGTTGTGATCCGGGTCGCCTGCCGGTTCTTACCAGGTTGACCTGGATAGTTTTCTCCCAGTTCTTCTCGTTGTTGATGCCGGCGTTGTTGATGACGATGTCCAGGCGTCCAAACTGGTCCACCGTTCTCTGGAAGGCGTCTGTCCAGGGAGACAGAGACGATGAGGGCATGAGGGGCACGGGGGGCAATGTTTGCCACTCTGGGCTGGAAGCTGTTTTATTTTATTTATTTTGTTTGAATTGTTTGGTTTGGTTAGTTTTTAGCTGCAGTGAGTTACAGTCATGGCAGCAAACCAACAACAATCCAAACGGGTTGGACTAACGCTGCTGGACGCAGCTAATGTTTGCTAAATGATGCTAATGCTAATGTAACATTTAGGCTTCTCTTGTGATCCTGACTGGAGAAACTGTTTGTTTTTGTACGTTTTACTTTTGTTCTCTAGGCTCCAGCAGCAGCTGGATCTAAACTGGGTGAATTAAGTAATGCTAAAAATCTTATCTGAAGACCTGATTATGATTTATGGTTTTACTTGTAAAATCTGATGTTCGGAGGTCAAAGGTCAGACCTGAAACTTCCAGGGTGAAAGTGAATTTGTCTCACTGTTGGGGCCAGAAACCAGTGGATGTTTTCTCCCTCTCAGCCTTAATTAATGCATAATAAACAGTTATTAATAACTGATCAACTGTTTACAGATGAACTCCTGGTCATCTGTAAAGCGGTTCTGCTTCCTGGACCGAACGGGCCTCCACAGAACGCGCTGCGGATCCCACCAGGAGGAGTTTTCAGGCGGCGCCGGGACACACGGCGCCGGAGGGGGAACAGATAACGACAGGATGTTTGGCAGCGAGGGGTTGATTATCTGCTCTGTGTAAACAGCCCCAGGGGCAAACCTGAGGTGGGAAAACTGGCAAGTAGCAACATTTGCAGCATTCCACTGTGAGACAGCAGCCGGTTCCCGGGTCGGGTCCGATCCGCAGGAACCTCTGCAGACGGATCCGGCCGGAGCAAACGGCACAGTGTCTGACCCTCGGGGCTTACCGTATGACAGCATGAATAATCAGGATGAAAAACTGATGACGGTTATTCATCCTGTCATCAACATGAAGTTCAGTTTTCAGTCATAGTTTCATTTCTAAATATTACGGCTAAGCGCTAAGCTAACACAGATCAATATTCAGCTGGTTAACTAAATAATTTTAGTTTTAAATATGACTTAAAGGTTAACCTCCATTTTTTCTCTGCTAACACCTGCACCACTGAAGCGTTTCAGTTCAGCCAAATTTAGTGTAGAAATCCAGAAATGACTCAGTGCCGCATCACTTCCTGTTTCCTGTAGAGGAAGTGCAGCTTCATCATATTTGCTCCTCTTCCTCACCTCTCAGAGCGTCGCCTTCTGTGACATCACACTGGATGAACGCGCTCCGTTCCTCCCCGAAGTCGGCGTCCAGCTGGGCCTGGAGCTGCTCCCCCACCGTCTTGTTCAGGTCCACAACGGCCACCTGCAGGACCAGGACCCAAAAGCTGGGTTCGCATCTGATTTAGGATTTTCCCATAACAGAGAATTTTCTCTCTCTTACATCAACACAGCCATCTTTAAATGCTTTAAAATAATGATATCTTTTTAGCTACATAAAGCACCTAAGTCTGTTTGATCGAAAGGAAGTGACAGTTGGCTGAAGCAAAAGCATTGCTGTAATTTTCACCAAATACTTTTCAGTTGATTCATTCTTAATGTTTATTTTACTTGAGTAAAAACATGCTGACATTGTGAACTTTACCTGTATTTTATTTTATATAAATAAATCAGATTTAAACGTTGCTGTGTTTCCATTACAAATCTTTGTTCATATGTTGCTAATGCAATTATGGTGTTTCCATTAAATATGAAATGAGATTAAAAATCATGGCAGCTGCTGATGAGGCTGTAAGATGAGATTGTTCATAATTCAGCCAATCAGAGGAGACATTGGGGCGACAAGCCCCGCCTCCTTGTTTTGGAGAAATTGTGGTCATTTTACAGAAGAGTTTATGAACTGCAGCTGCCACAGTTCCAGAAAAACAACTAAATACTCCTCCTACTTCCTGTCGTCTTCTTTGTGGTTTTCACCAGTAGCAGCTTCCGGTTGTTGATCAGTGATTTAAATGAGGCGGGAGAAGTGTTTAACCAAATACATCCGGTTTGATTCCTCTTGGCGCAAAAACACATTTTTTAAATAACATTTTTAAACTTTTTTCGAAATTGATGTTTCCTTTCAGCAATTACTATTATCATTACCGGAACGGGTCCAGCGGGACCGCGGGACCGGGTCCAGCGGGACCGGGTCCAGCGGGACCGCGGGACCGGGTCCAGCGGGACCGCGGGACCGGGTCCAGCGGGACCGCGGGACCGGGTCTGAGACGGAGGGGATCGGAGCATCAGCAGAGCAAGAAGCCGGTTCGGTTTTATCAAACTTGTGGTTTCACAAGTTCTGCTGGTGATCCGGTTCTGATCTTGTTTCTCTGCATGTGTGAAGGAAACTTTGCAGAAACATGCAGACTTCTCTAAAAGCTGCGCTGCGCGTCATTTACCAGAACCAGAACCAGTTCGGCAGAAAGTTCGACCAGAAGCTTTGAAAGCAGGAAAAAGTTAGATGTGAGCAGAAAGCAGCTGCAGACCGAGCAGAACGTGAAGGCTCCCGAGTCGGAACCGAACCTTGGAGCAAACCCAACCTTTGCCGAGCTCTTCAGCAGAGACTGGACCACTGCCCTCCCGATGCCCTGAGCTCCTCCGGTCACCAGAGCCACTTTCCCGGACAGAGGCATGATCGACACCGGCGACGCGCTGCGGGTCTGAGCGCTGCTGCGTTCCTCTCCTCCTCTTCCTCCTTCTGTTTCTCCTCCTCCTCTTCCTCCTTCTGTTTCTCTTCCTCCTCTTCCTCCTCCTGCTGTTTCTCCTCCTTTTCTTCTTGTCAAATTAATGGTAGAAAAATGACCCTTTCACCACAGCATCAGATTCTTCATAATTGAAATAATTTCTCGGTGAGCTAAAAGTAAAACACTGAAAGCATCAACATCTGACTGAATCAAACTGAAACACCAAACATGGGGGGTCCAAGGTCTGGCCCAGGGGCCATTTGTGGACCCTGAAGTGATTTTGTGTGGCCACAGGTCCAATTCAAGATGAGACAAATTGACTCCACCAGATTTTGGACTTTTCTTTTTAAACAGAAAAATGATTACAGACCATTTAAAGTAGCAACAGAGATCAGAATCCAGGTGCTTTGATGCATTCAGATCTACTTTTAATATCGTTATTAAACATAGCTATATACTTTCAAACAAAATGACCTACATCTACTTTTTACTGCTTAAAATGAATAAAATAAATTATTTTCAGAAGTGAAATGTAAACATTGACAAAGTGGACCCTCTTGTCTTAATGAGGATCTACGATAATTTACACTTTCTTTCCAAAGAAAATGGACTATTTTAGTCTTTTTATTAAAATATTGCAACCTAGTTTATTATGAAGTTAAAAAAGGCAAAATTTTGTGTCTTTTTGTTTGTTTTTATTGGACTTTTTCTCCCACTTCATGTTTTTTTGCAAATCTTTTTGAATCGATGATTTTGGTCAACCTGGCCTAGAAGTTCAATCAAGAACAACCAACAGTCTAAACTATATTAAAACTATAGACATAAAGCAGCAGAGGATTTCCTAAAGTAAAACACCGGAACAGAAAGAATAATCGCAGCTCATATTATTTAATCTAGAAGATAAACATGGTGACCTTTGACCTAGAAAACATCAACATTTTAACAGCAGCAGAAACTCGTCCCTCCATTTTCTTACACCTGGTCCCTGGTGGAGCTGCTGGGCGACCCGACCAGGTGACCCAACCAGGTGACCCATTCGGTGACCCGTCCAGGTGACCCATCCAGGTGACCCGTCCAGGGCGACCTGTCCAGGTGACCCGTCCAGGTGACCCATCCAGGTGACCCGACCAGGTGACCCGTCCAGGTGACCCATCCAGGTGACCCGACCAGGTGACCCGTCCAGGTGACCCGTCCAGGGCGACCTGTCCAGGTGACCCGTCCAGGTGACCCATCCAGGTGACCCGACCAGGTGACCCATCCAGGTGACCCAACCAGGTGACCCGTCCAGGTGACCCGTCCAGGTGACCCATACAGGTGACCCGTCCAGGTGACCCAACCAGGTGACCCGTCCAGGTGACCTGTCCAGGGTGACCCTGGGGATCACCTGGACGGGTCGCCGGTCCATCGCAGGGCGACAGAGTCAGAGGGACAAACAATCACGAGTTTAAAGAAACTGATCAACCTGTTTGTGAACTGGGAGGAACCCAGAGAACCCAGCATGCACCGGGCCAGGAATCAAACCCACAACCTTCTAGCACCACAGTTCAGACTGCACCACTGTGCATACAAAAGCATATTGCAGGAAAAAGAACTTAAATATAACATTTTTAATCAAAAGAGGGAAAAGTGGTGGAAAATCTTTATTATCATGTAAAATGAGAAACAGGATTAAATAATTCAGGATACATTCAATAGTCACACTAGCAATGAAAACAGGCTGATGTAAAAAAGGTTGCTTATTTTCATAGATTTTGCCGAATCACTGCCTCACATCAGGCAGAGCGGAGAGCCCCTATGGACCACCTGCCACCTCTGCATGCACGCACACACACACACACACACACACACACAGACACACACACACACACACACACACACACACGACATGTGTGTCGTGTGTGTGTGTGTGTGTGTGTCCCTGTCAGAGGAAGGTTAACTAAACTGTGCAAGATAATAATTACAGGTTGAATCCAGCAGCTCCTCTTCAGTCCTGTTGCTCAACCTGCAGCCCGGAGCGGCAGGTCTCTGCCTGCTCATGACGTCACGTCGGCCTGGAATTATCCTGGATTTACAGGGACAATAATTATTTACACCTCAAACCTTTGACTGTCTGAGACGGCAACGCCGCGCAGATAATCCACCAGAACGGAAACGCAGGATCCATCGGGCCTGGACCGGGCCTGGATCCTTCCTGGACTGTACCTGGACCGCTGCAGGTTGGCTTCTTTTGTTTGGCACTTAATAAAAATTATGAAAAAAATGATTTTTTTCTCAATTTCAAGAAATATTCTTGTTCTATTTAGAAAACTTAAAGTAAAAATGATAATATTGTTCTCTCTAGTTAAAACATTTGTATAATACAATTGTTGTGGTTCCCCTCCACACCAGTTGGTGGCGGTAGTGTATCAATTCCAATGTTTGCCAACCGACAAACGTTAATGAAGAGGCCAGCACAGACGCAGCACTGAGACAGCGACCCGAGGCTGAATCATCGTTCATATTTCACAAAGCGGAGCAGTTTGCAATTTGCTGCTGGCCTTTGGTTGCTTTGGGATTCGTTCAGGGGAATCGGAGTAGATGAAAAAACATGCCACACTTTTCAGATTTTTATTTCTAAAAACCCAAGTTTGTGAGTAGCAGTGCGGTTCTGGTCCGACCGGTAAAACCACAACAGTTTGAATTTTTAAACAACAAACCAGAAAAAGAAAAGTTTGTTTACCAACACGGATTCGGATCAGAACCAGCCGTCTGCTCCTCCAGATGTTCTGCAACCAGAACTGAAGATCACTAAAAGTACTCCAACTTTAACTGAGAAGAAAAAATCACAAACGGAAAATATTTTATTTTACAAAGTCAGGAATTTGAAGCAATTTTTAGTTTTACAATTTTATCTTTTATCTCGGACAAAAATAAATATGAAATAATTAAAGTGCGTTGAAACATTCCTTATGAATCGATACCATATAAATAAACTGATTTCAATTGAATTCAATAAATAAATTGAATAAAAAGTGATTCAATGTTTTTGTATTTTCAGGTTAAAAAGTCATAAATCATTTAAACTTTAATAACAAAAAATGTTTCCATCATTTGCAAAACGATAAAAAATAAATGAAGGTTTAAGATGGCAGGGTAAACCCTTTGAGGACGGGTTCTGGGTTCTGGTTCTGGTTCTGGAGTGAGCGCCTCCTTCAGGCTGAGCTTTGACACAAAGGAGAGAAACAAACAGAAACGTGCAAAAGTTTTGGGACGGAACGGAACCGGTGAGGACAGAGGAGAAAGAAACGGGACCAGAACCCATGAAGCAGATCTGGAGGTTCTGGAGGTCTATCACAGATCTGGACCGGACCGGGGAGACGCTGAGTACGTCTCGGACTCCATCTTGGCTCGTCTTCAAAACATCCTCTGGATCTTCTGCGTCACTTCCTGAGTTTGGATGTTAAAAGTCGAACGATGAAAAAAAGTTAAAATAAACAAACAGAAGGACATGACGTCTTCTGAAGATCCACCGTCCTCTGAGGACATGACGTCTTCTGAAGACACGCCGTCCTCTGAGGACATGACGTCTTCTGAAGACACGCCGTCCTCTGAGGACATGACGTCTTCTGAAGACACGACCCGCCGTCCTCTGAGGACATGACGTCTTCTGAAGACACGACCCGCTGTCCTCTGAGGACATGACGTCTTCTGAAGACACGCCGTCCTCTGAGGACATGACGTCTTCTGAAGACACGACCCGCCGTCCTCTGAGGACATGACGTCTTCTGAAGACACGCCGTCCTCTGAGGACATGACGTCTTCTGAAGATCCACCGTCCTCTGAGGACATGACGTCTTCTGAAGACATGCCGTCCTCTGAGGACATGACGTCTTCTGAAGACCCACCGTCCTCTGAGGACATGACGTCTTCTGAAGACACGCCGTCCTCCGAGGACATGACGTCTTCTGAAGATCCACCGTCCTCTGAGGACATGACGTCTTCTGAAGACACGCCGTCCTCTGAGGACATGACGTCTTCTGAAGACACGACCCGCCGTCCTCTGAGGACATGACGTCTTCTGAAGACACGCCGTCCTCTGAGGACATGACGTCTTCTGAAGATCCACCGTCCTCTGAGGACATGACGTCTTCTGAAGACATGCCGTCCTCTGAGGACATGACGTCTTCTGAAGACCCACCGTCCTCTGAGGACATGACGTCTTCTGAAGACACGCCGTCCTCCGAGGACATGACGTCTTCTGAAGACACGCCGTCCTCTGAGGACATGACGTCTTCTGAAGATCCACCGTCCTCTGAGGACATGACGTCTTCTGAAGACATGCCGTCCTCTGAGGACATGACGTCTTCTGAAGACCCACCGTCCTCTGAGGACATGACGTCTTCTGAAGACACGCCGTCCTCCGAGGACATGACGTCTTCTGAAGACACGCCGTCCTCTGAGGACATGACGTCTTCTGAAGACACGCCGTCCTCTGAGGACATGACGTCTTCTGAAGACACGCCGTCCTCTGAGGACATGACGTCTTCTGAAGACCCGACCCGCCGTCCTCTGAGGACATGACGTCTTCTGAAGACCCGCCGTCCTCTGAGGACATGACGTCTTCTGAAGACACGCCGTCCTCCGAGGACATGACGTCTTCTGAAGATCCACCGTCCTCTGAGGACATGACGTCTTCTGAAGACACGCCGTCCTCTGAGGACATGAGGTCTTCTGAAGACCCGACACGCCGTCCTCTGAGGACATGAGGTCTTCTGAAGACACGCCGTCCTCTGAGGACATGAGGTCTTCTGAAGACCCGACACGCCGTCCTCTGAGGACATGAGGTCTTCTGAAGACCCGACACGCCGTCCTGAGGACATGACGTCTTCTGAAGACACGCCGTCCTCTGAGGACATGAGGTCTTCTGAAGACCCGACACGCCGTCCTGAGGACATGACGTCTTCTGAAGACACACCGTCCTGTGAAGACTCGCTGTCCTCTGAGGTCTCGTCCTCAGGGCTTGTGGACGTCTTCGTGTCTCAGGATCTTGTAGAGGACCCAGTAGAAGATGTTGAAGAAGAGGAAGGCCAGAGGGAATCCGGCTCTCGACACCGTGTCGATCTTCTTGGCCCGGTCGATGAACAGCTTCCTCATCTCCTCAGTGCTCCTTCCAGGTGCATTCTGGGAGATGCTGACAGCTCCCACGGCGTTGTTGGCATTGACTTTGGTGTCCTTGGTGCTGCTGGGAATGGAGGTCACCGCAGCTGCGGACGCCGGCCGGCTCTCCTGGGCCTCCACTTCCTGTGGGAAATACCAGGACGATGAGGTCAAAGGTTTGACCAGTCAAGAGACAAACGCTTTGTTTCAAGTCGTATCGACCCTCTGTCCTTAACTTCAGGAAGTGACAGTAAAAACAGACGTTGGTCGCCTGATATGGCTGATAAAAACGGGTTAGCATCTGGACCGCGGACTGATGGTCAAGCTGACCGCGCCACTGTCGCCCCCTGCTGGTCATCAGGACTAAATGCTGCAAGGCAACGACTGGACAGTGCTGGGTTTCCTCAGGAAGAACCTATAAACCAGTTAGCAGAAATCAACTGAACTGAAGGAAACCCAGAATGTTTGCTCTGCAGAGAGGTATGTAAACTTCTGATGTGTCTCAATATTCCTCAGTGACTAATCCTGACTGACCCGGAAAAAAAAAAAGACATTTTGACGTTAAAAGTGGAATATTTTCTAACTTTCTTAAGTCTGAAATCTGAGAAATGGAAGAACCGGTTCTTTTCCAGGATCAGAACTTCTTCCGGGTCCAGACTCGTTCTGATCCAGGTTTTAGATGAAAATGTTGGATTTTATCATCTCAGGAAACTTCTGGAATTTTCTGACAAATTTAAGAGTTTTATCATTCATAATTTCAGAAATTCATATCTTAGTTTATGGCTTTAATCAGAGAAAATGTAAATAATTTTCTCAAATAAGTATTTTCTTTTCTAAAAATTAATTTCTGATTTTATGGCAGAAACGTCTTCTTCCTCTGGCCACCAGGGGGCAGACTGCAGAGGAAGCTGGTCTGGAAACTCAGGAAGTCCAAAAGGAGGCGCGTACGGCGGCCCGGTTGGGTCATGATGGCGACACATGCAGAGCGGCTTCCCCTGAGGAAGCTGTTATCCGGCTCTTTGATCCGTACGGCGGTTCTGGCCGGCCGGCCGGCGCAGGGACTGGGCCGGCTCCGGGTCGACGGCGCCGTTCTACTGACCCACAGCGTGATGAACGGACAGAACCATCACTGCCGGAGTCTCTGGGTCCGATTCAAAGCCAGACACAGAAACAAGTTGTTTCTTTGACTAGGCCACACAGTTTGACCTGGACCTTCACAGACAGGAAGAGAACCCAAATGGACTGGAAGGCAGAACCAGAACCAAACAACTCAGTGCTGACCCATTTATGTTCTAAGAGCTAAGAGAGTGGCTGGTCCGACCCGGATCGCTGAACGGGTCGACAGAGACTTTACAGGAATAAAGTCATAATATTAGAATAAATATTATTTAAACAAAAGTAATGAAACTGAGGAATGATGAGCATCTTGTGCAGTTTTGCTTCTGGATCAGTTTTATAAATACGGAAATATTTCATGTTTATCTGATCAGCAGAACTTTGAAATGATTCTGCAAACGACTGATTTCATTCAGAGGAAAGAATCAGCTCACAGCAGGTCATGGAAACGCTTCAAAATGATTTTTTCTTGACATTTTACAGTTTTATTTTCAGACTAATATTGGTAGTAATAACATTTTTGGCCCTAATGCTGCGTGCTGTTATGAACGGGTGCCGGTCCGTTTCCTCCGTGGTTCTGGTTCCAATTCTCCATCTTGTTTCCATCAGGAATCATAAACAGAAGAATAAAAAGTGTTTTTATCCTCTGGTTCTGCAGAGGAGAGTCGGTCCGATCAGATGCTCACAGACCCACAGCAGCAAGGTTTGGCCAGCAGGGGCAGCGCTTGGTTTCTACCTTGGTTTTGCTCTTGTGTTGGCGCCGGAAGCGCAGCAGCTCCTTGTGTTGCCTCGACACGAAGTTTACGGCGGCGTATTCCAGCAGCGCAGAGAAGACGAAGAGGAGACACACGGCCATCCAGATGTCTATGGCCTTTACGTAGGACACCTGGGGACGCACCAACACACTGCAGTTACACACCTGGAGACACACTGCAGTTACACACCTGGAGACACACTGCAGTTACACACCTGGAGACACACTGCAGTTACACACCGACACACTGCAGTTACACACCTGGAGACACACCGACACACTGCAGTTACACACCTGGAGACACACTGCAGTTACACACCTGGAGACACACCGACACACTGCAGTTACACACCTGGAGACACACTGCAGTTACACACCTGGAGACACACTGCAGTTACACACCGACAGAGGAGTTACACAACAGAAACAGAACAGACTGCGGCCGTTTGCCAACGCTCAGGAAAATCCTCCCTGGAGGAGCATCCATGGAGGATCAGAAAGTGAGGATTTTCCTCTCTTTCTGAACGGTTCTGGAGGTCTGGCCCGGTGGACCGTCACAACCAGAGGAGTCAGAACTTTCTGCTCCTTCAGGTTCAGACTCTGATGACTCCGCACCGACATCTAGTGGCAGGAAGCGGGAAGCTAACAGTTCTGGTTCCTGCTGCACAGGCAGTTTGGATCAATAAATCCTGGCTCAGATATTTACAGTTAGGGCCAGAAATATTTGGACAGTAACACAATATTTGTGAGTTGGGCTCTGCATGCCACCGCATTGGATTTGAAATGAAACCTCTACAACAGAATTCAAGTGCAGATTGTAACGTTTAATTTAAAGGTTGAACAAAAATATGTGATAGAAAATGTAGGAATTGTACACATTTGTTTACAAACACTCCACATTTTAGGAGCTCAAAAGTAATTGGACATATAAACATAACCAAACAAAAAAGTTTGTTCTCAATATTTTGTTGCGAATCCTTTGGAGGCAATCACTGCCTTAAGTCTGGAACCCATGGACATCACCAAACGCTGGGTTTCCTCCTTCTTAATGCTTTGCCAGGCCTTTACAGCCGCAGCCTTCAGGTCTTGCTTGTTAGTAGGTCTTTCCGTCTGAAGTCTGGATTTGAGCAAGTGAAATGCATGCTCAATTGGGTTAAGATCTGGTGATTGACTTGGCCATTGCAGAATATTCCACCTTTTTGCTCTCATGAACTCCTGGGTAGCTTTGGCTGTATGCTTGGGGTCATTATCCATCTGTACTGTGAAGCGCCGTCCGATCAACTTTGCAGCATTTGGCTGAATCTGGGCTGACAGTATATCCCGGTACACTTCAGAATTCATCCGGCTACTCTTGTCTGCTGTTATGTCATCAATAAACACAAGTGACCCAGTGCCATTGAAAGCCATGCATGCCCATGCCGTCACGTTGCCTCCACCATGTTTTACAGAGGATGTGGTGTGCCTTGGATCATGTGCCGTTCCCTTTCTTCTCCAAACTTTTTTCTTCCCATCATTCTGGTACAGGTTGATCTTTGTCTCATCTGTCCATAGAATACTTTTCCAGAACTGGGCTGGCTTCTTGAGTGTTTTTGGGCAAATTTAACTCTGGCCTGTCTATTTTTGGAATTGATGAATGGTTTGCATCTACATGTGAACCCTTTGTATTTGCTTTCATGGAGTCTTCTCTTTACTGTTGACTTAGAGACAGATACACCTACTTCCCTGAGAGTGTTCTGGATCTCAGTTGATGTTGTGAACGGGTTCTTCTTCACCAAAGAAAGTATGTGGCGATCATCCACCACCGTTGTCTTCCGTGGACGCCCAGGCCTTTTTGAGTTCCCAAGCTCACCAGTCAATTCCTTTTCCCTCAGAATGTACCAGACTGTTGATTTTGCTACTCCAAGCATGTCTGCTATCTCTCTGATGGATTATTTCCTTTTTTCAGCCTCAGGATGTTCTGCTTCACCTCAATTGAGAGCTCCTTTGACCGCATGTTGTCTGGTCACAGCAACAGCTTCCAAATGCAAAACCACACACCTGGAAACAACCCCAGACCTTTTAACTACTTACTTGATTACAGGTTAACGAGGGAAAGGCCTTTTGAGTTACTTGCAGCCTTTGGAGTTCATTGTCCAATTACTTTTGGTCCCTTGAAAAAGAGGAGGCTCTGCATTACAGAGCTATGATTCCTAAACCCTTTCTCCGATTTGGATGTGGAAACTCTCATATTGCAGCTGGGAGTGTGCACTTTCAGCCCATATTATATATAAATTGTATTCTGAACATATTTTTGTCAACAGCTAAAATAACAAAACCCTGTGTCACTGTCCAAATATTTCTGGCCCTAACTGTACATACACCTGGGCTTAAAGGGATCAACACCAACAAGATTGTTCCTGATTCAGCCAGCACCAGTTGATATCGAGGTCTGCAAAACCCAGCTTTTATTTTGATAGTCCACATTCGCTCATTGCCAAGCGAATTCACTTATAAGCTAAATAGTGAGAAAGCTAAAAATAAATGTAGTGAGCTAAATGTTTCGTTTGGAAAGTAAATAATTAATTTGTTAAAAAAAATTCAAAAATGAATTTTTGAATTCATGGTAACAAATAAAAAGAAAAATCTTCCATTTCGCTTGGAGTCGTTGACCATTTTGCACTCCAAAATGGACCATTGTGTTTGGGTCCAGAGCGGAGAACTCCATGTTGGACCCAAAAGCAGAAATGATTAAATTCATGACATTAAAATATTTATCTGGATTCTTTCTTCAGTTTTAAATCAGTTAAACAGTTTTATGTTTGTTTAAATAAAAACTTCATGTTTAATTAATATTCTGTGAGTTTAAATGAGGAGCACCAGACTTTCAGGAAGAACATCAGAACCTGAGCAGAACCGGAACCGACCTTGGGCAGCGAGGTTCTGGAGCCGGAGCTCTGTGGTCATGGTGAGCACGGTGGTGATGCCGAGCGCCACTCGGGCCGGCGCGGCGTCCATGTTGATCCAGAAGGAGACCCAGGACAGGATGACGATGAGAAGGGACGGGATGTACATCTGGATCAGGTAGTAACCATCTGCCGCTCCAGGTGGAACCGGACCTCGATGCAGGTGAACTTACCTGCAGCGCAGCGGGTATCGGGTCAGAAAGGTTCCAGAGGCAAACAGAACCACACAGAACATGAGATAATGGGTCTGGTGCCGATGGTTCTGATGGAGCTGCTTCCGTTACTGGGCGCCGTTTCTGAAGCTACGCAGTAAAAAATGACCTGCAGCTTTTGGTTTATGTAACCCATTAGAAAACAGAAAATAGGATTCATTTTTCCAAGTCATATTTTCACCATTTACTGATTAAAAATGTCAGATTCAAGCTAAATATTTAGTTCCGATTCCAACGTAAAGATTTATTTTTAAAATATTTAGCTTGTTAATGAAATATTTATCTATGCTAACTAACTTTAGTTACCTTACTAATTAAATAATTTGCTGGTAAATATTCAGGTTGCCAACTTTAGGTAGCATGCCAGCTAACTATTTAGATTGCTAGCTAAACAGGCTAAATTTTTAGCTAATATGCAAGTTAGCTTGCTGATAAGCAGATGTGGACTATTATGTAAACTGGTACTGCATCTCTTCAGTCGACTCGTCACTCAGGTAAAGTTTCATTTCGTCTGGATATTTTCAACGTGTTAGCTGCAAATATTAGCCACTGCAGCCACATCTGCAACTGCTGTCCAACCAGAATCGCTCCAGTTCATGTTTGATTCACTCTTAGGTTGCGTGGAGCGGCTATCAAAGTTTGGCTTCCTGTTTATTCATTCAGATCAGTTCAATATTTAGTTTGGAATGATGACATTTATAAATGAATGAATAATATGGTGGAAATATGCCTTCAATAGTCACATTTTTCTCTTATAAGAGCCTAAGTAAATGAAATTGCTGCCGTTAATGTTTTATTGTGTAACTTCACAAACGGTTCCGGTCCGGTGAGATTCTGTTAACTTAGTGAGCGAATAGCTGTGGGTCTGGAACAAACGGGATGAAACCGTTTGTGACGGAACCAGAACCGCCTGCTGCTTTCTGCCTGAACTGAGCTGATGGTTCTGCTGGACCTCCTCCCATGGCTGACTCACTATCTGCAGAACCAAACCGCCGCTGACACCGTGTGGGGCTGGAGGTCACAGACACCTCGTCCGGTCCAATCCCCTGGTTCTGATCGCCTCTGATAAAATCATCATCCTGGGCGTCAGGAAGCCGCTTCTCCTCACAGCCGGCGGCACCAACAGAACAGACAGAACCTGGCAGCTGGCTGGTTTGTGACACCGGTGGCCCGGCGGTGTGTGTGTGTGTGTGTGTGTGTGTGTGTGTGTGTGTGTGTGTGTGTGTGTGTGTGTGTGTGTGTGTGTGTACCAGTGTTGTAGTGCTTGGTGCAGTATCTCAGGTCCGACTCGTCCTTCAGGATGAACTGTGGCAGCGTGAGGCCCTCCGCCACCTGGACCGGCCCGTTTTCCTGCCACTCGAAGATCAGGTCGTTCATAGTGTAGCCAACTGGAAAAGGCAAAAGAAGTGGGTCAAACCCGGACTAGAAAGCCCGGTTCTGTCTCGATCTGTGGGTCAGAACCGCCTCTTCCAGGGTCCAAATGGACTTTTGTTCCTGCTTTTTTCTGTTGGGTTCTGCAATCTGAGACCCTATGAAAGCAAAAACTGCGTCAACGGACAAATGTTTAAAAACTCAACAAAAGTGGGCGGGGTCAAGAGACGAGGGGCGTGGCTAAATATGGAGTCAAGGTCAAGAAGGGCTGTTGGAAAGGCATATCGCTAACTTAGCAACTTTACAAAAAAATGCTGTTACCAATCCTGGCCAGGTTGGTTAGTCCAGCTCCGGACTTGCCACCAGGGGCGTGTCTGAGTGAGATGGTTTTATACTGGAACATGGTGCTGAGTGATGTAGACATCCACTCAACTAGACTGAGGCAGCACTGAGATGAAGATGTCACACAAGGACAGATAAGACCTTCAAGGACAGATAAGACCTTCAAGGACAGATAAGACCTTCAAGGACAGATAAGACCTTCAAGGACAGATAAGACCTTCAAGGACAGATAAGACCTTCAAGGACCAATGTTTCTGCAGAAAAGCAGGAGGTTGGTGGTTTAGTCCCGGTTTGTAGTTTTTTCTTTCTCATGAGGAAGTGAGAACAAAGCTCAACCTAGAATTAAACTTTCTGTTGCTCTGGTTCTGTTGGAGCTGCTGTGGTTCTGCTGACCGGACCCAGAGTTCTGTTGGACCTGCTGCACGGGCTTCCAGGAGCCGGCTGGTTCTGGTTCCTCTCCGGAGCCACGCATTGAGGATGCACTCAGTTCTGGTTTTGAAGTTTGATCCAAACGGGAACAGGAAGAGATGAAAGCAACAGGCAGGAAGTGCCTGCAGCCCCTTAAAGCGACGGTGTCCTTCACTTCACATGATCTTAAAACCCAAACGCCTGCGGAGGAAACCGGGTCAGAACAAGTTCTGCAGGTTCCACTAACTGTGTTCACACTTTAAAAATAAACCTGACTCCAATTAGAATAATGTGTGATGTCAACATCATCATCGTCAGCGCCTGATGAAAAGCGCTAGGACCTGCTGGTTCTGGTTCTGGTTCGACCCAGCAAAGTGTTGCATTTCCAGACCTAACTACAGCAGACAGCTGAGCAGGGCTGGGATTAAATGAGATTATTTTTATAAAATTAAACATTCTAAATAAGAGCACAAGTTAATGAAGCAGCCAACATCCGACACGGTTCTGGTTCCATGACGGGTCCAGACGGGTCCAGATGTTCCTCTGCTCCTGTTGGACTGACGAAGCTTCAGTTCTGTTTTGAATAAACTGAATTTGTTCTTGCAGTTCTGACTGTGGCACCAACAGGACAGGTTCTGGTCATTCGTGCTGAAACAGATTTATGAGTGAACTGAGACTCGGGGGTTGCCGGTTCGAACCCCGCTGTCTGTGGCTGATCAACGGAGCTTTGGAGTCCTCTGGGCTTGAAAAATATCTGTAAAGTTAATTCTTCAGTTGTTTTGTCCTTTTTGCTCCGTGTGTCACATACAGAAACCAAATAACATCAGAATTTTACAGGAAAAAAATAAGAAAATTATATTTCCATCCATGGAAAAGTGAAGAATTTCCCAACCCATGAAAAACAAAGTCCAATTCATTTCCAACTTTTTTCACGTTTTTTTCCAGACTCTTTCCAGGTTTTTTCACATTTCTCCAGGTTTTTCCAGACTCTTCCAGGTTTTTCAAGGCCATCTCAGGGAGGTCTGCAGCGTTTCCATGTTCAGAAATGCAGCGGTGGCGCAGCATGCAACTGACCACAGAGGTGGTTTAATGGGACTCACAGCTCTCCAGCTGCATGATGCAGGTCTGGACGTCCATGGGGAAGTTCTTCAGGTCCATGGGACACGACAGCGTCAGCGTCAGTCTGCAGGACAAGAAGGAGAAAACGGCTCAAATTAGGCTCCATGTTGGAGAACAGAAGAGATGAAACCGATTCATCCAGCCTGAGGATCGACGTTTTCTAAATTTTTTCACATCTTTCTCTGTGGTTGAACCAACCAAACCCTTTGAGCAACCTGTTCCCCTCCTGGCCTGTGGGGGCGCTGCACCAAGAACCACTGAAGACAATGAACGCCACTTCCTTCTTCACCAGATGGAAACTAAATGGAGGCGCCACATTCTAGGATTAGTGGATTTCTCTCTAGTCTTTACATTATGCAACAATTTGTCAGAAACAAAATGTATTTTATGACAATAAAAATATGTTTTTAATGTTTTAAATGCAATAAAAACATGTTTTTATTGCATTTAGAAAAACCAAAGAGTTTCCTTAGAGCAGATCATGACTCCCAAACAGAAACTGAGAGTCCTTCATAACAGTTAGTTTGTTTTTCCCAGAATATTTAAATGTTTAATCTCATGTATGTGGCGTGTCCCCGCAGCCCAGGGCGGTTAATGTGTCGCATGTTATCCCGGCCCGTTCGGGTCGCCGTGCTCTGTTTGGGTAATCATGCATGTTGATGCAGCGCTGCAGCCTCACAGCGCAGCTGAAGAATATCCCTCCAGATTCATCGTCACAGCAGAACAGCCATGTAGAGCCACCTGGTCGCCATGAAAACGCTCACTTTCTGCAGGCTGAGGAACCGGGGCGACAGGGGCGGCCCACACTTTTCTGGGGCCCTAAGCAGATTTTCATTTGAGGCCCAACCTGTTAGTAGCAGATAATTCCTGAGCTTCTATTAGCATTGGCATCATCTACGATTAGCTTACATAATCCCAGGGCGGCAGAGTTTGACCTGCATATGCCTTGGTCCGGCCTTGCTCTAATCCAGTGCTTCTCAAATAGTGGGGCGGGCCCCCTTTGGGGGGCGCGGTGCGATACCTGGGGGGGCGTGTGATCCTGGGGAACAGGCTTTTTTTTGGCCGTACTAGTATAAAGTGTAATTGCGCACAGTAGGCGGCAGTGGCGCTCTCATTGTTACTTCTGTCACGTTTGCGACAGTGCAACATTTTACGACTTACAAGACAACAGGTTTGCCTTGGTTAGCAGTGTTAAGTCAACAAAAAGCTCCGACTGCGTTCTGTCTATGGCCTCCGTTATTCAACAACCCCCAACATGAAAAAGTTTTTCACAGGGATGAAAAGAAAAGCGGAGAGAGACAAAGATAATGAGACAACAGAAAGTCAACCGAAAGCTAAGAAGAGGAAATACGAGGAAGCGTATTTAGCGCCTGGCTTCACTGTGACTACAGTTGGAGAAGAGGAAAGACCGCTGTGTTTGCTGTGTCTAAAAATGCTCGCAGCGGACAGCATGAAGCCAAATAAATTAGCGCGTCACTTAAATACGTTACATCCCAATCACGCCGATAAGCCGCCAGAGTTTTTTCAGCGAAAAAAATGTTAATAAGGAAAAAATGTTATGCAGAGATGGATAGTCACGGTGGGGAGTGGGGGGCACGAATAGTTTTCTTCTTGCTAGGGGGGGCGTAACGGAAAATAATTGAGAAGCACTGGACTAATCTAATCTAATCTGGGTGATTTGGACCCACCGTATGGAGTAGAGCACTTTGCCGTCCTTGAAGATGCGCAGCAGCTTGTTGTCGGTGGTGACCTCGTGGAAGTGCGCTCCCTTCTCGTTGGCGAAGAACAGGTCCGGTTTCCAGATGGAGTCCAGCATGGACGGGTCCAGATCCAGAGAGTCGTCAGGATACTCGCAGTACGCCAGCCGCGGGTCGTTCCACTGCTGCCGCAGGAAGATGTTCACCGGTAGTCCTGGAGGGAGACAGCTGCGTCAACAGAACCAACAAAACCATCAAACGTGGGTCAACAGGACAGAACAGAACCATCAGAACCTCCACTCTGATGTCAGAGGAACATTTGGGTGTAGAACCTTGCAGCAGACACGGCGAGTCGATCCCAGAATGAACTCTGATCGTTCATCTTGAATGAAGTCAAGATTTTCACCAGAATTTGACAAACTGGAAACTGACTGAATTTGTTGAACTAATTCTGAGATCTATTCTGGTTTTGTTCTGTTTCTTCTACGTGAATCATTTTGTTCACGGTTCTGTAAGTAGATAAAGTTTGAAGTTTGCTTCTTTTCTATCGGTTGCTCTGGGGAATCAGAGGCTGATGTTTGTGTCTCCGGGCAGATTTCCCTCCATGACGCTGACTGAAGGCGAGTTCAGCGGTGCTGCAGCGCCGCCTCCAGGTTCTGCTGTTTGGACTCGGCACCTGAAGGTCCAAACATGACGAGCACAGAAACATCCAGAACCAGCAGCCGGATCAACGTTTCCTCAGGGCGCTGCTGATCTCAGTGCTCAGGTTTAATCTCTCCTGAGTGTAAAATGTTCTTTCAGGTTCCGGCTCTGTTCTGGTCCGTTTGGGTCAAACCTGCTGGTTCTGACTGGAGTTGTTTGAGGGAGCATGGAGGTTGAACCGGGCCTAACATAAGACTAACCTTCTGATCTGACAGGAACGGTTTGATGACACAAAAACAATAACCGGAGAGCAAAACTGAAATATGAAGTGAAATCCAGGTTTTCTGCATGTTCAAGAGACAGAAATGAATCCAGAGAGTCCAGGAGGAACATGGGCTGATTTAGCTGCAGCCCGACGCCGAGGCGCCTCAGACCCCCAGGAAGCCAGAGACACGGAAAACCCAACCTGTCCCATAAATAATAAAGGTCCACTGAAAGCAATCTTTTCCTTCTGAAACGTCTGACAGGTTGTTAGCCAGCAGGGTGTGCGCACACACACACACACACACACACACGCACACACACGCACCAGACAGAGCAGAAAGCACTTCGAAGTCGACATCCTTTCTTCCATTCATTAAATATATGAAACTAAATATTTTGTTGTTTGGAAGCTAGAAATCCTATTCAGCTTCAAATTTAATTTTTTTTTAGCTAGCTAAATATTTAGTTAGCAAGTTAAACATTTAGCTAGCTAACTAAATATTTAACCTGTTAGTGAAATATTTAAATTAAAGCTACAGATTTAGCTTGATAAAACATTTCTCTTGCTAACTAAATATTTAGTGCGTTAAAATATTTAGATAACCAGCTAAATATTTTGCTAACAATAAATGTCATTAACAATTATTTACCTTATAAGCTGAATATTTAGCTCATATTTAGTTAAGCTAGATATTTAGCATAAGAAAAGATTTTAACAAAATTTAAATCTTTAGTTTTTTTGTTAAGCTTATTTATAAGTAAATAAGCTAAATATTCTATTTAACTTCAAAACTGATATTCTGTTAGCAAGCTCAATATTTAATTAGCAAGTTAAGTACTTTGCTACCTCACTATATATTTAGCTTCAAACTATTTAACTTGCTAACTAAATATTTAGTTAACAAGTTAATAAGTAAAAAGGTAAATAATATTGTTATGAAGCTAGATGTTATATTTAGCTTCAAACTAAATGTTTAGTTGAAGTTACAAATGAAAGACTAACAAGGTGAAAACTGTTCCCTCATTTCTCTTCATCACCAGACGTCCATGACGTTCCAGTGTGATTTACAGTTTTTAGTTGGTGTGAACTTATGTTTGATAATCATAATCTCTGGTCTATTTCAGAGCATATTAATGAGCCTCATGGTTCACATCCAGCCGTTTGTTTCAGGAGGCGGAGCTTCAAACTGGCCGTCCGGCTCCGACAGGAAGCGTCTCTGAAAGTTATTAATCATGTTTCTGGGATGTGAGCAACATGAACGCAGCAGCAGCTTTGACTTTGTGTCACTTCAGTGTATTTGCTGTCAGAGTTGCTCAGCGTCTCATCTGCTATTCCTGTCCGCTCGTCTGTCTCCTCACATCACCGTCCGCCGGCCTCCATCTTTTCCTCGTCTGGCTCCGCACTCGTCGTTCTCCTGTTTCTAATCAAACTGAAACACCAGAACCAACCGACGCGGTTACCGAGCTGCAGGTTTGATACAGGAGTCCCGACTGCAGTGAACGCGTCACAGTTCTCTTGGGAGGATCAAAGGTCAGACGCAGGAAGAGGCTGTGATCAGTTTTCAAAATAAAACACTCCCGGTACCAGGGTTCAGTGAGGTTCTGTTTGGCTGCTGGAGCTGACCAGACTCTGACTTCGGGTTTGGAAAGTTCCGAGTTCCTGTTGAAGCTGACCAAGTCCAGCAGGGCCGGACCGCCGGTGGTACCACACTGGGTCCGCGGACCGGCTTTTGCCACCGAGTCACTCAGACCGGCAGGACTGAATCCGCCAGAGCTTCAGCCATTGTTGTTACTCACACAGCTTCACGACAGACCAGAGGCGTCCGTTCAGACATAAATCTTAAATCTCATTCCGGATGAAGAACACGATGCTAACCCAAAGCTAACATGATGCTAACACGAAGCTAACATGATGCTAACACGAAGCAAACACGATGCTAACCCAAAGCTAACATGATGTTAGCACAAAGCTAACATGATGCTAACACAAAGCTAACACAAAAACTAACATGATGCTAACACGAAGCAAACACGATGCTAACCCAAAGCTAACATGATGCTAGCAAGAAGCTAACATGATGCTAACATGATGCTAGCACGAAGCTAACATGATGCTAGCAAGAAGCTAACATGATGCTAACACAAAGCTAACATGATGCTAGCACGAAGCTAACATGATGCTAGCACGAAGCTAACATGATGCTAACACAATGCTAACATGATGCTAGCACGAAGCTAACATGATGCTAACACAATGCTAACATGATGCTAGCACGAAGCTAACATGATGCTAACACAAAGCTGACACAAAACTAACATGATGCTAACACGATGCTAACAGAGCCGTTTCTGCTCCACCGAGAGGAGGCCTGGGGTCAGTTTCCTGGTTGCCCCTGGCAACAGATAGGCAGGCTGCATAGCAACATATGCCCCTGTGGTAAAATGACCTTTGACCTTCTGGACTCTTGGCACACTGCCAGTTGGTCACCCAATGCATCCCACAGAGCTTTGGAAAACAGATTTTACTGTGAGAGTCCGATCCGCTGCAGGCTGGAGCTGCTCGGCATTGTGGGACGCTGCGTCACAGAAGCGCTTCGGTTACGGAACCTCATGGCGAAACCAGTTGGACTCTGGTTCAGCGTTACGAACCGGGACACCGATTTTCTTTAAAATGTTTGCTTCCGTCGTTTCCAGATGTTTCCTCTTTTCCTTCTCTGTGTCTGTCTGGGTTTTTCCCACAGAACGACGGCGTTTTACGTCAAAGAGCGTCTGAGAAACCGTGAAGCTGCCAGAAGAGGCGAGTCGTGACTTTCTGCTGCTCTGGTCTGAAAACATGAAAGACTGAGACGATGCAGCTTGGATCGAACAACATGATCAACTCAGCGACACACTGGCCCTGATTCAATCATCATCATCATCATCATCAGCCTTGCGGCCTGAATGTGAGATGCATCCAGAACCTTCAGGTTAGCCAATCAGACCTGCATCCAGAAGGTAAGGAGAAGGAAATGGACTTTGGTTTCTGTTTCTGTGCAGTGAAGTTAATGAAACTGAAGCGTAAACGTCAGAAACTTTGGCTAACAGCTGTGAGGTTGAGCAGCTCTGGGCCTCAGAAAGCTGCCGGTCATAAATAAACAAAGAATCACGTTAATCAGCAGAACGCTGCAACACGACCCGCCGCCTGTCTGGGAAACATGCTGCACATTAAAAAACTCAGATTTATTCATGTCGTTCTGTCAACAAGCTGCTAAGTGCAAAAAGCTTTTCGGGGCCCGAATGGAAACGTCTGTGGGCTTCCTGTCACTCACCATGGTGGTCTCAGCGATGGAGCCGAAGCTGTTGATGAAGATGTTGCAGGAGACGTTGACCGGAGGACCTGGGGAGCAAACCGGCGTTACAGCAGCACATCTGCAGCTTTACTCATCCAACATGCGTCCAACATGCGTCCAACATGAGACTGAACTGTTTCAGGAAGGAAACCTGGAGCTTCAGGAAACAATTCCAAAAATCTTAAAGAAAAGGATTTCTTTAAACATTAACTCATTTTATAGTAAATGTAGTTAATGTTAAAATCATGCCAGGCTTTTTTCTTTTTAACTTTTTGGTAAATTAAGGTTTGACCAAAATCAAAAAACGTTTACAAAAATCTTTCCCAAACAGAAAATACGTTTTTATAAATGATCATAATGTATTGATGGCTCACGAACTGGAGATGATCACAATTTGTTTTGTTTTATTGAATTGGGTGAGATGATTTTGTGAGTCTTTTAGAGAAATAAATGTAGAAACCAGGAACGCACTGATTGGCTGAATCTGGAGACGTTTGAAGCAGCGATGCGGCGTGACATGGAAACAGAACCAGATCAAATACCTTTAAAGTTCGGTCGGATCCGAGCGTCGTATCCCGACGTTCTTCCCATCAGTTTGTCCAGGAAGTCGGAGGGAGACATGGGAACGTGGCGCCCCCTGGCGGCGCCGTCCAGCTCTTTACAGCGACTCACACTGGAGATACACAGAGGAAGAGCGGCGTTCACACAGCACCCCCTGGCGGCAGCGGGGAGGTTTACACCGGCTTTAACAGGTGGAGGTTCATTCACAACAACTTCGGTTGAATCTGAGGAATCCTCATCATAGAGCAAAGCTAACGGCTAGGAGCAGAGCTAACAGTTAGGAGCAGAGCTAATGGCTAGGACCAGAGCTAACAGCTAGGAGCAGAGCTAACAGTTAGGAGCAGAGCTAATGGCTAGGACCAGAGCTAACAGCTAGGAGCAGAGCTAACAGGTAGGAGCAGAGCTAACAGCTAGGAGCAGAGCTAATGGCTAGGAGCAGAGCTAACAGCTAGGAGCAGAGCTAACGGGTAGGAGCAGAGCTAACAGTTAGGAGCAGAGCTAATGGGTAGGAGCAGAGCTAACAGTTAGGAGCAGAGCTAATGGCTAGGACCAGAGCTAACAGCTAGGAGCAGAGCTAACAGGTAGGAGCAGAGCTAACAGCTAGGAGCAGAGCTAACAGCTAGGAGCAGAGCTAATGGCTAGGACCAGAGCTAACAGATAGGAGCAGAGCTAACAGGTAGGAGCAGAGCTAACAGCTAGGAGCAGAGCTAACAGCTAGGAGCAGAGCTAATGGCTAGGACCAGAGCTAACAGCTAGGAGCAGAGCTAACGGGTAGGAGCAGAGCTAACAGCTAGGAGCAGAGCTAATGGCTAGGACCAGAGCTAACGGCTAGGAGCAGAGCTAACAGCTAGAAGCAGAGCTAACAGGTAGGAGCAGAGCTAACAGCTAGAAGCAGAGCCAACAGCTAGGAGCAGAGCTAATGGGTAGGACCAGAGCTAACGGTTAGGAGCAGAGCTAACAGCTAGGAGCAGAGCTAATGGCTAGGACCAGAGCTAACGGCTAGGAGCAGAGCTAACGGCTAGGAGCAGAGCTAACAGCTAGAAGCAGAGCTAACAGCTAGGAGCAGAGCTAATGGGTAGGACCAGAGCTAACAGCTAGAAGCAGAGCTAACAGCTAGGAGCAGAGCTAACAGGTAGGAGCAGAGCTAACAGCTAGAAGCAGAGCTAACAGCTAGGAGCAGAGCTAACAGCTAGGAGCAGAGCTAACAGCTAGGAGCAGAGCTAACGGCTAGGAGCAGAGCTAACAGCTAGAAGCAGAGCTAACAGGTAGGAGCAGAGCTAACAGCTAGAAGCAGAGCCAACAGCTAGGAGCAGAGCTAATGGGTAGGACCAGAGCTAACGGTTAGGAGCAGAGCTAACAGCTAGGAGCAGAGCTAATGGCTAGGACCAGAGCTAACGGCTAGGAGCAGAGCTAACGGCTAGGAGCAGAGCTAACAGCTAGAAGCAGAGCTAACAGCTAGGAGCAGAGCTAATGGGTAGGACCAGAGCTAACAGCTAGAAGCAGAGCTAACAGCTAGGAGCAGAGCTAATGGGTAGGACCAGAGCTAACAGCTAGAAGCAGAGCTAACAGCTAGGAGCAGAGCTAATGGCTAGGACCAGAGCTAACGGCTAGGAGCAGAGCTAACGGCTAGGACCAGAGCTAACAGCTAGAAGCAGAGCTAACAGCTAGGAGCAGAGCTAATGGGTAGGACCAGAGCTAACGGCTAGGAGCAGAGCTAACAGCTAGAAGCAGAGCTAACAGTTAGGAGCAGAGCTAATGGGTAGGACCAGAGCTAACGGGTAGGAGCGCTGCTCTCACTCAACGCCACAATGGAAAGACCTCAGAGCAGTGACAATAGGTCCTCATCAACCTGGGAGGGGTCAAAGGTCACCTGGACTCCCTCAGAGGAAGATGGTTCCCAAGAGGACAAACAGAAATGGAGTAGTTTGAGATCTTCTGTGGTTTTCCAGGCTGGATTTTCCATCATGCTTCTCTGAACAAAGATTTTCTCATCACAAACTGGACCAGACAGAACCAGGAGCAGAACCAGAACCAGAACTATAGATTTCCTTCTGGTTCTTCTGTCTGAGGAGGATGAGTAAAACTCTTCATCGTGTAACTAACATCCTGTCTCACAACAGCCGACCCGGTTCTGCAGAACCGCCGCCTCCTCAGTGAATGGGTCAGAAGTCTGATGACTCAGAGTTCATATCAGGGTCAGAGGTCACATGACGAGAGCCAGGACCAGAACCGGACGCTGAAACAACGGCGGGGGTCTTTCTATGAATTAAGTTAAAGTAAATAATGACCAGAGGAGGAAGGACGCTCCTCCTCATCACCTCCAGATGTCTGATGAAGAGCGCCGCGTTCAACAAGCAGATTAATCTCGTTATTTCATTTGTCCGTTTCAGCGCCGTTTATCCTGCGACTCTGAACGCTTCGCAGCAACATGCAGCTGAGACGGCAGATTACTGCATGCTGGATGCTAAGCTGCTTAGCTCGCCCTCCTCTTCCTCATCTTCTTCCTCCTCCTCTTCCTCCCTGACCTTTCAGTTCGGCTCCTTGCTTGAACAGCAGCAGCATGAAGATCTCGTGTTTAATGGATGAGAATCTCAGATACAAAAAACAGATGA